TGGCCGCGGTTGATGGTGGTTTGGCGGAGGATGTTGCTGCTGCTGCTGCTGCTGCTGCTGCTGATGCTGTTGGTTATGATGTGGTTGTGGTTGATGCTGTTGCGGATGCTGCTGGTGTTGCTGATGCTGGCCAGCAGGTATAGAGAGCCTAGGGGCGGAAATGGCATATGGATTAGGCGCTATTTCACGGTTCTCGGATGCTTCTATGGGACTCTGTTTGGGACGGGGTATAAACTCGGGAAACTGAGACATATGATTTAGGGGCTGCTGCTGCTGCTGCTGCGGATGCGGCGGCGGCGGTGGTGGTTGAGGGGGCTGCTGTGATGGCTGCTGGAACGCAGGCGGAGGTGGAGGTGGCGGTGGCCGATACTGCTGGGTATACTGATCATGCCTTTGTTGCTGGACCGGATATGGACTTGAACTTGGGTTGTGTCCATTATTATGGGTCATCTGTAGGATATATTGCTGAGCCCATTGAGCATGAGGCCCGGCGAGTCCTATAAATACCAGAGGTACCATGTGAGGCGGGACATTGGAGCTGAGCGTATCTTGTAGCATCTTCTGCTCGATCTTGCGCTGATCGAGCTTGAGAGCTTCCTGCCGGGTGCGTTCCTCTTCCTGCTTGCGCTTATCCTCTTCGACCTTTGCCTGAAGCCATTGGCGCATTGCATCGTCCTGGCCGTCTCGGTTCCACCCATCACGGCCATGGTTACCACCACCAGGGACATGCTGATGCGAGTGCGTTGGCGGTGGAGGCAGAGACATGCTGCCAGCGCCGCCGTTGGAGCCACTGGAGCCGCCGTGAGAGGCCGCGGACGTCATATCTGTGACGGTGAGGCCCATGGCAGCTGGGGGAGGCAGGCTCCGGTGCGAGTCCATCTGACGGCGAGCTGGAGCTGATGACAACGGCGATGGAGGCGGCGACGGCGACGGCGACGGAGACGGGTGAGGATGCTTCTGATATGCGTATGCTGGCTTTGTGCGTGTGCACTCGTCAAGAGCCAGGGCGCCGTTGCGAGAGGAGGTCTTGAGGGTGAGCAGCATGGAGAGCTCTAGTCATGGATCAATTCTCTCTACCTCTGCGTCTCTCTTGCTTCTTCTTCTTCTTCTTATTCTGCTTCCGTGACAGTGCTGCCCTGTGTGCGTTGTTTTGTTTCTGGTCTATCTTCGAGCCCTTATAGTTTTTCCAGCGTACTTTTTGCGAACGGGTGGATTCTTAGATTTTGTGCTTCATCGTCTGAGGCGGACGTCGTGTTATCTATCCCAGGACAAGGAGGCCAGCCCATCACCGTTGTTCAGGTCAACATTCGACTTGCCGCAGTTCGTGCGTGTGATGGGCCCTTTGGTGTAATTATAGCAAGGAGGAATGGGAGAACCGGAGGTTGCGCCGGGCAGAAAGAACCCTGCCCATATAATCCGCAAGTCGCAGCACCTCATCCCAGGCCGTTTTGCCTTCCTCCCTCACCTTCCCTTTCTTCAGTCCACCTTTTTTTCCCTCGTCTCTTCTTCTCGTCTTCTCTCCTCCTCTTTGCTTTTTTGCTCTCCGTTTTTTCTTTTCTTTTTCGTTGCTTTTTTTCTTCTTTTGCGCTCCAGCTCGTATGTTTTTCCTCTCGCAGACACAAAAATCCTCATACAAGCGTCGCCGTATTTGGAATACGCACCGAGGCGGCGGTACAGCACGGGGCAGCCCAGGACGCTACCCTATTGGTCAGTGCGGCTCCACTTCCTCTTTTGGAAAACCTTGACTGGACTTCGTTCTTGTTTTACACTACAGAGGACCGTGATAGTCTCAGGATAGCAAAGAAGAAGAAAAAAGAGTAGGTGTGATCACTAAAAAACGGCAGATAAGTATTTCACCGTAGCCGCATCCGTACCCAGCTCTCCCGCAGCCGGCCAGATATTAACGGAGTATTACAGAGCAATGGCGGTAAAAAACACGCTGGGAACAAGGGACTGTATTCTTGGGCGACCGCGGGAAGCTTCCCAATCGGGTCAAGCGCTCGGGCTTTGTCATGGACCCATATTTGTCCAAATGCGGAAGGCGGACCGGGCCCTTCTTGGCACCACCTTTCCTTTTTCGGCGTGGAAGGTACAGCCGAGGTTGCTCAGCCCTTCCCACTTGCCGCTTTAGGAAGTTTTGTCACAGCCACGATGCAATCACACAAAAAAAAAAAAAACACAGAGACCAGAGACAGGCCCAAAGCCAGCGCAACAAACAATAATAATAACAACGCCAGCGCGCACAAAAGACATATAGAAAGGAGCCCCGTCTAAATTTAGAGAAAGGCACATACTCCGTACATAGTGCGGGCAAGCTGGACATCGTTCGCCGCAGAGAAGAACGGACGCTGAGAGCCGGTGAACGCCCCAGATGCAGGTACTCTTCTTCTGCACCTCACATATGATCGCAGACCGTTGGCCTGGGGCCAAAAAAAAATAAAAATAAAAAAATAAAAAAATAAAACATTAGGGACCCTGATCTCCAGATCTCCTCGCCTATATTTAGAAGCTGACTCAGCCTCTTCCGTCTGGCCTCATCGCACACTCTATCTCAACTTCGAGACACAAACACATCACCAGTTACCATGTTTACGCCCCTTCCATTATACGCTTGTGGAAATACAATGTGCTGTTGATAAGCAGATGCCGTCGTATTAACGTGCAGGCCTCTTTTCTAGCCCGGATGTAGTCATCGTTGGGGGCGGCAGGGGGCCGCTCGACCGTGCATCCCCAGCAGTTCGTGAGAGTTGCCTGTTTAGAGTAACCAGCTACACAAACCGGCTCGTGATTGGCGTCGACACCTACGAACATGTAGAGCGGAAGAGGCAAACGGAAGCAAAGCAGAAGAGCCTGTTCGTACTTAACCGCCGAACTCAGGGAATATATGTAGGGTCTGTGACGAGACAAGGTTGGACCCCTAATCGACGCGGGCCGCAGTTAAAGAAAACCAACCACTACGCGAGAAAACAAAAAGGAGCATACAAGGAAATATCCCACGGAGATATAGGACCGGTCGATTGGCTGTGCTTCGAGGATAAATCAACTTGGCCCGCTGTTCAGCCCCGACCAACTGACATGACCTATCTGAGGGCCGGCGCTTAACTCCCTCCGTCACATCTCGTCCGTATGCGACGATCGCCTCCTGCACGCAACACGCTGATTAATAAGGCGGCAGAAGGGGCGACGCCATGGCCATTCAGACTACCTGCTTCTCTCTTTCCCCTCACTTCTGTTCGTTGTTATCGTCCCTCTCCCGGCATCCTGCTAGCTAGCGTCGATGTCCACCATGCAAGCCCTCCCGCGGCCGTATTCCTCACTCTCAGATTATAATTTAAACTATTCCAGCAGGTGTCGAATGTCCAATCATTGATGTTACTCTTCCAGGCGATATGCACTAATTGGCCAGGGCTCGCCTGTTGGGGCTATAGAGCCTCGCTCCGCATATATGTACGACTATGCTGTCTTGAATTTGAGATAATGGAGAAAGCAGAATTCCATGGTGTATGCAGAGTAGATCTGCTTTAACTGTTGGTCCTTGATGATACCCCCAATATTGGTGGCTTAATACTTGTCTCGCGCCCTTCATGATGCCTGGTCCTGGATCTCTCATTGTTGAAGAGGTGATTCACGGTCCTCGACGGAGAATAGAGTCCCCCGTTGGAATTTGATAGCTTGTCTATTCGTACAGGAATATCAGTAGTATGTGATAGACAACATTAGCCTAAGTATTAATTCGTTGAGCCGAAGCTAATTAGCCTAACACTCCCTTTACAGATACTCAAAAAAAATGAACAGAATGTCTGGAACTTAAAGAACGCCAAAACGTCTAGTTACTCATTACTGGTAAGGTTAACAAGTTCTATATCCTCGGATTCTGCTAGAGTGCTGTCGCGTATAATTACGTCTGGTGAACTTTGGTCTTGATATAGAGTATAATGATTCACCTACATTTCAAGGTTACACCTTGAGCAGGTATTTATATGTACACTTATCCGCCAGCCCGTGACTGAAGTTACAAGGGCAGGATAAGCCGTCGGACCAACAGGGCCATGGGCTTATATATGCGTACTTTGGGGGAGGAATGGACCTGGATGTGGTGGGTATATTACAAGATTAACGATGAATATGTTACCTCGGAATCTCCTTTTCCTCAGATAGGTAGGTCAGGATGCTCCAGCACAGAAGCTCCTGAGGGTGCACAATCAGGCAGCTGACTGCCTCTAAAGTGTGCGTAGTATTTAGCGAACTTTTCCATCACAGTCATGTGAAACTTGTTGTTGGGATACGAGGCCATCGCTCCCATTCTATCGTCATCATCCTGATGCCCTGGTCAAAAGAAAGAAAAAGATATCAAGAAATCAAGATCTGACTCCGCGGATCATGGTCCAAGCATCTGCTGACTAACATCCGCTGCCGTTCAGCCGCTGCCAAGGCTTAATTCTATTGGCTACTCTGCCGGACAGGGAAGATTCTGCGCTTACTTAAGCGATTGTGACGTCATGGACAGTAAGTTGAAGCTGACAGAGAAGCGAGATTATTGATCTCGATGTTTCTTGTCGCTTCAAGGGCATGGGACGACCCATTTCGCGAGGCAGTACGATGCAACATCAGAATTTTTTCAGTACGGCTTTAACTCAAGGCCTACGGGTATAAATATGGCCTCAAATCCTGCTGAGAAGACGTCTTTCTGCTCATCATCATCAGCAACAACAACTACAACAAAACATCAAACACAACGAAAACAATCATTGTTCAATCAATTCGGGTCTATCTATCTGCATATCGTGACCCACAAGCTACAACGTCAGCCGCAGCCTTGATAACTCAGCCATAAGAGTTAATCCTTTATTCCAGCTGCCAATAACAAAAACCACAACAACAACAATGGCCGCCAACTTGACCGACTTCACCCTCCACTACACCCCAATGGTCATGGAAGCAAACAATGCATCCCGCCGCAACTCGAGGGACTTTGAGCATCACAGCAATTCAGCCTCTTCTTCACCATCTTCGTCCCGGTCTTCTTCTCCCGCTCCAGCTCATCGACAGAAAATGAGCAAGGCAGCCGAAAAGAAATCAAGTTCCGCGGCTCGTGCTTCTTACTTTGCCAACCGTTAAGCTGAACCAGCCATCTATTAACTATACGACTGAATGACTATCACTCGATCGATGACACTACGAAACATCAGTCTTTTATTACAATTACGAGATATACATCTAGGATACCTCCTAGTTAATTTCTAATGACATAATAATAATTGGGACGGCGATACAGGGAACTTGGATATGGATGAGACGACTGTTACATGATTTTGACATCGAAATTATTAATTATTAATGCATTCCAAGCTTGTATATTAGCAACACTTGATATCTAATCAACACCCATTGACCCCGATACGCTCTACCTAGTGGTTAGAAAAAGTTCTATAAATAATTAGTCTTAAGTAATGGCAGAATACACGCCTCGAGGTGAATTGCATTTCTTTGGCGCCAATATATATCAGGCATGCACAATTGTTTCAAGCACAGCCATCCTCATGAATGCTTCTGGAGCCGATAGTATTCTAGAAGTAACCAGGAAAACAAGATATACAATCCCAATAAATTTGAGCTATTAATAGGAGTCAGCTTCTGTTTCAGTAAGCAGTACTTAAGCGCATGCTTCTTACACAAAAGTATGGAGAAGTTTGGGGTCATCTCATGCATGAAGATTGCAATCGGAACTAGAACTTAAGATCGAGACCAGGATTGAATCTTCGGTTCAGTTGGGCTTAAGCCAGTTAAATAATGCTAAGTAGGATGCATATACATATGTCAGGAGATAAGCCACTCGCTATTCTCACGCTGCTCCCGGAAAGGTCGGGCTGGAGCATCCATGCAAGTCCCATGCAGATGTTTCAAAACTCAAGAGCAGAGCCTCCATCCTATGGCCCACTTGTCTAAAAATAGAAGCCATGCAAGATCTTGACTCAGCCCATATGTGTTTATCTTTAGCACTTTCAGCGGAACCATGCGTTTGTTTCGATTATTGACGGTAACTGGATATGCGTGATGTATGTACAACCAACGAGTAACGATCACAGCTCCCGATTGTTCAAGTTTGCTTTTATTTATGAAAATATTTGTATAGTTTAGTTACACAGGCTATATAACTGCGCTATGAGTTGATCACTCGCGATCGAATTTGACGAGAAACTCCGTAGGCACAGTAGGTATATATTTCCTTGCACGCTCGCGGTTTACTCCACCAAAACCGGCTCCGTAACTGACTAGCATGTCGGTGCTGGTTGGGAGCTGGAAAGGTAATGTGAGTGAAGGGTCAAGAAGGAGTGGGGCGTTCTTTGGGATGGTTATTTGTGATGATGGGGGTGGCGCGGGCGAGTTAGATCCACTTGGTGATGATGGGGGTTGTAATGCTCTAGGTGTCCGAGGGGTTTGTGGTTCTTCGGTTGGCTTTGTCTCATCCTTCCCTTGGTCTGTAGCTGGGGAACCGATGGGCTTGGAGTGCTGTCGATGTTGATCGAGGATCTGCCGTAACTGAGATGGGTCATTTTGCAGTGAGATTAGGAGCTTCATTGCGCTCTTGGAGAGGCCCTTTTCTCCCACCTCGGATCGATAGAGCTTTACGGCGTGAAGAAGCTGGTTTGGCGTGAGGCGCTGAAGCTGCTCGAGTGTCTCTATAAGTGAGTCCATATCTTCACCCAATGATGAGAAACATTGTAGCCACTGTAGCAGTTCGATGAGCGGTTCAAGGTGCCTACGAGCGGATTCAACAGTGTTTTCTCCAGTGCAGGTCGCGGATCCGTTTTCGTAATGCTCAGGTTGCCGGTTGTTTGTTCGTGCCCAGTCCTCCAAGGCGGATACATTCATCCTGATCTGCATAGCCTTAGTGCGCGCAAGATAGTGCTTCGTAGTCATTATACGGTTGAAAAGTTCGGATCCAAGCCAGTAAAATAGCTGTGCTATAATTTGGGTTGTGATGATGGAGTGCACATCATATAGATCTAGCACAAAGAGTGTTGACGATAATAGAGATGTCACATTCCGGGGTGCAATTTCTGCCCGTTTCTTGGGCGAGGGTGGTCGATATCGTTTCTCCATAGGCTCTGGTTTTACCTTTGATTTGGTTCTGAAAAGCTTCCATTCGTTTTGGAACTGAACATCTTCAAAACCGGGTATTGTTTCATGGTCAAGCATTGCGGTGTCCAAAATTTTATCTATGCGGCGCTCAGCGTCGCGGATAATAAGGATAAATATTTCATTAATCAGCTCTGCGAGGTGAAGCTGGAACTCCACTGTAGCTTCAACCAGTCCGGCATCCTTCTTTAAGTAATGCAGTAGTAAAGTGGCATTTGATATCCAGAATGCCAGTATGGTCATATCCCACTGGTGCTTTTCTACCACACGATTGATACGATCAGTTGCAGAATGAAGAAGTGTCTGCAGGAGGTCAGGGCTGGCATAATAGTGCGCGTATCGTGCGCAAAGGAAGAGTAAATTTGCGGGAACAGGCTTTTGGGAAGGAGACCGTTGTGGTGTCATATTGGTTATAACAATGTCCAATATTCGCTCCAACTCGTTCTCCTGAAATACAAACATTTGGTCATTCAGGCAGCGATCCCAGACAAATTCGGGCTGTTCCTCGTATTCGTCCGGTGACTATGATAGCAAAACGTTAGCACCTATCATCTCAATCAATTAAGATGGAAATCATACGTCGTCGTGTTTCTCATTAAGACCCAAGCTCGACAAATCAACTTCCAGGTTGATAGCACTCTCTTCCATCATCATCCTTCTCTTCATCTCGTTTTCGGCCATTTCCTCTTCAAATCGATTGTGTGCGAATCCTGAGTCGTAAAAGTCGGCCCCGCCAGTTGTAGACCCAACTTTATAGCCATTTTCGTAAAGGTATTTGGAGATGTCTGTTCCAGGCTGAACGAAGTCGAAAGCTGTCCCGCCAGAAGACGATCGGATGTCCGGTGACGCGCCATGATCCAATAAATTCTTCGCAATAGTTTTATGTCGATTCGTCATAGCCCACATTAAAGCGCTCCATTGATTGCGGTCCTGCTGGTCGACAAATGCGCCCGCATCAAGCAAAGCAGATACAACTTCATGATGACCCTGAAACAGTGCAACGCGTTAGTGGGAAGATTTCAAAATGAGAGCAATTCCACAAAATGGGTACTTACAAAACAGCTAGCATATATCAATGGTGCAGTACCCTCCTCGTCCGGCGCATTAATATCGATATATTTCATAGCCTTGCCGGTGACCAGCTTTCTGACCCGGGTGACATCCCCGTTACTTGCCGCCATATTCAAGGTTCTTTGGAGGATTTCCTTCTTCTCCTGCTCGGATAGCTTCTCATCAGACACAATATCGTCCTCGTCCGCTTCGACATTGTCTCCATCCCGATGTGCCGCCTGAGCAGCCAACATTTCCATCAGCCGGGCATCGTTTGACTCGCTTGGTCTGTCACGTAGTCGAGAACCACCCGTCAGGCTCTGAGACGGGTGTCGAGGATTGTAGAAGTCTTCTTCGGAGTTAATATCATCAAGGGCTAGGTTAAATGATAGGGGTTTTGTAGGCATAGGAGTGGTGAGAAATTGCGACTGGCCTGTTCAGAGAGGAATCCAAATCCGTTAGCTCATCTCGGTAGCGCGAGGAACAGCTGTATAATAGAGAAGAGAGTAATAGAGCGGCTTACCCTGCCATCCATCGTATATCTCGGTCTCAGAATTATAGCTCGGAAACGAGCGCCGGTCGTCTAGCGATGTTGGTAAGTCAGGAGGTAGCGTTCTGGGCTTCTCGACCCCTTCGTCACCACTGCTCTCGTGCTCGGCAGCCGTGACGCTGACAGAAGGGCCCCGAGCCAGGTCATGGTCCTGGCCCTCAGGGTCCATCGCATTTAGATGGGCTGTACTGCCCTCTTCCAGTCCAGCGGAGATGTTTGTCGAAGGGCCGGCGGGTTCAAGCAAATAACTATGCGAAGCAACTGGGCTCACCAGGGAGAAAAAGCTATCCTAGACTGCGGGGGAAACTAGCATCTGAGTCCATTAGGGCGAATGAGCACGCGGACAGGAACCGTAAATGGCAGCAAGGATGGCGACGCTGAGATATCGGGTTCGGGAGTTATAGCTGGTGCTGGATTGCTGGCGTGTTTGGTGGTTTGGACAGGTTGATGATGCTTTGTGGGTAAATAACGAGGCAGACAGATGTTTTTCCCTGGTGGAGTTTAGATCCAGCAGTTGCATGGCCAAGATGACGTTTCTAACAGGAATAACCAACATCTCGGATGATACGGAGGATACAGGTAAAAGAAACGAGTCGGTGCAATAGTTGAAGAAAAGAAGCATTGCATTCACCGTCTGTTTTCGATTATACCCAAAACAAAGCCGTTTCGGGCCCTTTTTTTTATGGCAGATAGCAACTAGATCCATCATAAGCACCGTTGATGTTCATTATCAAAAGAAAAGAATCATACATCCAACACTTCAGGGAATAATAAAAAAACAGCCATTAATGAGAACACGCTCAAGTTGCTGCCTCGCCGTGCCAGCCCCCCAGATATTCCAAAAGACAAATAAAAAACATGAAGTTAATAAGAATAAATCAAACATAGACCAAGAAATGAAGACAAAAGCCCACACCAATGCTCCAGAAATAAGATGTTTACCAAGGTCCAGACCCCAGGATGCGCAGGAGGGGGGGAAAGAGACTAAGCATATAAACTTGAAGCCGAATGCAAAAAAGATAACTGGTAGTTAGATGATAGGGAAATGCCAATAATGAGAGATCAAATGGTAATTAGATATGTGAAACACCCGGGTTTCACGGGTCATAGATCGATTCGCTCGCTCGCTCGCTTTTCAAAAATCAGCCGCTGGTCGGAAGAACATTTTATTCAATCGCTTTGCTGAACGCTTTGATATCGTCATCTGCCAGGGCAGCAATCCATAGGCAACGCTCTAAAACTCCAGGGACAGGTTCGAAAACATATTTTGTGCTTGCATCAATGAGGCGAAGAAGACTCTTCACGATGGCTGCGGCAGTGTGATAACGTTCAAAGTTGACCAGTGGTTCGCCATCGCGAGTGCTGGCGATCTGTGCTGGCTTTTGAGCGTTATATGTCAAGTCTTGCACATAGAGGCCTGCCGCAACAGTTAGCATTGTCGATCAAGCGAAAATCAGACACGACTGGACGGAGAAGCAATTACTTACCAACAAAGGGAATACAGCCATCTTGGATGGAAGATTCCATTTCAGACCTAAGTTTATGAAAGTTGCGGATTGGTTGGATCAGAAACTCCATTTCAGCCAGTATCTCCTTTTCGGTCTCTGGCACACGCTCCCACGTTTTAACGAGTCGCGTACAGTCAACAGATGATAAGGCAATGACCATCTGCAACATGGTGGCATAATTACGCAACTTCCTTGCATTCACAGCAATGTGAATGAGTTTTGTGATCACCAGAGCACGTTCCGTGATATTTTTGGTGAGCACGACTTCTGATACGGCCCATTTGACCATCAAGTTAAAACGGGCGACGACCATGTCTATGCCTTTACGGTCGACACCGGCAGAGAGATAGTCAACCCAGTTAAGTGGAGAAGGGCAGGCATGCGTCCAGCGCATGTCAACAAGGTCTTTCCAGTCAACTTCACTAAGAGCAGCTTGTTCGACGATGGTAAATTGTTTAGCAAGCGTTTGCGAGTCATGGGCTAAGATAAAGGCAATATGGCCAGAGCTAGGGAGAGCGTGGCTTGAATTGGCCGGAGTAGTGGGGGCGATGGATGGGTGAGAGTTATTGCGAGGACGAGAAAAATTCTGTGGGAAATCTAGATATTGGTTTGAGACTGGAGGTTCAAGATATTGGTGGTATGGCGGTAAAGGAGTTGGCTGGAGGAAAGAAGGCGCTATTACGGACGGTTCAGCGAGCGGGTGGGTAGGATCTGAAGGCTTCCTAGTTGGCCCTTCATCTATAGAGAGTTCGGACGAAAGCTCAGAGACGCTGTCATCTATGTGCCTATCACCTATCGGTTCTGGTGCAGTAGCGCCATGAGCAATCCTATTTATGCTATCTGTCTTCTCAACAACCTCGATAGAAGGATGATTAGAGACAACATTTTGGCCTAAGGGCGAAGGATTCTCGAATTTCGGAACTGTAGGTGTCTTCATGGACTCGTCTCCCAAGCCACGCTCTAGGAGTGGAATAGAGGAGTATGAGTAATCTGATCCGAGATACGACTCAGTTCCATTGGCATGACTGACTGCTGGGTGTTCGGGATATGCAGTCGCTTCGGAACCAACATTCACACCTGGGTTGTTTGCAGGCTCATCAGGGTGAGCTTGACGAGATCCCCGCCTAGCAGTATTGGAAAAGCCAACAGATGGACCGTCATTCGGCCTGGCAACCGTATCCCCCTTCCACCTTCCCTCGAGCTTGAGCAGAGCAGACTCGATACCCCCGTCCGGCAGATCGGGTATTTTCCGAAAGCCAGCAACTGCATCTTCGAAGATGTGCCTAGCAGGAGGCGGCTGTGGTGAAGAATGAGAACGCGTACCGCTACGGCTAAGTGAATCTAACGCACTAGAAGAAGTCGAAAAATCGATATCGTCATCATAATCGTCAACATCATCATCATAGTCCTCGCTCTGCGAAATGGAGTCCATATTAGAGGCATGGGTTATATAAAGTGCAGAGGACGTCGAGTCGGTCGCAGTGGTACCAGAGGCAAACCTAAACTTATTCAGATCACGACCAGGGCCAGTGTTCAATCCTGGTTCTTCCGAGCCCATGGTAGTCTGCATTTTGCGCAAGTCACCACCAGGGCGTCTTCGAAGCCGCTTCTCTGGGAGCTGCATGCCCCTGGTCACGGGCATGTGTACAGGTAGAAAGGAGCCTCTATAAGCTCCCATGTCAGTCTTGTCAGTAGTCCTGGGCATGTCTGAAGCAGGTCGTTGGCCGCCATGGCCGCCCAGCACACTTTGGTAGGACGCATATTTGCGTAATCTGGAGCCTCGCTTGCTGATGGAGACATTCTCATGGTGAGTCGACATGGGCGTCACCTCTAACTTGTCCTTCCCGGGCATAGACAAAGGGATAGGAGTAAGCGGATCAATCTCTGGTTCGGGATCAGTCTGGCCAGAGCCAGAATAATACATCTGGAATTCCTCGGGGAGTAAAGAAAGGCCACCACTTGTACCAACCCTGGCGCCGGTATCATCAACAATGAGTATGGACTGGCTGCCCGTCGTGATCTGGCTAGAAGCTCCACGTGAGAAGTTGGGAACAGGTATCGAAGCGGGTATTTCTGCCCGTGGTTGGGTTTTGGGGCTTGGGCTGCGAGGAACAGCGGAGGTAGCTAATGGCGTTTGGTTTACTAGTGTCCCATAAGATTGGTAAGTCCTATCACATAGAACATCGATTCGTGAGGGGCTCTTTATCCCAGGCCTCTTTTCGCGATACCTATCTGATCCGAAGACAACATTGGGGGGAAGGAGGGATGTTTTTCCATGAGCTGAAACGATTGGGCGCGGCTCCGGTTTGCTAAACACAGTGCTGCTAGAGGCGGTACCGGCACTAGAGGCACTACTATAAAGAACGCGGCGGAGAGAGCTAATAAATGATTTCACTCCTGGTGCAGCCTTGGTCGGAGACTCCACACGAGAAAAAGAAGCGGCTGCTGAGGCAGAGGGTAAAAATGAAGACGAGCTCGGCGGCCGTAAGCGAGGCATAGAAGGGTCTGGTGGTGGTGAAAGTGGGCGTGTGATTGGGACATCGGGCTCCAGCGGAGTGAGCATACTGCCACGAATGATACTGATGTTGACACCTCCTGGAGAATTGGTAACTTCAACAGGGAATTGGCCTAGCGAACCCAGTCCCGCAGCACCGCTTTCGATATTAAGATTAGACTGTGTCTGTGGTAGAGGAGCACGGTCATCTCTAAATGAATCCGAAAAGCTTCCGCTGCGTTTATGAGAATGTGAGGATTGAGTGTGAGAGTGCAGGGGCCAGCGCCAGATTGGAGAGCGCGGACTAGGCGGAGCCAGGGGACGAGAGGGGCCGTTTAGTTTGGGGATGGGATCCGGGACAACATGCGCTTTTCGGCCTTGGTTGGAGACACTGTTGCCGCGCAATGAGAGGCGCGAAGAAGGGGCATTGAAGATAGCCTGATTGAAAGCGGTTTGTGCAGGTGGTGGACTTTTATTGAAGTCATTCACTGAGACACTAGAGCCCTTGCGGGTTTGGCTGGTAGGCGTATCCTGGGTAACGAGTTCGGAGTATGAAAAGCACAATCCGTCTCCGTTAGGCCTAGAACCTGGTTTACTGGTGCCAGGGACAATGGGTTCCTCTGGTCGAGGATCATTGACAAACTCTGGGTCATCCCAGCACTGCGCGCAGCGACCATTCCAGCACCGTTTCAAATCTAGGATAATTTTGGTATCACTAACGTCACGGGAGCTGCGGCGTTTGAGATTTTCATACAGGGAATTGATCCGTGAGCAAAACTGTACACGCAGGCTATCACTGGCAACGAAATCATCTACGAAGTAGTTCAGGATCCAGTGGCGTAGAGCAGCAAAGACACGAATGCGAATAATGCGTCCGTCATCCTCACGACGGTTGATGGCCCACTCCAGGCGGGCGAGGAGAAGAGAGAGTAAATTACTCGGGGAAAGGTAAGAGCGGAAGGTAAGAAAGAAATCTGAGACAAGTTCGTAGTCCATAAACGATTCAGATGATATTTGGGCGACGATGCGGGCGGGCGTAGCAGCGGATAGCTGTTTGGTCTGCTTTGAGTATCGAACCACAGAAGCATCATGCATGATGGGTAGCAGGTCATCAAAAATAGAGGGTTCTATAGGCTCCTGAAGCTTGTAAAAGACAGATTGACCTGCTCCCTTGTCGACGACGGTCTTATGCACAGAAGAGCCGGCCATCTTGCCCATGGATATCGGTGAGGATAACCTCGGAGGCCTAGGAGCTGGTCGATAGGCAGAGGCATGTTTCTCTGGGAATTTAAAGTCTTCTAGCTTACGAGCTGATCCGGGAAGCTTGGGCGGTGTCTTTTCGACTGGCTCTGACCCCTCAATGACCACTTTAAGTGCTCCGCGAGTAGGACTTGGCGGGACATCGTCTATGGTAGGTAAGGATTTCCATCGACGGAGGTGATGGTAGGTCTGTGCAGGTCCACGCGAGGTTGTATCCGGCGGATCAACGAGGTAGGAGGACTGTGAGTTTGACCAAACACTGGCCCGGTGGCCAGCGGCTGTTATTTCCGGTATGCTTGGTGCTGGGCTTAAGGTATGCGGTGTGTAGGATCTGTTGGTGATTGGCCTTATATGTTCGTCGATAGTGTTAGGGAATGTATACCAGAGTCGGACAATTCTTCGACTAGGCTAAGGCTGAGGTCAACATACCGTAGATATAATCGTCCATTGTTGCCGACGTTGGCGACAGTAAACTGACGACCATGGGAGGGACCTCTGCGACTCTGAGCAAGTACTTCGTCGCTGCTTTTTACCTCCCGCAAACTGGGGCCCTGGCTATTAATGTTCTGGCTCTTCGTGACAGAATGTCTTTGCAGACCAGGAACAGAGTAGCTAGGGCTATTGGCGTTCATTATTATTGCACTCTCCGTGATGGGCTTCCCGGGGATTGTGGCTGCATATTCGGCCGGAGCTGTCAGAGAGAAGGCTGGCTCATTGCGAAAGTATATCACGGGCGCCGGAGGAGGAGGACGAGGAGAAGGAAGAAGAGGGGGAAAGAGAGTAGAAAACTATCTATATATTCGGCCGTCGCTGGCGAAAAAGGAACTGCCGGTCGATCTACGCCTCGCGGAGGTCGGTGTCGCGTGTTCTCTCCCAGAAGTGCGATACACACAGGGTGAAATGAAGGACAAAGGAAGGTGATGGGACGAAGGAGGAAGGCCGGTGTAGGAGCAAAAGGGAGAGAGAGAGCCGACTCCCGTCGAAGTAAATGCGAATGTTATGGTAGCAAAGGAAAGAGAGTTTTCCCGGGTTGGCGTTGCTGGAGGGCGGTCAAGCCGGCGAGAACAAGAAGCGCTGGCCTAGATACCGATCAGCACTGCGTTACCAGACGACCAGACAAGGCGAAGCGAAGCCTTGGAGACGTGAAAAAGCAACGCAAACGAGTAAGACGAAAGCGCAACAACAACAAGCAAGGCAAAAGGAAGCGTCGAAAGAAGAAAAAAAAAAGGCGTAGGAAAGATCACGCATGCTTACGTAACTCTAAGCTGAGGCCAGTACCCTTCTTAGATAAGCGCGACGCGGGTGAGAATGACCAATAGGAAAGCCCCGCGCGATTAAGTAATCAGCTATGAGCAGGGGAAGCTTAAAGAGACGTCGGCAGCAGAAGAAAGAGGAGGAAGCCAAAGCGACGACGACGAAGAGCGAGCAGACCGCCTGAAGTAGCTGTTGGGAAGCAGGGACGGTCAGAAGCTGGGCAGGCAGGAAGACAAAAAAACCTGTAGCCCATCAGCCTGGATGGCCTGCTTTTCCTCGCCCATCGCCAGAACCTGGCAGCATCGCGGCGCGTTTTCTGGTTGCGTTGCCAGCTGTTGTTGTTGTTTGTTTGGGAGTTTTGGAAGCTGAAGAAGCAGGAAAAAGCAAATAGAGCAAAAAAAGAAAACAGGACGCCTGTGATGACATAAGCAAAAGCTAAGACGGAAGAGGGTTAGGGCTAACTCTAACCGAGCCCTAACTTCGTCATGTGACATCACGTGCTGCGGGGTGCCCCGTGACTTGACTTGCGCAGGGCGTTTCCCAAAAGGGCAACGGGAGGGCAAGGAAAAAATACAAAAGGAAACAAAACTTGTTGAGCTTGTCTTGAGAAGGGCGCGAGTTCCGTCGACTCAAACTACCGGCCATCGTCATCGTCACAGCTACTCCACGTCGCAGAGATATAAAGCTGCCTCTTCCCCTCCTCTCTAGGCCCAGTTCGACTCATCCTCTGCTCAATTGAACAGCCTACATATACATACATCTATCACCGGCATTCCCCTCACCCCACTCGCTCATTGCCTACAGCTACAATGGCTCAGAAAGAGAAAGTCCTCCTCGCCTACTCCGGTGGCCTCGACACCAGTTGTATCCTCGCCTGGCTCCTCGAGCAGGGCCATGAGGTCGTCTGCTTCCTCGCCGATGTCGGCCAGGCTGAGGATTTCAAGGAGGCAGAGCGCAAGGCCCTCGCCGTCGGTGCAAAGAAGTTGGTCGTCGAGGACCTCAAGAAGGAGTTCGTTGAGGATCTCTGCTTCAAGGCCATCCAGTGCAACGTTCGTCCTCTGTGTTCCTTGACACTCGTTCCCTGCAATTGACCAAGGAAGGCTAACAGAAAACAACCTCCTTTAGGCCATCTGGGAAGACCGATACCTCCTCGGGTGAGTCAATCGCTGATATGTTTTATTATTTGTGTGCCTACTACCAGGATTGGAATGCTAACTGTTGAGTAGAACTAGTCTGTAGGTGCCCAAAACTGGCCTCCTCTCAGCAGCATTCGATGATACTTACCTGTCCCCAGTGCCCGCCCAGTCATTGCCAGAGCTATGATGCGCGTCGCCCAACAAGAAGGATGCACAGCCGTCAGCCATGGTATGCATCCCACCGCTTTTTGATTATTTTTGCTTTTGAAGGATATCGAGCTAACCCGTTTTTCTTTTTCTTCAACCAGGATGCACCGGCAAAGGGTACCTCTTCCCTGTCTAATCCCTGTATCTCATCGTGGCCCGTGCTCACCCCTTCTGCAGAAACGACCAAGTCCGCTTCGAGCTCGCCTTCTACGCCATCCAGGTAATTTATTTATACCCTCCTCATGACAGGCACTTTGCTCGCTCAATTGCTAAACCTCTGTTCGACAGCCAAGCATCAACGTCATTGCGCCATGGAGAATGCCAGAGTTCTACAACCGTTTCGCCGGCCGCAACGACCTCATCGAATACGCCCAGAAGTTTAACATTCCCGTTACTTCCACTAAGGCTAAGCCGTGGTCTATGGATGAGAAGTATGGCCCTTTCCCTCACATCCTGCTACTCAATTAGATCAGTCAATCATTAATACCCAGTAAATAGCTTGGCTCACTGCTCCTACGAAGCGGGTATCCTCGAGGATGCCGACCACACCCCACCAGATGACATGTGGAAGTTGACCGACGACCCTCGCAGCGCCCCTGATACCCCAGCTGATCTCAACATCGTCTTTGAGAAGGGTATTCCAGTCGCTCTCATTGACCCCAAGACTGGCAACAAGACCACAGGCTCTCTCGCCATCTTCTCTGCTCTCAACGAGATTGGCCGTGTCCATGGTACGCCATATTTTCCTCGGTGTTTACATTGTATACCTCATCGATAATAAACTGACGTCTATCCAGGCATTGGCCGTATTGATATCGTCGAGAACCGCTACATTGGTCTCAAATCTGTAAGTTTTTTGCCTTCCCCTGTTCAATCTACCCTTGGCGTATGCATGCTGACATCTTCCCTGCACAGCGTGGTTGCTAGTAAGCTTCTTTTCCCAACTGCAAGTCCCCATAGCACCCCTGCCTGAGCTCTAACACATTCTTTCCTAGTGACTCCCCTGCCATGACCATTCTACGTCTCGCCCATCTTGACCTCGAGGGTCTCGTACTCGACCGTGAAGTCCGTCTCCTCCGCGACCAGTTCGTCACCATCACCTGGTCCCGCATCCTCTACAACGGCCTATACTTCTCCCCAGAGCGCAAGTTCATCGAGCAGTCCATCACCGCCAGTCAAGACGACGTTAACGGTCAGGTCCGCGTCCGATGCTTCAAGGGTGCCGTTTCCGTTCTTGGTCGCAGTTCTGAGACCAGCAAGCTGTACGACCCCGAGCTCAGCAGCATGGATTCCATTGACGACTTTGCTCCTACCGATACTACCGGTTTCATTGCCACGCAGGCCATCAGACTCAAGGCCTACGGTAAGGCCGAGAAAGCTGCCGGTGTCGACCTCACCAAGGCATAGATTTGACTCCTAAATTACACTTCAATTTCAGTGCAACTCTATCTATCCTGAAGACTCTTCTGTCGGAGATTAGATAAAAGATCGCACTACCAGGTTCCCACCAACATCACTACCGTTGCTACCACAATATCATCACCACCATCAGAACCCCAGGGAGGTAGCTAATCGCCTGAAGTTGTTTTCCTTTATTTTCTCTATTTTTGGGTCAAAACAAAATGCACAGAAGGATAGAAGGAAACTACATGTATTCTGGGCCTACAGTCCAGATCACGAGGCGATACGTATACTTTTAATTAACGAGTAAATGCAATGAAATAATAACGAGCATGTTCATGTGAAACTCCAAGAATCCAAGCCGAGAGTTACCTTCTATGGTGGTCAAAGCGTAAAAAGCTTAATTAAGTCATGTGACAAAACTCTAACCTAAAATATATATCTTATTTATAATATATTATATAACCATTTTCCATGTCATGTGATCTGGCGGCTTCGCGCGTTTAAACTTTGCCCCAGTAAATACAAAAGTGATTCTTCAACTACACGTCTTGGTTTATTGTTCAGCGTTCAACGGGATATAACAGACAGTCTGCTCTACTAATACGTCGACTGAATACAATCGACTTCCACAGAATTTGAGTAAGCTTGAGCCAATCATCTCGTTCTCTAGCCTCCAACACTAATAGCTTCTTCGGCAGTTGCAAGATGAACAGGAGCAAACAGGCCCAAACCCAGCCAACGTACGATTTTCTCGCTGGAAACTCTCCACCCCAGATGCCTAGAACGCCATTACGACGAAGTACTCGAGCTAGTGATTCGGTGGTTAAGCCAGGTCAGTCACTCCATGTTGGCTGTGTTCCTTCTGCGCCAGACTCCTCTACTTACATTTTACGGCCAATAAATAGATGTTGGAAACGAAGAACTACGCGTACAAATCAGCACGTTGAAATACGACCTTGAAAATATCAAACAGGAAAGAGATCTTACCGCACTGCAACACGAGAGAGAGCTAAGGGAACTGCAGGCCAGGGCCGATGCAGACTTCCGAAGAGCACAAGCTGCTGAGACCAGCTATAATAAAACGCAACATAAGATCGAATCACTCACTGAAGAGCTGAAAAGTACACAAGAGGCAGCGATTAGCGAGAAATCGTCCTGGGAAAGGAGGCTGAGATCGTTGCAGGATGAAAATGAAACTCTACGTGAGGAATCAAACGATTACCAGTCGCAACTAGCCGACCAGCAACGTCAGTACAAGCACCAGATCGATGAGCTCGAGGCCATCAGATCTGCCTTGCAAAAGTCCCTGGATGAACTACGGAATGAGCTTGAAGAGGTCACTGGTAACCTGCAAACAGCACAGGAAAGGCTGGAAGAACGGGAATCAGATGTTGAAGCGCTGGAAACAGAAAATATCCGGTTAAAGTCTGAAGGAACGGACACCGAAGCACTCAACGTTTTGAAAAGGGAATTATCGGAACAGCTGGCACAAGTGAGAAGGCTTGAGAATGAGCTCAGGCCACTCCAAAAGTCCCAGAAAAGAGTGGAGGTCGTTGAGGAGCAGAAAATGGCGCTCGAGAGTCAACTCCAAATGATGGAGAGTGTCGAAGCGGAGCTACGTAATATACAAATTCGAAATCAAGTGCTGGAAGATGAGAAACGTTCTTGGGATACCTTATTGCAAGGACCAGGCCAGGAGGCGGAGTTTGAATCACCCGAATCTATTGTTAGAGCTCTTGTCCAGGCCAGGATTGAGAATGCATCTTTAGTAGAAAGAATCGGACACATCCAATCCGAGGCGACAGAAAAATCTGAACTAGCTGCTCGACTGGAAGGCGAGAAACATACTCTGCACAAGGAACTTGAAAAGGCACGCGCAAACGGTGCAGCTAATGCCACCTCTTCGTCGTCTTCGTCAGGCTCCGAGAGCCGAGCTAGACTGCGGCTAGAACGTCAGCGAACGCTTGCATTAAAAGAGGTGGAGTATCTACGAGCTCAACTTAAGGCGTTTGACGATGAGGAGACGACTATGAACGTCGAGGAGAATCGTTTTGATTCCCAAAAAGCAGAGCATATTGCGCGTTTAGAAGACCTCTTAACTCAACACCGCCAGGAACTCCATGAGTTACATGAACAACTATCAAAGCGAGAAGCCGAGGTAACACCTACTATCGATTTGGCAGCACCCACTACCACGACTCGAGGAATAAAACGGCCGCTTTCCCCTGCAGATAGTGACGTAGAGAGCGAAAGGATTGCAATCCTTACCCGCAAGTACCGTGCCGCCCAAGAGTCGTTTTCTAAATCAGAGCAATCGGTTAAATTGCTCACAAAGGAACTGGAAGCTACTAAGTCTCATCTCTCTTCTCTCCAGGCGCAATCCCGGACTCGAATACTAGAATTCCGTGATAACCCTACTGCACAAGCAGAGAAGATTAAAATGACTACCCTAAAGACTCTCAAGGCAGAGAACGTCGACCTTCTCAACCAAATACGTGGTTCTCGTGCAAATATCAAATCAGTTCCGGCTTCCGTACTTGAAAGTATGAAACTCGAGCTCAAAGAAGCTGAGAAGGCAGTTGCCGAGAAAGATAAGCGTATCCGCCGGCTTAAGGAAATATGGACCGCCAAATCTTCTGAGTTCCGAGAAGCCGTTGCATCTATACTAGGGTATAAGCTGGACTTTATGCCTAATGGCCGGGTACGGGTGACGTCTATGTTCCATCTATCCCCGGCTTACCGACACGGCGATGCAGGTGGCTCCGCCGACGGGCCTGGAAGTATGGGGGACGGCGAAGAGAACTCAATCATCTTTGATGGTGAAAATGGAACTATGAAGATATCCGGTGGCCCAAACAGTTTGTTTGCGCTGGAGATCCGTGACCTGATTAAATTCTGGGTTGAGGAGAGGAAAGATATCCCTTGTTTCCTAGCTGCGATGACCTTGGAATTTTACGATAAAACGACAAGAGCTTTACGGATGTAGGAGTCTGTCCTAACGGGAATTTTTGCTTTCTTTGAGCTATATGAGCTCTACGCTGTTTTAAACGTTGGTTATCCATTATATTTCAGGTGCATGGCGTGTCAAGCTACTTTTATACCTCATTTCTTGATATCTCTAAGCCAAGAGTTCCAATGGGATGACATTAATCACTATATACATCATAGAAGGTCTCAGCCCGAATCTGGATCGATCCCGTCGACTAGCTAACTCTGGTTGTGCGTCCCAACGTCATAAATCCATGCTTAGTATGCGTTATTCTTCAAGAACTCGTATGCAACAATCGTATGAATCTGCGAGATGTTAACGAGCTCTTCTATTTCGACGTACTCGTCTGCGGCGCCCATATTGTTTGGTGTGCATCCTACAACGACAGTCGGCACATGGGCAGCGCGATACCAGCGCGAATCTGACGCTCCAACCCGTATATTGCAAACAGCTTGCTAACCTAGGACTTCTGTTGATACCATTTCAGCTAATCGACATATCTTCTCGTTCGGAGATGTATAGTTTGGCTCGGATGTCCGTAGAATACGCCAGGACATTCCTGCCATCGGCTCAAGCATGTCCTTCAATCTTTTTTCTATAAAGTCCGTCGATACACCCACTGGTATACGGATATCACATTGGGCCATTGCAGAGTTCGGGATTAGATTCGGGGATACGCCTCCCTTGATTGTGCCTGTGTTCACGGTGATACGCTGCAAAGTATCTGATTCACCGGCCCCAGAAAGCGCTTCGGATATATCCCTTGCAGCATCGATGGCATCTGATACCTCCGGTGGTGCATTAATTGGGAACTTTTCAAGCTCATAAACTGCATCCAGTGCCTTTCGGAGACGATCGATGGCATTCACACCTCGATGGACATGTGCTCCGTGAGCAGGGTTACCAACAGCTTCGACATCAACCCAGACAAACCCCTTTTCTCCAAAACGGATGACCCTGGGTGATCCGGCATCGCCGCATATCATAGCATCTCCCTTCGCTTTTCCAACGTTACCCAGCAGCCACTTGGTGCCTTATTTACCCATAGATTCTTCGTCCCCAGCAAGAGTAAGTACAATCTCACCAGACCAGGCATCTCGGTTTTCCGATAAGATTGTAGCCGCAACGATGGATGCTACAATTCCGCCTTTCATATCAGAGACGCCACGCCCATAAAGGCGGCCATCTTTTACCACACCACCTGCTGGCGGCACAGTCCACTTCAGATCCTCACCAAGGGGGAAGTATTAAGATATCCATTAAAAAGGAGTCGTTTACCAGGGCGACCGCTCGAGATGCATACAACTACATTCGCAATTCCCGCGCCGGTTACATGATGGGTTATCTGAATGTCTGGGATGGCTTCTTTAAGCAGTTGTATGGCAGTTGTGGCTGCTAATGTGGTATATCCTGGAGGGCACGGTAACGGAGCAGCTACTAATTTCTAGGCTACCTGTATAATAGCTTCCCTTCGATTTGATACTTGAAGCCGTAGCTGGGATCTTAGCTTTGCTGCTTGTTCCTCTTCCATCTCTACGGAGAAATAATTAGTAGAGGATGAATGTCAGATATGCGGTATCAGAGACAGCTTTTTGTTGCTATGTGAGCAGTTCAGAAGAGTGCGTTTAACATTGCACGTACATCATTGCTGGAGGATGTTGCTAGGTGGTTACTATGCTTGATATCCGAATCGCTGCACTTTGCCGAGTTACGAACCCGCCTGACCAAGGCAGAGGTCGTGTTTAGCACTTGGATCAAGGCCGAGTTTATGCGCTTGCCCTTAGGCTTTGTACTATTCGAGGGAGCAGGCTATATGAAGTCAAGTCTAGGTATTCAGGATAACAACATATCTATGTACACTAATTGCTATTAAATGAACCTGGACAATGCAAGGGATTCCTGCTAGCTGAAATATTCACCCGTGCAACTCTTATGCACTCCTACTGGGTAATATATATTTTATAAATGTAACGGGATACAGCAGGAAAATACAAGGTATAATCAAGAAAGCAATACAAAAGAGCTAGAAGGAATGATGCCTGTCTACGCCTGAACCTGTCTTCAAGGGTATATGATAACAGGTAAGAAATGGATCAACCAAATACATAGGACGAAAGAGAGAGCGGTGAAACTAATCAGTGAAATGACTAGAGTGCTGCCAGTCGAATAGACAGATTCCAGTAGCCAACCATAAAGTAATTGACTATGTCGAAACGTACTTCGCAATAGTGAGTCTACGTTCAGTCAAAGGCTCTGCCCAGGGTTCTATAGAGGGATCTCCCTCTTTAGAAGTACCTAGGCCTTCATCCGCAAATGGGTCATCTTCTTTGTCTTTGTGGTCTGAGTTTGCACTTGACTGAGAAGTAAGCACACTCATACCAAGCCTCGAAGTATTGTTGCTGCATGTCGCGTCAAACTTGGCTTCTACCTTGCCCCTTCTCGGCCCGCTGGTCGATGATGTAAACCTAGCAAGAAATTTCCCATCCTCACCGGGCCTAATCTCTAGTTCCGGGATCTTCCACGTTACAGACGAATTCTTGCGTCGGAAAACGGCACCGGTGCTTGGATGCATGGCTGCACCCACAGCTTTAGCAACTTCTCGAGGACGCATAGTTGTTTCGTCAACTTGTGATATGTCCAGGCCCACCGATAGCACCAGGTTGTGAAGAACAACAGATGCACTCGAGTCGGAGGATATAAATTGAGGGTTCAGCGAATATTGTACAATAACACTTGCTTGAAATTCCTCCTCGTTCCAAACGGGTGTGAAGATAACAGGGCAGTATGAGGATAGGTTCGAAGAATCCAGATGGATCTGATATTTGAAGGCAACTGTTGGCGTAGGACCCATAATCTGTGCTAGACGTACTTGATATTGGCCTTTGGAGGAATCGTCATGCGGTATATCACCCCCAGATGCAGTTAAGCTCCTCTCCGTAACAAATTGTGGGTTCGCAGCCACCCGTTCTAGGATTCCAAAGTTGTTTAGGCGGATAACTTGCGATTCCGAGGCATCTTCTCCTGATGTATTGTTATTGTATGCAAGAGCAAGCTCTCCGACAACAAGTGATCTGGTAACAACACCCTCTGATAACATGACCGTTAATTTCTCCACAATGGAAGCATTAAGGCCGGGTTCCGGTAGTACAGGGTGTGTGATGGGGCCCGATAGGCTGTGCAGAGTCTGCGAGGAATGAATTGAGGTATTATCCGGCATATGGTCCTCCTGGATAACTTTTTCCGGCAATGCCTGGTTCCTTGGCATCTCGGGGGCTCCTGGCTGTGCCGATGCAGCATTATTCAAAGCAGGGAAGGGGTTTTCAGCACTGTGACCAGTGCCTGGGAGCGGAGGTTGAGGGAAGAACATGGTATTTCGTACATCACGACGTCCTCTAACCGTCCCGGGGCCACGGGCGGCGCCAGATTGTTGTGCTTTCTATGGAAAGCATGGTTAGTTACGTGGAAAAATGAGTTGAGCACACCAATGGGCACATACAAGTCGTAGCGTGTTTGCCACTTGGTTCAATGCTTGTTTAGCCTCGCTTTCATCCTCTGGGATAGGCTGGTCTCGAATGGTTAGGTTTATGCCCGAATCATCAACACTAAAAGTAATGTCAGTTTTACCAACACAAATACATGACATGCTGTGAACGTAAAATAACTTACGCAGCGGCTTCCCTTTGTATTCTTGTAATTTCATCTTCTATATCCGGCCTCTGAGAGTAGCCTTCTGCATCGACTTGTGAGGTTTGACCAGGTGCGTCGGTTGACTGCCCATTTACTGCATTGGATTCTTCTGCTACAGGCTCCTCGGGGATATCATTCGGCGCCGGTAAAGGAGGTGACTCAATGAATGCCGATTCATTCATAGTAGATGACGGTGGCCTTTGAGATTTCATTGAAGTAACCGCCTCTAAGCCATTATGCCCTTCTGATTCGTCCATTTGTTGAAAATTGCGGGATGGATCGGTACGGCGGAATGTAGTGAAAGGAGATCGAAATTTCTTCTCAGGGGGGCCAGTAGAAGGAACAATCATGCTCTTGCGCCTCCCCATAACCGTTCCAAGTCGTTTTAGGCCGCCAAAGGCAGTATGGCGAGGCTCGGGGGCTGTTGTGCTTGTTAAAAAAAAAAAAAAACTATGGTACTAATTGAGAAGCAATAAGAACTCACTCTGTTGGAGGCTGGGACGACGCTGTGCAGAAGTACCAGATCGCTGACTCGCATCGTCATCATGAACAGGAGGAGACGGTAGTGGCTCTGTCGTAGCCGGTGGGGTTGGTTTAGGACTTGTTGGTGTATCCTGTCGAGGCGAAGTTGGAGCTGGTGTAGATGGGACGGCCTCAGAGGGCAATCGTCCTCCGCTTTTCTTGTTGACGTACGTGCGGATCTCCTCGCCCGCTTCAATATTTAGTAACGAGTTAAGAGAGCTCTCTACGGCCTGGCGACTGCGTTCAACATGGTCTGTCTCATGAGTTTGGTATTGAGTAAGGATGTCTCGCAGATGGTTGACACGGTGTTCATCAACAGCTTGCAGTTGCTCGAGAACAAAGGGCGCTCTAGACTGCCATTGCGCTCTGGCATCGTCCACGGCAGCCTGTGCGCTGGGCACTTTTGAAGCATGTTTGGGGCCTTTATCTTTAAGCTTATCAAGCTTCTTTTGGGCAGCCTCCAGAGTCTTGGCTAGAGATGCAAGGTCATTCTGGATTGTTATCATTGACTTCATGTCTGCATTTTTGGTTTCATATTCTCTGAGGGGTCTTTCGGCATCCGTCTCAATTCCGTTAGCTAGCGCTTCGTGCGAGTGAGCCATAGACTCTGTCGCAGAAAGGATCCGCTGCCATGGTATTTCAAAGACCCTATCACATAGAATTATCGATAATCAGTAGCTGCTTCGAGAGAATAGAGGTTGTTGAGTGTTGTATCTGACCCCAATGCCTGGCCTCCTTCTGGCTGTGGTCTTCGCGCAAGCTTCCGAAGTCCGAGATAGTATGCTTCCTCTAATCGGCGTCGTTCCTACTCGTCTCATTAGCACCCTATACTCCTGTCATCACGCGGTATATGTGATTGGGTAGCAAGGCGTACAGCGAGCCAATCTGCAACATCTGTGTTGAGCTTGTTAACCGTCCGCAACCGCTCAGTGACAACAGCAATAGCTTGGCTGGGTTGCAAGATGCCCTATTTCCATATAATAAAGTATTAGTATATATGAATTTATAAAAGACAAGGTAGCCATATCACTGGCGAAGGCTATAAGATAGCCCAACTCACCGCTAGGGCAGGGTATTCCTGTCGCGATAGTTCCATATCAAACGCGTTTCATAGCCTGGATTCAGACAAGGGAACTATAGCATAGTTTCTTGGCGATAGCAGAATAGGAACCAGAAGATATAGAGGTGTATTCTCAGTCTGAAGGGTAAGAGTGACTAGTAAATGAATGACTACTCTTCTCTGTTCTTTGCAACTGCGAATACTGCTTGTCAGGAGGAGACGTTCTGTACATGAATTGCGATGTTCTGGATGGCGGAGGAAAGATGCTGACAAATTATGTCACGTGTCATCTGTTTACTTTTGCCACTGTCAGAGAAAAAGAAAAAGTCTGGGGAAGAAGAAGGAAACAAAAGATAAACAGGATAAAAGACAGGAGCAGAGAAGAAAGTAAGGGGCATTATATATGGTGTAGAAGAAGGAGAAGGCTTATAGAGCGGGAGACAAATTTGTTAGATGTCTGGGTAACTATTGATGCCATCCCTTTAGACCAGATCTTAATGCATGAAAGCGAATACCCGCCAGCCATTTTCTCACCATAGCGCTACCTACTATTATAAGGAAGTATATGCATAGGGGCCATTACCGATAAGCAATCTAAGGGCAAACCTTTATACCTCTGGCCGGTGATGGCTTCCAGTACAACCTGGAGATCAGAAATTGGATTCTCTGATCGTTTAACTAATATTGCAGCACTGCAAGTTGCACAATACCTCCTTCCATCCAATTGAATGTCTGGCATATTCTGACTAGTCTACATAGGAGTTCAGCATACTGCCACAGTCATACAGAAGCCAACAGTGCCTTTGAAGGACGTGCAGAAGCGACCAAATTTGAGGCCGAGGCGTTTAACGGCGCTTCGTCGAAGGTAAGGAGAGACAATACCTAGAGCTATAGTGGACTACGGCATATAACATTCTCAACCACGCAGGCTGAGTATCAAGCTGCATGCCAGAAACATATTGATGGGCTGAGAGGGCACCAGACCAAGGATGAGGACCCTAACATATCGGAAGTCAATCGAGCTTATGATCTTGACCCTCGCCCGGGCAAGCAAATAGGGCCATACAAAAAGGCTCTGCCTGACAATGATGGACTCTTTTCCACCATTTACAAATCAAGGAATGCGGATGGGTTGCTTGTGGCTTTAAAAGTTACAGTTCCGCAGATGATGGAACTGCCGCATGATTCGGTGCGTGAAGCAAGGATAACACGCCGGGGCGAAAGTACCAATGTCATTCCATTGTTGGATACCCTGCATGAGCCGGGTCAGAGATTCGTCTTAGTATTTCCATACATGTGTTATCAGCTAGATACATTGCTGAGCCGGAATGTCCTCTCTCCACAAGATATCCGGTCTCATTTGCGAGACCTCTTTCGTGCATTGGACCACATACACTCACTGGGCATCATACACCGCGATATTAAACCATCTAATATACTCCTTCGCTCACCATCGGGGCCGGCGTATCTGACTGACTTTGGTATCGCCTGGGACCCGACAGATCCAGCTTCCGAGCCGGCTGATGCAAAAATAACTGATGTCGGAACAACATGTTATCGACCACCCGAGATATTGTTTGGCGGGAAAGATTATGGTCCTAGCCTTGACCTGTGGGCTGCTGGTTGTGTTGTCGCGGAAGCTATCGATATGCCAACTCATCGAAAACTCTTTGATGCTGGTGACCTTGGCAGCGAACTGGCGTTAATACATTCCATTTTTACAACCTTGGGGACACCAAACCTTGACATATGGCCGGTATGTACAGTACGCAGCGTATGAATTGTAGGGGTTTCAACCCCACTCCCTGCTGCGGGTTTGTTTTGAGGGCCTCCCCTTTATATTTCCGGAAATTGCCATGTCTAATTAATGCTCATGATGTAGTCTGCCAAAGGGTTGTCTGACTGGGGGAAAATCGAATTTAAGCAATATCCCCCAAAGCCCTGGGAGGAGATATTGAATGGTGTGCTACAAAATGGTCGAGACTTGGTGCAACAGCTCGTTCGTTACGAGAGCAAGGATCGCATTGCGCCCTGCGAGGTTCGTGATTCATACGCGCGCATATTTACATGGTAGATTTATTGAAAGGGTTTGCTAATAATTCCGGCATTAGGCATTGAAACACCCGTTCTTCAGTTAGCTGCCCTCACCTGTTGCATCTCGACTCTGTCTGTGGGTTTGCATGTCGTTTTAAACCAATCTTACACACAAGGAATCTTTTTTCATGACCTTTGCATATGTTTGTGCCAAGCCTATATAACTAATGAATAATCACATGACTGTTAATTCACGTGATGATAGAATTGTCCAATTCCTAAAGTAGAAATTGTTGACCTCAACTCGACAACGTCGAAGCATCCATAACATCTACAGCAATTCGCGTTGAGCACAATCCCCTGGAATATGCAGGGTGTTTTCTTTTTCTCGCTCCGTTTTGCATGATATAATGTGGCCGGCTAGCCAATTCAGAACCTTTTACGACTTAGTGTTAGGTTCTGATCCGTGCTGCGAAATGAACATTGTCCTGGATATGCTCATAAGGACCCAATGAAGATGATACAATCCTTTCCTATGATGCGGGGTCAGAAATAGGATTTATTTAATAATAGATGTGGTCATTGCTTCGGGTATAAAGCTTCATTCCGTATAAACAAAGTATAGTTAAATAAATAGAGCTAACATATGGTCATAGTAACCGCTGGGAAGGCAACTGTTGCTCTGTGAAATGCTTTTTCCTACTTTGCTTGACAAATGTTGAAGGAATCGGCGAGTTTCTTTAAGAATACGCTGACAGACAGAAGGTAAACTTAACTCGAGGTATTTTAGCACAGCTAGAAACGAGCGAATTTAATTTTATTGAGGCACACCAAAGGGAACTCTCGGGTTAAGAGCAGCCTCTGCTCTTCCAACATGGAAGGAAAAAAATTTTTCCATTATATTAAAGACTCAAGACTGGAGTTCTACCCAGAAGTCCATCCTTCTTCCGCATGGTAAGCCAGCGAAGCATTGGCGAAACTGCTTGGGAGTTAGCTGGGGCTCTCGCAGCCATAAAATGTCAAACGCTCGGCAGTTCAACTACCAAATGGATTTCAGTTAAGGAGTCCTTGGCCATTCGCTGCGCCTTGGGGTAATACCTGAGACAGCTAAGTGAGTCTCTGGTTTGGTCGTTTGCTATGATCAAGACTTTTAGGGCAGTTTTAGGTGTGGGCGCTTAAAACTCCGTGCATACCACCGAGATGTGCCGAGTAGTGAGCTTCAGGTAAGAAACCGACTTATGCAGGAACTAACTACGAAGTACAGAGTACAGGACATTTACTCCGTTCTTAGCATCGAAAAGTGAATATAACGGTAGTAATTCAAACCAGTGGTAGGGGCTCCTTTTGGTTTGAAACCGGCAGATTTCTATGAGCGGCCATGGCTGGTCGAGGAAGAGAAAAAGAACCCAACAGCAGCTGACACAAATTTCGACCAATAGCCGGGTAGTACCGTCTCCCCTTTACTTTTGTCTGGGGATGTTGGACTCTGGTTCCCATCTTGACAGACTCGTATTGATCGACATGGCGACAAAACACGGCAGACAAGGAATGGGAACAACCGGCGCCAGATTATTTCCCCATCGACATGGAGAAGAATTGTTGCCTGCGTGGAAGAACGATGGTTACTTGCTCAATACGGAAGAGAGGTCTGGTTATCTCGGACAACCGATCGATCATCGGTGTGTGTCTCGCAGGATGGCGGCCATGCTGTTTGCTCCGTCAGCCGTGTGGATGATTCCTCCTTGACTATAAGGGAAAGGCGTCAGGTACGAGCAGCCTCATCCTCGTTCCCACCAACAGAAGTCTGGGTTCCGGCCAGGGGAAAGTGCGAGCCCCTGGCGACCTCGTACCGATGTTTAATTAAAGCAACTAACTTAAATACGGTCAACCGAGGAACCTGGCTAGAGACAGGCTGACATCAAGCGATGTGGCCAGGCGACGGGCTACCAGACATCGACAGTTCCTCTCCGTACGGAGTACCTGCGACGTTGGAATGCGTGGTGTTTGAGATCATGGTCACCATTTGATTGGGAATCTTCGATCTCAAAGGTGTGCCTGACTTGCGCGATTAGTGCGAGCGCCGGCCGTGGAGATATCACTTGCATCGCATGGGGAGCGCCATGGATATTCGCCCGGTTCGGCTTCAGCTGGCTCGACTAAACAGCCACTAATTTCTTAGTGTCCCAAAAATACACTTCGGGGGGGCTTTGCTGCCCTGGCATGAAAGTCTCCTCTTCCCCCGGGCTCTTAGCGACCGCTTCCTCGCTCTTTTCGCTCTTTAACTGACATTCACGAATTCTACGCTGCCTCGCTCCTTTCTTGTCGACAGTCGACGTTCTCTCTTTGTTTGCTGCCCCCAAGTCATTCTTTTGTTCATTCACTCTTTCCAAAGAGCACTCCGCCGAAGGAGGGCTCTGTCCAGTCGCTCCCTTGGATCGCAAACTCAAGCGTCTTTCACAGTCATTAATACCATCGTTGATTTCAACGCAGAGACAGATGGCTCTGTGATATCTACAGACGAGCGGTCTAAGATTTCACTAATAACCTATATATCGTGCGTTTGAAATTGCGCTGGTTGCTGCATCCCGTCTCTGAGTGGTACGACGATATTGTACCGCGGCATCTATCTATACCATCATGGCGCGACACGGCCACCGTCATCGGGCTCGAAAGCACCCTTCAATCGACGATATTATCGACAATATCGACGATATCTTCAAGGACAATGACAGGAAGTCGGGCTCCACCATCACATCTGTCATCTATGTGACTGCGAAACCGACGTTCTCTGGACCTATCGGCGGATATTCGACTGCAACAGAGGACCGCGACCGTCCAAAGATCACACCGTTTCCTCCATTGGAGACTCCCACGCGGTCAACGAGGAGACCCAGGCCAACAGAGACCAGTGATGAAGGGGAGACAGAGACACCAACACCTGAACCGACTCCGGAGCCGACAACAGAACGGACACCAACTACCACCCGTCGGCCACCCTCGTCGTCTTCATCTTCCTCTTCGCAACCATCGTCCCATTCGACTCCTGCACCAACGACAAGTAGTGATCGGGACTTCACTACCTCTACATTGGCCCCAACACGGACGATTGCAACCAACTCCAATGATGCAGCCATGGAGACAGCCTCAGGCTCTAGCTCGGCTACTGCTGTTCCAGGTGCCGGAGGAATGAGCTCGGGTGCGAAAGCCGGTCTTGCAATTGGTCTCATTGCCCTTGCTGCTATTATTGGCGGTGCTATATTCTTCTTTCTTCGTAAAAGGAAAAGAGAACAGGAGTTACAGGAGATTGACAACGAGAAATCGTTCAGCAATGCGGCCGCAAGTTTCCCACCACCTCCTGCTTCTAGACCAACTACATCCACTACTTCTCCCGTTGCACCAAAGCTCAACATTCGACCTGTGACTCAGTTTTCTCCAGACTTTGGAAGCCCACTCCCCGGGGCAGCCAAGGCTCCAGGCGTGCTCAACGTCTCTGGTTCCTTGCCTACTCCCCCAGCATCTGCCGGTGGCTCGCGCAGCCTGACGGACGGCCCTGGGCCATCTGCACTAGTCAAGTCACATACTGCCACAAATTCTGATCCATTCAATGACCCGGTCAACCCCTTCGACAATCCAAGTTCGGCTCCTTCGTCACCTCCAAACCGGACGCTTCCAGAAGCCCTCCAGGTCCGTACGCCGAGTGTTGGTTCAGACGTCGGCCGCCCCGTATCTCCTGTATCTGAAGGTACTGTCAACACTGGTGTTGTTGCATCTGCTAGCGCGTTGTCCGCTGTCACTACTAGCGCTGCCGCTGTTGCTTCTGTTCGGTCCAGTGAGGATGCCCGTAAAGATCAGCCGCCGCCGCCGCCGCCGCCGCCGCCGCCGCCGCAGCAGCAGCCCGCTCCTCCACAAGTCTCGGCTGCCGCTCCCGCGCCTTCGAGTCCTGCCATGAGCACGGCCTCTGTCGTTAATGTAGCGCCAGCACCCGCTGGAGCGCCTGCTGGCCCACCCCCTGGACCAAACAATGTCTACCGCGTTCAACTTGATTTCAACCCTTCTATGGATGATGAATTACCCCTTCGGGCAGGCCAACTTGTTCGCATGCTCCATGAATATGATGACGGCTGGGTACGTAGCCCAATCCCGGCAACGCATATCGCATATCTCATACTAACGTCACTTTTAGGCTCTCTGTATCCGCCTTGACCAGCCTCAGCAGGGCGTTGCGCCCCGAACATGTCTTTCTTCCCGCCCTGTTCGTCCTCGCCCACGTGGACCACCTCAAGGCCCTGGTCAACGCACTCCCATCCCAGGGGCCATGCCTCCAGCAGGCGGCCCAAACTCCCCTGGGCCAAACCCCAATAGCCCGCGCTTTAACCCTCCTGTGAACAGTCGGCCAGCTTCACCCAATGCAGGATATAGACCCTACCCTCCACCTCAAAACAAGTTCAACGAGATCCCTCGCTCATTATCCCCAGGTCCGGGTGCTGGTAGCCCACGAATTCCACAGCCACGATCAATGAGCCCAGGACCGTATGGACCAGGTGGGATGGAGAAGCCCGTTATGCCTGCGGCCCAAAGACCAAGGAGCAATAGTGCCGGTGTTGCTGCTGCCCCTGCAACTCCTGCACCAGCTCCGGCAGCAGTCTCGGAGGAGCCTGTAGTGAAACCAGAGCCAAGTCGCAGTCCTCCACCAGCGCTAGGGCCTGCAAACCGTAAACCTGTTCCAGGCCAGGAGAATTAGTCTTTGGAAACAAATTCTGGCTCTCATATACCCTCCCACAATCCCTTACTTTTACCTTTTGCCTCATGGTTTGAATGCTTCTAATGTCTAGTTTTTTCTTTCTATTCTTCGAGTTAACGGGCGCACATGAGATGAGCTCCTACATACCTATCTAGCTATACCTATATGGGCAGTAGCCATGATCATGCATGCACACGTGCTCTCATTGGCGATGCGATGGCGGTGATATCCCGATATGTTCTATACTTTTGTTTTCTTTGCTTCCCTTTTTGCCTTGAAAACTCCGTGAAGATGCCCGCTTCGGCGGTAGCAAGCCAAGTTTAACGGTGTTGTATTGGCACATGTTATGTTTCTTATTCCCTTTGTGGCTTTTGGTTCCACCCTCAAGTGTGTATATATCTCTTTGCTCGTTTCCTACACATGCCCGGTTGCCTATTTAACATTCTTGTTTAAAATACGTCGTGCCTGTCAAGACGTACTATGTTATATAAAGTTCTTGAGTAGCAGTTACGAATATAAATCGAGGCCAATCGTTTAGCAAAGGATGATAATCTTTTCAGGTTTGTTTGACAGGGTTGTAGATACATATTCAATGCACACATTCGATGTATAAAACCCCGAAAGACAGGAGAACTGCTGACCATATTTGCATTTCCTAACATTTGACAATGGGCCATATATATGTAGCTGTGCTTTCGAGCTATTCTTACAACAGAAGTCAAATTATAAAATGGTAGACAGGCCGACCTTTCAAAGAGAGATTTATAAATAGCATGACAGATATCGGGTATATAATATACTTCAAATCACGGCCATGAACGAACCCTAAAGTCAGAGGTGCGGAACCTTTGCGCTCGCTAGTATCAGGTTTAGGATGCTGACGATACCTTCACCAAGAATAAGACCCGACGCTAGAATAACTATCGTTGATGAAGTTGAATCTTCGTCGTTATCTAGCGGCTTGTGTGCCTCCTGTTCTTCACCATCTGGTGAACTGGCGCTTTGTGCTTTGGATAGAGCAAGACGATCTCGCATAATTATGGAACGATATTGCCAAATAAGAGCAATTATACCTCCAATTGCTCTGGCTAAGGTGAATGAAGGAACATTGTACATCCCAACGGCAACAGCAATGCCACCGGGCACCCAAGCACGCCAAGGGGCAAATACCGGGCCTTTACTACCGGCGGGGCCGGAGACTGTTCCGACAATTCTCAGGATGGTGGTAATGGTGAATATTATGCAGGCAATACCGGCGGCTGGCCATGCCATTTCTGGAAGACCTTGGCCGGTCACAAGTCGCGCAGTAAATATCCAAACATATCCAGTCGGGACCTCGAACATAGGTCCGGGAACTGGGTAGACGTTGACGTAGAGCTTATACACGCCAACTGAGATGATAGCACCAACGACACTTCCAATGGCCTGGCCATAGAACTGCGCCTTGGGGCTGGCGCCGAGGAGGTGGCCTGTCTTCAGATCCTGCATCATGTCGCCTGCCTGCAGAGCTCCAGACTCAGACACAGCACCCGCAAGGAGATTAGCAACTATTGCACTGCGGCATGTATGGTGGCTCGCGGGAGTGGCTACAGCAAAAATAAGCTGAGTGAGTTTGCTGATGCCAGATACAGGGTTGAGGTCAGTTTCTCCCAAGGCGCGGACACCCATTATGGAGAGAAGAAGAGCGAGGAGTGTAGCCGCAATTGAAAGAAAAGGAGATATTATGTCACCAAACGCTATGCGCATGCATACGACGTTTAGAATTAGCGCAAGGGGAAGCAGTATCGCGATTGTACGGTTAGATATAAGTTCGGATGGGGGAGCATCGTAGTCTTCCCCCTTTGGGTCACGGCCTTCTCGCGCATGTATGGCAGTGTAGCCAGGGCTGGACGGAGTGCTTCTGCTAAACAGACCTGTCCAGAACTGTTTTCGTCTGATCTCATACTGAAGACGCACGACAAATCCAGGGCCTTGATTGACGAGTGGTCGAATTGCCAACCAGGCCAAATTGATGATTGAATCAGCAAGCATAATTGCCAGGGAGACCCAAACTATCCAACCTTTGCTGCCAGTCTCCCAGCTATTTACCGGGCCTGGCGCCCAGCCATTATGCTTTGCTAGAGGGGAGAGTATAGCCCATCCGATTACGGCACCGAGCAGCATATGAAGAGATGTGGAAGGTCCCATAATGATGCCCTGCCCGATGTACGCAGGTGATGGATTCAAGGTCCATAACCATTGATTTGCCAGGGGAAGTCCGAATACCGGCAGATTACGGAGCACCGGCGCAAAATACGACAGAAGGGTCTAAGCCCGAAACTTGGTCAGTAACAAAAAGGCAACGATAGGTGCTAGAAAGAGCTTACATAGATGGCAGATACACCGAATGCAAGAAGCAGCATTCTAATTTTAGCCTTCCATTCATGTTTTCTTCTTCTGTCTGCTTCTAGATGCTCCAGGGTGACACCTGCAATGTCGTTGGATGCCAATAGCCGCTCAGTCTCTGCCGGACTGTCAGTGGAGTGGTTCAGCCTCCTTGTAGTCCCTTTGCCCTTATCAACCGGTTTGGTTGCGCCATGTAACACATTTATCATGAGAGCCGTCGCTGTACCACTGGGGAACTTGAGCTTTTCCCGCACTATAACCTCCTTTCTTAGAGGCACCGCGAAGATGACGCCAAACAGACAAACGCCCAAGCTCCAGACAATCAGCTTCCATGATGCCAGCTTCAAGGGCCCGCCTTCGCCGTCACCACCATCACTCCCGTCCATAGGGCCGTCAGGTCCTGGCCGGAGCAGATACTCCAGGGCCGGAATGACGCCCACGAAGCCGCATCCCAGGGGCATCGTCCCTACGGCGCCGGCCACCGTCTGTATCAGAACATTCTCGACCGGCGTAAACGGGAACGAAAGATGGCGGGAGAGTGACCTGAAGACGGCAAACCCGATCAGTGACGAGGGCATCGTCATGACACTGATCCATCCTGTCTGCAGCCCAAAATAGGTGTTTGAGAAGGTTATCAGCGCCCCAATGGCGAGACCAACGAGCAATGACCGCGGCGTGAAGCTCTGGGCATACGTCGTGGGCGGGGCATCGTCTTCTTCGACCTGTGTTTCCAGCGTTTCCAGCGTATCCTCGTCCCTGCGAGTGCTGTTACCGCCGGCCTCCATGGTGCTGGGTCTCTTGTTCAGCCGGATAGGGGCCGCAGAGCCGGGAGGGCCTTAAGCAGTGTATCGTGTGGCAGAACAACGGTCTTTATCGAGACCGTACAATGTGAGGCGGTAGGAAAGGAGACTTAAGGGATGCCATTCTACATCCTGCTCGTAATATGCATATATATACAAAGCTAGTGAGTCAGGCTGCTTTCCCTCGGCTGAGAGGATGGCTTTTTCTCTCGCAGTCGTCGATCCCAAAAGGCATAAGAAGACCCAAAAATGAAGCCATCGCAGGCTGACTAATTAACTAGTTAATTCCGACGATTTGCCGGCGCCTTTTTGACGTAATTGAGAGCGCAGGCATCCTACCAATAAGAGAGGATGATAAGGTGCTTGTCATGCATGGAATCAGCGCATTAATAATTAGAGCATTAGCCTGTTGACCTGTCAGCGGCGTGGGTTGACGTCCAACTAGCAACGAGTTAACTAGCAAGTAAGAAAGTAAGGAGATGTTGACTGCAGCGAATGCTTGCTGGGATATCAAGAAGGATCAAAGACGCATGTTGTACATATTGCTGATTGATAACTAGATCGTAAATAACCACACCCTCCCCCTCCAAAAAAGCAGAAATAACACACGATACTCCACGCCGAAAAATGAGATATACCCATATGCATCCAAAAAGAAATATATCAGTAATCGATTGCGGTAACACAAGAGAAAGAATGGGAGAAGGGGGAGGTCAGAAACCAAAGGAATCAAGCAAAGAGCTTGACTCCGGCTCTTGGAATTGGGTGGGATTTTTTGCCGGCTGAGATCCATCCTTGTTAGCTTCAGCTTTTCTGGCGTCGTCTTTCTTGTCATGAGTGATATGCATATCGGCAACAACGAGGCTCCCTCTTCGCTTGAGAATCTTTCGTGGATCTCGTGAATCTTCCATGAAGCTGATTGACAGCCTGTCAGAGACAGTATCCGTAGGATGAGACGGTGTGAGGAACTCCCACTCTCGTACTAAGTTGAGAGCAAGGAGGTCACAGCCCATGCGGTCATATAGTCGTGCATTGCGCAGAACAAACTCCCATTCCTCTCGAGGGCCAATCCTGGATGCACCCTTCAGAGTTTGAAGGGTCTTTTCGCGCAACTGTTGATACAAAACGACTAATGCCGGGTCATTGGACAAGTACGATTTTGCTTGTAAAGCCACTTGGCCAGGGCTCGCCGGTGAACCAGGAGTGGGCGGAAGTAGGCCTTCTATCGGTGTCTATACAGGTGGATATGTTAGTATAGATAGCACAATGGGAAGTGAAATACGAAAAAAAGACTTACGACTAAAGCCCGAACGGCCATATCACGCCTGTTGAGCATCCAAAAAGCCCAAGTGGCCATCCATCGATTGCCCTCCGTGGCAGCCGTAATGAGTACCCGCTCTTCCAAGATTTCTTTCAAAACCGGTCCATCATCACCTTCATAAGCGCGAGCGATGGTGATTGCAAGTTGAATGTCTCTAAGCTGATTGATGCAGACGTTTACCGCATCACGTAGATGATCTGCTAGCAAAAAGAAGGCAGCAGCGTACTCTAGTTTTATATATTAGCATTTCTCCGTTCCATTTTAAGGAGCAGAGGCTAAGACTTACCAAATCTTCTCTTTCCGAGTAACGCAAAAGCGTTCTTCAATGCGGCGGTCTGCCAACGTTCTTCCTGAAAATTATTTGACAAAAATCGGTGCGTGTTTGGCTGTTCCCTGTGCCAGGTTGCCATTCTCCAGAGGCCTTGCAACACTTTCTTTTTCTTAAGGGCAAGATAGAAAATGCTGCAATCGATAGGGTTCTTGTCGTCAGACTTGGTATATTCATTTCGAGCGATAACTTCTAGGAGAGAACGCTAGTTATACTCAATTAGTAACCGATAAAGCATGATATGAGAGGTCAGAGATATCATACCAGAGCGTTTATATCAGTAATCCACATGAAAATTCCACTTTCTCTAGCATTCTCCCAAAGCATCTTGCCATGGAACTGTCTCCCAACGAGATCTGTAAGGATTTCATGGCTATCACTGTGAAATGCCCAGACGATCTCTCGCCAAGAGACCATATACTCTTCAAGGAAACCTTGACTCTTCCTGAGCATATATTGCCGGAAGAAGAGAATATATCTCGCAGCATTCACGTCCATTGAACGCCGATGCTTTTCTACAGTAGTAACGCATTCAACGATATCAACGAGACGGAACTGTTCCTTAGACGATAATTGTGGAAGAGTTATCTTCTTCAGGTATTCGTTGAGTGATGTAGCAATACTCTCATCAAGAACACGAGGTTCATGATCCAGGGTAAAGTTTGCATAGGCAGAATTCATCTCCTTATATGTTATCTGTTGTATTGGCTTCGTCAAAAATGTTAGTTCTATTGGAATGTGAACGTTTAAGAGGGAAGCCCACTTACAGAGACCTCATTATATATATCTTCCAGCGGAATATCTAGAAAACCATCAACTTCATCACCATCGGTAACGAACTTCAATTTCCTATGTAGCTTTGTCAATATCAAGTGAACCAGGCTTATTTTGCCGCTCAGGATGCATTGGGCTAGAAACTGCGGATGGAAAACCGGAAGAGGGCCATTTAGCCTGCTAACAGCATCGAATAGGTCGAAATGAGTATCATCATGGTAAGGTAAACGCAGGTTGGTAACCCATCTGTTGCTTGCTTCGATGTATTTATCATACACGAAGAGTTGGTTACCGGTACCAACAACTAGGTTTCCATTACCGAGCCAACACGAATCTCCGATAGGGTGCGGTGTGTGACGTCCGACCTTGATCTCTCGAATTTGTGCCCACGAAGGACCAGCATCAAGGTAATCGTATCTTAATTGTGAGAGGAGGATGACTTTATGTGGAAAACCGACAGCCAAAATCGACTGGATGTCAGGGGTTGAGGTCCAGTCCAAATCCTGGATGATATCATGCTCTTCAAATCTTTCTTCCAACTCCAACTGAGCACTGTTTGTGTCCCATATAGTTAAACGTGTTCGATTTTGGTCTACAAGCGCAGCCTTTCGGACTGAGCCAGCACTAGCCAGGGAAGGGTTTGGAATCCCCGTCTCAACAGTGGCAGTCAGTAGCCAATCAACCCTGCCCTTTGATTTATCGACTTTAGCTGTCCATGTTTTGATGGTCCCATTATGAGAGTAAGACAGAGCGATATCAGTGGCAAACAAATCCAAAGAATGAGATGCTTGGAGTTTCGATCCAGCTGGATCAACGGGGAGAATGTAAGCAACTTCCTCATCCGATCCAAGACTGAACGTTGAGAACTCTCGCAAAACCGGGGTATCATGCTTTTTTGACTGCCCTCGAGGTGTATTGCCGGCAGGAAGGGTAACTTCCCAGGCTACGCCTGTCATATCAGCCCCTATTGCGGCAATGTAGGAAGTACAAGATTCAGATGTTGGTATAAGCAAAACACATAGAGGTTTACTGCTGAGGTGCAAATCACTTTTCGCAATCATCTGAGCTTCGAATGAGCGAATATCCCACATGGATATCCCGTTATGGTGGAGATTGACCAGGAAATTTCCATCCTCCAACAAACAGGTTCGATGAATATGCATATCACAGTTGAGAGCACTTTGTTGGACCAGTACGGAGCCAGTGCTGGTATTTGACCTTTGACGCCATATCACGGCATTATTGTCATTTGTTCGGGAGCTTAGAACCTTCCCACTAGGCGTGCGCACTATCTTTTTCACTGATTCAGTATGTCCAGACCAGGTGGCCTGAGACACTAGCCGGTGTTTTCGAGGTGTAGGGTCGAATAGAATATCGACCCGTGAGTCAAACCATTCAATCCGTCCATCGTAGTAATGGGTAATGACGGTAAAGGATGCATCGGAAACACCTCCAGCAAAAGAATAGAATTGGGCGTAGTTGCCTGTCTGATGGTTACCTAGAGCAGTAGAAAGATCCAATCCTTCAACGTGAGCTATGTTGAAGATATTAGCTTCAGCATGTGCTTTACAGCCAGCATTCTCTAGTCCCCATACACACATATGGCCGTTCTCGTCAAGAATGACACAAACCTCCGGACTCTTAGTGGCTGCCTCAATAAGGTGGTCGAGAGCAAACTTATCCTTTTCCGTTGCAGGCCCGAGCTGCACTGCACGTTCAGTGGCAAGAGAGAAATCACGACTATCAACAATGAATCCATATCTATTGCTGGCATTGGGTGATTTAGGGGGGTATCGCGGTTGAATTGAAGCTTCCATATCAATCACATTCCAGAGTTGAAGTGCCTGTAAAGCATGACGATCCATTGGCGCCCATATTCGTATCTTGTTGTCGGAGCATATCGTGTAAAGGACATTGTCTATTGTCTGCTCGACATGATGCGGTCGGCGCCAATGTATTCCTGTCACAGTACTTGGATGCCGAAGGTACGTCACGTCGAACCGAGCTTCGTCAGCGCCGAAGGAAAGTCGCCTCCATACCTTCACAAACCGGTCGTAATCCCCTGTGGAAGCAATAAGCCCTGCATCATGTGAGAACTGCGCAATCTTGGCCCGGTTTGCCAGTTTGTTTGTCCATATAGCATGTGGAGCGTCGTCGTCAATGTGCCAAAGAACAAGTCTCTTGCTGCCTGCTAGGAGCTCCCCGGAACCGCCCCATGATAGCGTTCTGACCTCTCCATCTCCGTCATTGTCATCCTCGTCACTAGAATCGGCATCTTCACGCTGAATTGTGTGATGTAGCTTCCACTATAGCGCCATTAACAAGTGTTATTTCACTGCAGCAAAGTGGCTAGGCTGCTATCGTACCTCGACGTTGTTGCGGATTTTTGACGGGTTGTACACAAGTATTGTCCGTCCTCCGCATACAGCAATCCTCCCAGAAGCTCCATCTATATTGACAGCGGAAAGCCATTCGACATCATCGAGGTAGATAGTTTGTAGTACTTTTTGCGGTCCTCCGAGTATGATGACTGCATTGCCGGATATGTACGCCTAGTGACAGGCGACAAAAGGTCAGTTTAACCAGTCTGCTTCAAGCTCCAGCGGACATCGGATAGAAGAAGTATTTCGAGTTATTTTCCAGGGACGTTGTATCACTTACAATGACGCGGATGCCCTCCCACAGAGCTGTGCTGACAGCTTGTAGCTTCGGCGCTGGTCGGCCTGGGAGTACGGTGCGCATCGCAAAGTCGTCAGGGAAGTTACGCCTAGCCCGAGGCCGTGCTATACCATTGCAGATAATGACAGGATCCCGCAGTTGCACATGAAGTGGGAGGATATCTAGATAAAGCCCTTGGGTACAGTCACAGCGTGGCCATCTGGTGCTGTCTGCTCGTCGTCTGTCGTATAGGAAGGTGTGGTGTTGTTGGCTTTGGTGAAACTATGACGTGAACTTGCGCGTGATGGGCTTTTGCCTCAAATTTGAGGGTCACGCCAATCAAACCAGCCAAGTTGATATCCATGACAGAGGAAGAAGTGAGCTGTTCCGTGCCAGTTGATGCTGATCTCTGCTCTACCTTGTAGAAGGGCTACCTCTTATTAGTTACGAATTTGACGGAAATCTCAGATATCTTTCAACTTTTGATCATTATTCAATAGTTATGAATCAGCACTATTACTACAAGACTCCCACTCCCAGGTCCAAACACCTATACACACAGTACTTTTTTGATAACCGACTTATACCCTTGCTCAGCCGGCCTGATACAAAGCTGGACCAGCAACAATGTGCGGGTTAATCATCGACAGGTTGAACGATGTATATGGCGTGTCTGAGTCCGTGACCGCGATGAACATTGTCCCGTTGATGGCTGGATCACCCTGGAAGGTCTCCATATTCGGCTGCACGGTAGTGCCAGAGCTGTTCCCTTGCATTTTCAGGGAAGAATACGTGACGTTGAGCTGAGAGACCCAGACGACAAATCTGGGAGCTTTGGCTTGAGAGGAGGTGATATAGCTGTTATTTGGACCGACAGCCTTCCCAGGACTATCCCAGGAGAGATTGACGACTCGACCTGGATAGGATAGAGGGTTTGTACGGTTTTGGGCGATTGCTGGGGCACAGTCGGCAGACGAATCTGTTGCGTTGAGACAGGCCTGAGAGGAGGTGAGATTTGAGCTACGCAATGTGTTCATACCAGGACTCAAAGTCTCATTCATTCCCGCCGAGCCGTTGATGCGTGCTGGGTTAGGTTGGTTGATTATGCGCAGAGCCGGGAAGTTTTGCCAGGCAAGTCTGGTCTGGTCCGGCGGGCACGAGCTAATATAAGGGGCGAGTAAGGTCCAAGCCCATGACTGTGGGATACCAACTTCAAACCAGACGGGCATAGGGAACATGCCGTTGAACTGACGGAATATCATCTGCTGCCTGGCCTCGGTGGTGATGGACTGGAGGAGAAGCGTGGCTGCTTCTCCTGAGTTGAGATGACCTAGGAATCCATACACGCCCGATTCACCAAACCGAGTGAGCTTCTGGCAAAAATCCACAAACTCACGGACATTGGTGAAAGGATAATTGTATGAGCACTGCATTGGAGCCTCAGCGCCTAAAATATTGCTGAGCATGGTTGCATGGCCAATCTCCTGCTCGGCCATGAACTCGATCAGATACCTGTCCTCTGAGGTGAGGCCGGCGGCAGTAAACTCCTGCTCTGAGAAGTTTCGAAGGCCGTACCGGAAGAGATCCAGTTCGATCCATTCCTGATACAATGCCAGAGCCTAGATCATTGTTAGCAATGGCAGCCGATTCATCAATGGAAGGCTCATACAGTTACATACCAGCGATTCATAGTCGAAGTCACTCTTCACATTATACACTGGTTGAGTTCCGTTTGTCCCTCGGCCTCCGGCAGGGACGTATGGAGCAGGCTGGGGATCGTGAAGCTCTCCATCACTTGGGTACGTGGTAGCTGTTGCCGCAGGAGGTCCCGCAGGTATCTCCGTACCTAAAACAGTATTCGTCAAGGCTCCCGAGGTCATTGGTGTTCCGCTGTATGGGCCATGGCTGGCCGCAGACTGGTGGCTTCGGGTCGGAGGTGCGGCAGCTGTCGTAGGCGAGCTACTCTGAGCAGCTGCATGGAGGATGCAGCCGCTTGCTAGCCATATCAAAACGTAGGTGAAGTCAATGAATGGCCTCATTTTCCCCTATTGGATTCTTGTTGCTACTAAGACAATTGGATATATATTCGAGACACAGCCGCTCTACAATTGAAAAAAATTGCCCAGTTTCTTGCCCGAGTAGACTACAAATTATTCTACCCTTTCCAGCCCTTTTATTGTGGGAGACATAGAACTCTCAAACTGTAATGTGTTGGTAATGCACTGTTTGAACCAGATGGAAGCTTTAGTTGCGTCATCACGACGCTCTCTACCATTGCATTGCCAGCCGAAGCATGGAAGTTTAGTAATACCTTTTTTTCTGAAAGGGTTTGTGTAATAGAACGAAGGGAAAGCAGCTGGTATCGTCTTTCCGATTGAGTTTTTTGGACTGCGACAGCGCATTGTAGAGAGTAGGTTTGATTGTCATGCTAATATTGAAAATCAGGTAACAGATCTAGCAGTAAAGATAAGAGGGAGAAAATAATATCAATCACAAGAGGCTTCAGGTGTCGTTCTGTGACTGGACCCAGGTTAGTCGGGTCAAAAATGGTCTTCAGAAATGTCCTTGAAGATACATGGTAATTTGCTGTTCGTTTGGTTGGTCAGGCAGGTCGACTAATAAGAGGCAAATATTGGCTTTTTGCCGTCTGTCTTCCTCTTTACGCCTCTCCCATATTCATTCTAACCGCTTCTTCCACCTTCCACGGGGCATCGGGACCCTACTGTCCTCCTCGTAGGGCCAAAACCAGATGTAGTGTCGCTCCTCCCTCAAGGTTGTACTCTGATGCAGCCTTATCATCGGCCCTATTGATCAAACAGTTAGCACAACGTGAAGTTCAAAGCACTGCAGGAAGTATTTACATCTGCTTCCCACCAAAAATCAACCGTTGCTGTACTGGAGGAATGCCAACCTTCTCCTCCACACGCTCCTTGATGCGGGATACCTAGGCAAACAAAAAGCTGTTAGTCCAGTTGCTTCAACCGCAGAACAAATTAATACACACGTACCTTGTAGTCAGGCTCAATATCCAGCTCGATTTCCTTGCCTGTGAGAGTTCTTACTCTATCAAAGGACAGGTTAGCTGGCGAGCGAGGGGAGCGCATAAACGTACGAGGGGCAGACGCACTTGATCAGCATGGTGAAGGTGGCGTATGGAGTAAAAAAGAAGGCTACAAAAAAGGGACTAGGCGGTACAAGAGAAGATCTCTGGGTCCGATGAGCTGCAGACAGAGACACCAGTTGATATATTCCTTTATTCGCTTCTTCTGCTTCGCCTTTTCATCTTCCGACGTGTAAACATACAAAAAGGCGACTTCGAGAAGACGCCGCGCCAAGACACGATAACGCTTATCATCACGTGAACAGCAACATTGCACAGGCGTGCAGACAGGGGCGCCGGGCGACGACGGCGACGAAGAGGAAGACAAGTGAATGCATAGAAGGCGATTCTGGATGGATGACTATATACAATATGATACGAGTAGAATAGAAAAAGACTACATGGGGAAATTTGGGGCTAGCAACGGTGATATCAATAATGCCGTCAATAGGTACATAGATAGTCAATAGCACAAATATATACATTCTCTCTACCATACAGCATATAAAGCACAATCCCCTTCGTCTATCTGTCTTCCTGTCCGTCTGCTATGTCCTCCTATCTACTCCGTACTCCGTACAACTTAGCGTTGGCCATGTTGCTGCCGTGCGGATGTTTTGTTATCTTGCTTACGTAAACTCGGCTAGCTTCTTGGCTCCAAACGTAAGCGAGCGTGAAATTCACAACACACAAAAGTCGCTTCGACTTCGACTTCGATATCAGACTCAGCGTCCAGCGACCAGCGACACCACTTCCACAGTCTGTGATCCGGCATAAATCAGTCACCATGGTAAGGAGATGACACTTTTTTCTGCCTTTGCCGTGCTGCTTTCGTACCAGAGTGTGGGAGGACCCATCCAACGAGCAATCGAGACACCGACCACCAGCAATCGCATCGCAGAGCCATTCGACAAAATTGAATGATTCAGCTCCAACGACGGGTTTTCTGGAGATAATGTCAAAATGGGATATTTGCGGATATTTCTATCTGCAAGTGACGAATATGGATGTGCGATAATGCGGACAGATAATTTTCGAAATTGAAGACAGCAAGAACTTCTTTTTAATCGGCAGTAGTTTTTCCACAGCGGACAGCGAATCTATCTGAGTTCAGACGCCTAAAAGACGCCGGAGACCCCGTACTTGCTCGAGAGACTGGATGGGTGCTCTTGCATTCTGTGGAAGAACAATGCACACGCGCAACGAACTGATACCGGGCATACAACTAACCCTTTTGACTTAATTAGGTCAACATTCCAAAAACCCGCCGGACCTACTGCAAGGGCAAGGACTGCAAGAAGCACACCCAGCACAGAGTCACCCAATACAAGGCAGGCAAGGTCAGCAGCTCCGTGCTCACCCATATATGACACTCTTCCACCGCACGAACAAGAATTCTGAACAATTTTTTCCAAACCACAGGCCTCGCTATTCGCCCAGGGTAAGCGTCGTTACGATCGCAAGCAGAGCGGTTATGGTGGTCAGACCAAGCCCGTCTTCAGAAAGAAGGCCAAGACCACCAAGAAGGTCGTCCTCCGAATGGAATGCACAGTCTGCAAGACTAAGGCACAGCTCGCCCTGAAGCGATGCAAGCACTTCGAGCTTGGGTACGTTCCCGGTTTCCGTGCTCATAGATATTCACTAGAGTCTATGCTAATTCGTCCTCTCAACTCAACAGTGGTGACAAGAAGACCAAGGGTGCTGCTCTTGTTTTCTAAACGACAAAAAGAAATAAAATCTAAAACGAATGAAATACCTTCAACCACCTCTCTATCTCTCGATGGCATTCTTCACATCTTTTTTTTTTTTCATCGCCCAGTGTGATGTCGTTCTTCCCTTAAAGACACCCCAATACCACCTTTCCAATACCTTAAACCAGTCGTCCTTCATCTATACACTTCTTTTGGAATGGGAAATATGGGGTGGGAGACTCGGAATGATAAAGAAATAATTAAATAACGATTTAATATTTCACTTTCCGTGTAGATTAGACGGCAGAAGCAAGAATGATGAATTGGTTCAAGGGAAAATGACACAATTCTAATGAAGCCTTTTTTTGGTTCATGCGCAAGTAAGATCATGATGGGCGATGCCAGTCACATAAAAATATATTACTATGCTACTTTTTGATACGCCTTTAAATTGTCATAAGTTATCCAAAACCTTCATTGCTGGGGATCACTGGTCATCATCGAATATGTTGCATCCAAATGATAACAAGCATATATAACATTGGCTGTTTTGCTTCAAATAGCTTCCCCAAAAAAAGGCCTAACCCAGAACTCCGTAAAAATTTGTTATCATTAAGAAGAACAAAAGACTATACTTGATGGATAAGGAAACCCCAGTTGTTCCATGGTATGCTGCTAGCAGTAACCCAATATTGGGCTTGGAGCTGGGACTGGATCGTTTCAGCATGGGTGTTGGCAAAGTCGAACGTCGGTTCTGAGACTGAGCCTCCATGAGTGAGAAGAGAGATAGGGGTATCTTGCGGCGAAGGGACAGTGGTAGACATGAGTTCGGATTGAGACGGCTGTTGTTGCTGCGGTATGGACAGGTGTTGAGGCTGGGGGGAGGCCATTTCACTGTTAATGGTTAGATTCGACGCATGAACCACATAAGAGGGGGCCAGTTATAACTTACAGCAGTTGGCTGAGAATTGGAATTCCCTTCTCGCATAGGCTACTCCTGCTTGAAAGCAAATGGAAGACCTGTAGGGCGTCTACTAGCAGGGCATGAATCTCATCATACTCTGCTTGGCTTTCAGGGTTCATCATGATCACAGTAAGCACAACTGCAGCGTGGAAAGCATGGAAACTAGCCAAACCGGCCGTATACCATTTATAGGGAATATACTGTGGTGACTCAGCAAGTGTCTTCTGGATAGATAGCAGACCCTTTGCAGCGTCCAGGCAGCGGTTACGAGAACTGTGAGTACGATCGTTGATATCTCCAGTGAGATAGCGGTTCAATGCCGGACGATGCAGCAGCAAACGCAGCTGATGGGAGTAGCCAAAGAGAATATTTATATGGGCAAAGTGCTGGCTGGGCAGTGGTTCGACGCTGGTATCAGAATGGTAGCGTGCGGACCAGAGCTCTTGTTGACTGGTTATATCATTGTCTAGCTTAGCTATGACAGCAGGGGATGCTTCCGAAGAAAAGATCTCGTTGCATATGGCCAAGGCAATATCGTAGAGACGGAACTTGAATAGGAGGTATGTCATCTGCGTAGGGCCGGTAGGATGGCGGAGCTGGTCCATCGTGAGGCCACTGTTCTTCATCAGGTCGAGATCGTTGGCGTCCAAAGGTAGACGAACATCTCGACTCAGACGCTGGCGGTCGAGGTTGCGGAAGGAAATCTTCTGTATCATATGCAACATGATCAGCCCAGCCCAACATCGTCGACGCTCTTCTGCCTCGATAAGGCTGAGGTTGAAGTTGTCCGGGTCGAGATGGCAGCCCATGGCAATGGCCACATGATGGGTCATCCCGATGAGCACCCAGGACGGCTGTGAGCTATGGGTGAGGGCATAGATAAGGAGGACCAGGGCTTGCAAGGTCTTCATAGAATGTCGAGACAGCACCTGGTCGGCAGCAAGACACTGCATGGCAGCAGACCGGTACTGCTCTGAGATGACCCTGATATTGGCGCTGGGAGTGGCCTCTCGCCCCAGGTCGGGGAGTAAGGGGTCATCGTCGCCCAGGCTGGTGACGCCGATGGCCAGGACGACGAAGAGCAGCGCCAGCCATGACAGAGACACCGAGCTTGGATCCTGCCTGAAGCGCTCATACTCTTCGGCAAAGGTAGGATCGTGCAATATGTGAAACAGCTATACAGATGGTGTAAGTCAGTCGAGATCTCCACAAGCCTAAGAATTTATGGGCGGGAGGGAACAAACTGGAGAAAACACCCGAAAGTACGTGTCCTTCAGGGCATCGCAGTATCTGCTGGGCGGCAGACGGGCCAGCAGCCGGTCTCTCGAGACCGGGTCATCGCAGCCAAAGGGGAACCCGCTGGGCTTCTCCTCGTTGACGCTGTTTACCTGGTTGCGGTACTCGCTGGCCGAGATTTGAGCGAGATGGAAGTCCAACTTCGACGACTGCGGCTCGAACCGAACATGGCCCTGCGGCGAGATGGAGAGCGAGCCGACGTTCTGCAGCAGGCTCTGAGGGAGATCTGAGCTGCTGCTGCTGCTGCTGTTTTTGTTGTTATTGCTGTTGTTGCTGTTGCTGAAGCTCTTGTTGCTCCCACAGTCTGCCTCCGTGCCGGCAGAGGCGTTGGTCGTGGGCGGCGAGACGGGCTCGTCCTGGCCTGCCTGGCCGCCGCCGACGATGGCATGCGCCCCGACGTGCTTCTTGAGCAGGTCCTCGAGGTTGCGGATGCGCTGCAGCAGCTCCTGCTGGACTATCTTGGACGACTCTGCGGAGCCGGCATTCAGCTGGTTGCGCGACTGGCCCAGGAAGAAGCAGTCCGCCATCCCCAGCCCGCGGCGTATACAGGTGTCGCACGGCGGCCCATTGCGCGGACAGCGGATCTTACGCTTGCGGCAGGGCTCGCAACTGACTGGCAGCCGCTTGCTCGTGTGGGTTGTGCTGCTCATCGCGGAGGGCAGGCCGGTGATCGCGGAGGAGCAGGCAGAGAGACGGAGCGGCGAGGACGGCGGTTGCTGCCACTTCTTCTTCTTCTTCTTCTTCTTCTTCTTCTTCTTCTTCAAATGCTGCGTGTATCTCGCACCCTCTACGCCATCACAGAGACGCAAAACGACTGACAGGACGAGAGGGATTATGGGCACTGGGTGTCCGACGCCGCCCGTCGATTCTGGCTTTTTGCGTTTATATAGAGCGTATACATATTGCTTTTTGGCTGGCTGTTTTTTTTTCCCTGAGCACCTAGTTATATATCTATATAACTAAATAAGCCCGCCGATTATTAACCAGCGAGGGAAGAGGTACCTTGCCTTCGGGGTAATCAAAAAAGAAAAACGGCAGACGAATATCAAGCTGACCGGGCTTGTGGGAAAGACGAGGCGAGTCGCTGATACGCAGTGCGACGGCGACGTTACGGGTCGGCGGCCTGCGTGCATCATACGGCGTTATATCAGTAGAAGCATTGCGCCATACACCCTTGACTGAGCACTTGTCTTATGTGTTTGCCTGGGTATATCATGCGAGGATATATATCTTTGATACCCGCTGCGTCGACTGGAACCGTGGCATCGACGCCAGGAGAGACAAGGCTGTATATAAAAAGAGCCACCAGCAGCAAACCGTCCCCCTGTCCACGGGCCATGGTGATCACGGCCATTCAGGGTCGTCAGAGCGCCGAAGCTGCATGAAAGAGAGGCCGAGCCGCGGTGCTCCATGCCAGCAGCAGTCTTCCCGTAGTGTCCATCGGCATCGACTGGATGCGTCTGCCTCGGTGGACGGGCTACCATCGTTGCACTGCCTGCTGTTTCAGGGCTCGTCATCTGTCAGAACTCCCGGCCCTCACCTGAGGCAAATGATAAGGGGCAATCCACCATGCCCATCCTTGATATTATATTCATATGAAGTTCCATAATTGAACCCATATTCTTGTTGAAGATATCGCAAGTCGAGTTCGAAGAGTCATATATTCGATAAGCCGGGCCATATAGGTCATCAGAGGGCTTGAGAACAGGGAGATCAGGCTATATCTAATTAGTTGAATCGTGAGTAAAGGAACTAGGATACAGACTTACTACGGGATGACGCATGGACTAGAGAAGTGCTGCCGGATGAGTTGTCTTACGCATCGGCCTTCCAGTGTCTGCAATGGAAAAATATAGTAAAGATACAATTGAAACAGATTGAATCATCTTCCTACTGAGTAGTAATGCAGTAGAACATCATTTTGATGCTCTCAATTAAGCATTATTAGCCGAATTCCAGTTATATATATCATAAATAGTCCCAAACATATAATAGGTGGTAGATACCGAAGCTGGATATCAGTTTGTCCAGCCAGGTTTATATATAGAGAGCCAACCCATCCCAAGTCACAATCCCTAATCGTCAAGATACCGTGCTGCAATATGTCTATAGATATGGGCTCCTCTATCTGACATATTAACATACCCGAATCCTATCAATTTATTAAAAAGACGAAAAAAATAACATCCCAAAAGAAATTCCCAATATAATAGTATTTAGATACCCGTCGAGTCAAAGAAAAGCCCGGATCGATCTTGATACTCCATCTATATCTTCAGGAACATGCCAGTGGCCCACATCCTTCAGAACAACCGGAGGTTCGCAGTTGGGTATAGATGAAGCAATAGCACTGCAGGTAGCCGGCGGACTGACTTTATCTTCATCACCAGTGATGATCAAAGTCTGGCAAGTGAGCTTCTCGAGGTCTAGAGGTTTAGATTCGTTGGCCAGTGCAGTGCACGCCCTTGCATAGCCCTCTGGATCCTGGCTTAAAAGTGTAGACAGTGCTGCTGTGTAGACGGCTGGTTTCTTGCTTCTGGTAAGCGATGATGTGGCAGCCGTAGCAACGGTGTCTGCAAAAGCGGACATTCCTCTGCTTCTTACTACTGCAGCACGAGCGAGAGTTGCGTTCTGTCCTGCCGTGGGTAGAGGACATGGAGGAGGGCCGAGGAGGATGAGTTTATGGACCAGTCCCGGGTTTTTGGTGGTGAATAAAGTGGCTATGATGCTGCCCATTGACCATCCAACTAATATTGCGGGTAAGGCGCTTGATATTCCAGCTAATGAGAAGATATCCTCCACATCGTCTGCAAGGGAGGAGATAGTCATCGCCGACCGGGTGGATAGAGGCGATCGTCCGTGACCTTCGAGATCGAACTGGTGGATTGAGTATGTCTTTGCCAGTGCGAGAGAGGAAATCAGGGGATCATAGTATTCTGACCTCCCTCCAAGGCCGTGAACAAAAACGATCGGAGGCCCGGTTGGATTTCCCTGTTGCTTATAGTATAGCCGCTTGCCATGATGGCTGACCTCTGTCAACAAAGTATTATTCTCAACCATGGCTGCAAACTGCAAATTGGGCGAAACCCGTCAACCCCTTGATTTCTGATGTTGATTTGTTTATCTTCTCCCCAACAGAGAGGCATCTGGAAGTCTTTTATAGGGAAACAAAATAGCTCCTCCATTGCCAGAAATGCGGACTTCCGCTTCCATTATAGAGTGCCCCCTGAGATCGAGGCGCCGTCAATTAAGACTTGGGCTGGATGGGAGAAGAGCGGGCATCAAGGAGACGCAGTCCGTCTTTCGAGGTGACCACTCGGAAGGCCAGCTCTTCGGTGTAGACAACCACGGCAGCGGGAATGACCATGGGGATGGCAATCACTGGCATTGGCGGGTTCATCTTCCTGGCAGGTGTCCACCATCCCCCCACGAGGACCACGGACTTCCATGCGATCTCCATGCCAGAATATGATATCAGCAGCTGCAAGAAACACTTTCTTCAAGATATAGCCCGCTGATTGAACTGTTCTCCTGTCCTTCTAGAGTCTTTCTCCAGACCTCCGCCTTCTCCGTCATCTCCGCCAGCGTGCTGGTAGAGCGTCTTGCTGCCGGCAATCTTTCTCCAGCGGTATATTCTAGCTGTCCCTGGGACTGACGAAGGAGGAAGAAGCCGTCTCGCCTGCTTCATGGTCTTCGCTCGCCGAGTGAGCAAGGGCAGAGACGGGTAACTAAATGGAGAGCAGGACGGTCCTGTCCCTTTGCCGCTGTCTCGTATCCAACGGTCGAGAGAAGGTCCTGGACGGCGAACAATTGTAAATAACCGTACGGAGTAGTCTCTTCAAAAGCATTCTCAATGCCAGCCTGTCTGCGGATGGGTTTCATGCAGGAGTAGCGAGATCCCAGTCCTGCTCCGGTTCGCTGCCGGCCGTCAACTTATTGTCGACATGTTGGCGCTGCGGCGCCTCGACTGTCGGCTTTCCCTCTTTCTCATGGCTACTGCGAGGAGACCGTCATCTTCAGCATCCAGCATTGGTGAACCTGCTAGTTATCCCGTTTCTTCTCTGGCCGGCTTCAACGTTGTTTGTTGCTTGCCCGTCGTCGCCAACGTCAACGCCATCCCAGACAGGCAACTCAACTAGTTAGTTGGTTCACCCATTTGTTGGTCAAATCGGCCAAATATCCAAATATTGAACGGATGAAGCTATCAATCCACCGAAAGACGTCCAAACGACGGCACTTCCAGGGACAGAGAAAACCAAGAAGAAATGCGAATGAAAGGGCCCCAAGATGCGATTGAACGGCGAATGGTGGAACGTTTTATGTCGTAGCAGACCAGGCTCAGTTGCACAGACAGCCTGGCGGTCATGCTACGCCCAGCGCTGAGCCAGAGTCTGCTGAATACCATCTTCGGGCTGCTTTTACTTGTCAGTCTCAGCTCAAGAAGCTTCAAATCCGCCCGCCTGATCTTATTTTTACGAGGGAGCGAGTGGCCTGTCTCGGGCTGTTTGGTGGTGGCCTACGCTGACCCCTATACCTCTCGCATAGCGTTCACTACTGAAGGCGACAACCGGTCAACTGCCTAGTTAACTGCCAGCCAGCTGGCCATCACCATGGATGGCATCTTTGGCTGAATAGCATAAGTGGCATCGATGTGCTGAGCGTCCGTTGACGTTCGGCGAAAGGCATCAATCACCATGCGTGAGTTCTCTGCTACCCTGACGCACATACATAACTATATGCTAAAGATATCAGACTAGTTACGCTGCAGATGCTCCGTAGTTAGCACTGTTATAACAACCACTCGACGATGCAGAGTTCAGCTCGAAGTCAATCAAAAAGGCGTCTCTGTGTTTGCTGTGTGCGCCGTATTAATATTTTGGCCCCGGGGAAATAATAGAATTTGCCGGTTATTTCTATACATATCTCTTAACCCCCAGCGGGAAGAACTCGGCCGTTCCTCCAAGGGCATATCGTACCCATCCTCCTCACCGGATTGATAACTGAGTTCGAGTCCACAGTCACCTCGATTGGCCACCGATGCTGGCTTCTCCCGGTTCTTCGTGCTGCCGCGGCAGTTCTCCTCGCTACCAGGGCGGACGGCTCCCTCGCTACCTCGCTAGCTACTTGACCACCAGCTAGTTCGCGAGAGAGACGGGAAAAAGAGGCATAACTAACCAAGCTGCCCGCCACTCTAGGCTACATTAACCAGGCCCTGTGCGCAGTGAAAGCTCGAATGGCGTTTTTCTTTTGATTTCCCCCCAGTCGCTCACTCTGTGGCGCACCGCGACTGCAACCATGCAGAAAGCATAATAGTTCACTACAAAGGACTGTTGGATGTCGATCTGTCCACCTGCAGCGCCGTTGTATCGTTCGCGGAATCCAGGATGCTGAAGGCGGAACTCTCTTCCACTCTGCCTTTGAAGGAAGGCAGGCTGCCCGAAGACTTCAACCAGTTGTGTTCCCAACCGACAATCCACAGGAGAAAGCATAACTAGTTGTTTATATTTGGGAAAGGAGTCAGACAGAGTCTTCGTTCTCTTCTCCCTACCCCAGCATCTCCAGTCGTTCTCAAGGCGGCTGTTGACCAGGCAGCTTCCCTTTCAACGAGTACCTATCGCACACGTCGAACAGGCCATGGTAGTGCAAAACTCAAGCTCTTATGAAACGGATAAACATTCCACATTGAAGAGTCACTCCTCTGCTTGCACAGGTGGATCATCTGTATACGGAGTAGTAAAACTCTAAATCAATATCAGCACTGTGCTACAGATGAATAACAGCTTTCTTTAAAAGAGCAGCAGGAGGGCCCCATTGAAATATATTTGGGTCCCAAGCGAAGGCACATACATCTATACACACATACCACATCATCATCTCATTGTCAAGCGAAGCCATGGCATCAAAGATAGAAGAGCCTCCTGTCTCTTGGAGCTCAACGGCGAGCACGATTCCCCCTTACGATGGCTCCCCAAGGAACATTGCTAGCATCGATGCTCTGGATTTCGGCGTCCATTTAACTCCCAAGAAGTATGAGATGGCAGGAACACATCCAGACTCCAAGATCATGTTCCTAGATGTTGAAATTCTGGACTCTACAGGAAAGCTACCCTACCGTGGTGATGTTCTCATTGAAGGTATGTCATGTTTAGCCTGTCACGGTTTGACGGTTGCATGGTACATGAGTGTACGTATCGGCGGCGATTAACGATTGGTACAGGGGAGCGGATAACCGCCGTCGGAAATATTCCTGGAAAAGAAGAACTCAAGAAAAATCCCCGTGTACGGAAGATCCTTGGACGAGGGCGCACCTTAATGTCTGGCCTAGGCGATGCTCACACTCATCTCTCCTGGAACGGAGGCGACCTTGAGCGCCTTGGTGAACTTGCTGTCGAGGAGCATACTTTGCTCACTGCCAGGAGTGCTCAGTGCTATGCGGACTCCGGTTACACCATGTACGCACTAATTCTTTCTATCCTATTCAGTCTGATATTCCAGATATATCCCTCTCTCCCGTCACTTTTTTTTCTTTTTATCAAATTTTTATCTATTTAATATATTATCAGATTTGCCTCACTAACTACTTATTCGATGAAGGTGTTTCGGGGCGGCAGCAGCTAAAGATCGATTAGACGTGGTGATTCGTGATTCCATCAATGATGGAGATATACCTGGTCCAAGGTGCCTGGCAAATGGAATGGAAATTGCCCGACGTGACGGGGAGCTGGTGGCTGGGATCACTGCATTCGCCGACGGTCCAGAAGAAATGAGGGAAAAGGTTAAGCATCATGCTGAGCTCGGAGTGGATCAGATAAAACTCAGTATGTCTGGTGAGGAGGTAAGTGATACGTACATAATGCTGCTCAATTCTCGAATGAATGTTTGTTAATGGCTCACTACAGATAACTGAGACCAGAAGTGCACAGGATTGTTACTTCACAGACGAAGAGACCGCTGCTTGCGTCGATGAGGCTCATAAGCGTGGAATACGTCTTTGTGCACATGCTCGAGCAAGGGATTCGGTAAAGATGTGCGTGAAACATGGAGTTGATGTTATATATCACGCCTCGTATATCGACGATGAAGGTGAGCCATATACCAACTCGCCGCGGATTGTGAGAAAAGTCTACTAAATAGCTTTATGACAGGAATGGACATGCTAGAAAAGAACAAGACAAAACATATTGTTGCCCCAGCCATAAATTGGTTAGTAAATATATTTACCGAGGCCGCAAAGTTTGGATACACGCCTGAAAAGGCAGAAGAAGTTGGATACCGGAAAGAAAGGGATACCGCGATCTTAGCTCTGCGAGAGATGCACAGACGTGGTATCGTAATCTTGCCAGGAGGGTAGGTCTATCCCTAGGACCGATGAAACGAGAAATGTCGTCTAACGTAGCCTCCTACCTAACAGTGATTATGGCTTTGCCTGGACCCCCCATGGCACATATGCTAGAGACCTTATGCACTTCCAGGAACTCATAGGTTTCACAGCTCATGAAAGTGTCATCGCTGCTACCGCTGGCGTAGCAAAGCTATTCATGCGCGAACATGAACTAGGTAAGATCCTGCCAGGTTACTATGCCGACTGTATCCTAGTCGACGGGAACCCGCTTGAAGACATCGCTGTCCTTCAAGATCATGCAAAACTCGACGTCGTCATCATCAACGGGCGAGTACATAAGATTGGGAAAAAGGATGGTGCCGGTAGGGTATCTTTGAGTGCCAACCCTGAGAGTAACGGCCATGCAAACGGTGCCGAGAGCAATATACCAGACGGAGAGAATGTCCAGCATGAGGAATTCGCAGAGATCAAGAGGAGTATGCAGAAGCAATATTAAAGTTATATGCCTGAGTGGAGGCTTTATGGGTTAGTGGATGATATTACGACTTATGAACCACGAGTTAGTTAGCGTGTTATTATTGAATTTCGGCGTGGGAGATATCATCATGAATTTCATCATACATTAGTATTTTCGAGGTGAATATAGTAGATGGTCCGGTGAACTGTAAAGTCGGAGAATGAAAAATGAACTATAAACAGTATACTTGCTAGTAGTACCAAACTTCGTAGCTAGAGATCATTTGCTCTCAAAGTATATCATAGGGCACAGCCGTTGGATCATCATGAAAAAATAAAAAATAAAAATAAAAATAAAAATAAAAATAATCAAATAAAATAAAGAGGAGAAAAGGGTACTTCACAAAACACCGAAATCAGGATATCAAAATATCAAAATCATAACAGGATAGAGAAAAAAGACAACGACAATAAAACGACGAGAAAGCCACCCATTATGATAGACACAAAACACACAAGCTCAAACCAACCCCTCTATCCTTTTTTTTTTTTTTTTTTGCATATTTATAAGTATTATAGGTTTCTTCATCTTTTCATAAAAACATACCTCTCTCCGAGAAAAGGTGGCCGGTGTGGAGGTGATCTATCAAGTAACTCACCGTGTTCATCGAATCTCGGAGGAAGCTCAATAGTAGAGTCGGAATCAGGGTCGGTTTCTCGCTGGACATGTATTGGTTTGTGATACTCAGAGGAGGGATCATAGTGTTCGGAGCGACGGGAATGCTCATAAGTGGAATCGGATGACACGCTGTTGCTATCAGTGTAATACGCTCGGTCACCGGAATGATGCGAAGAAGAACCAGGATTGGAGTAATGGTGATCTTTAGAATGAACTCGTCTGTCGTGATCAAGATTTGCATCGGAATCAGAAGCAGAATCGTTGTCGTCACTTTCATACCCATCACAGGATGACGATGGAAGGTTAAACTGGACAGACTTCCGACGGGTAGGCACCTTGTCATTCTTTGGCTTGTGAGAGTGCGGCAGAGACAGTGACGAGGACGATGAAAGCTCAGATAATGGGCGATTGTGATTTTGAACTGGGCTTAATGTAGGCGATTTAAATAAGGGTCTCTCTGAGGTTCCATTCCCCTCTACTCCTCTTTCTCCGTACCCATTCTGGTGTTGGCGAGATGGCTGTGGAACCTTTACACCTGCTCCTATTAGTCGTGTACAACATTATACGAAGCAAGGGTTTTGCGGAAACATACATTCTCATCTCCTCGATATACTGGAGGTCCCCCTGGCCCTGGGCCACCAAAGTAACCTGGCCCAGGTGGAGGTCCGGGTGGAGGAGGATATCCCCTTCCCCCAGGTGGTCCTGGGGGAGGAGGAACACCATAGTACTCCTGCGCTGCCGGAGGTTGATATGAAGCAGGCCCTGGAGGTGGGCCAGGAGGGGACGGATATTCTTCTTCATATGGGTCACGGTAGTCCCTATCATATTCAGCACGGCCATTGCTATGCTTCTGATCACGGTGGTCTACAATTATTGGTCAATCAGCATACTCATTGTGGAAGGAATATGACTACTTACGCTTTGCATATTCGTGTCCTGCATACCCAGCTCCCGCAGCTAGGCTGGCGGCAGCTAGCCCTGCGGCAAGATTTCCATTTCCGTGACGGCTACGTGAACGGTTTTCACGCCTGTCCTTCCTATCCTTCCTTCTTCGGCGTCGCTCTTCACTATCAGACCCAGCGTATTCAGTTGAATCGCTGTAAGAGTCATGCCTCGATCGGTTGCGACTCTTGCGTCTGCGTGATGGCTCTTCTAGCCGAGGCTGATCAGGGCGGCCATAATAATCCGCAGCCGGGATGCGACCATAGACAGGATCGTCGCCATACTGAATTAGTTCTGGAGGCTGGGATCTGTCATTGATGTCAAGACCAGCCATGTTTCGCGCCGCATCTGAGTAAGATGTTGACCGCGATCGTCGATGTCGGGAGCGCGAACGAGAGCGACGTCGTTCTTCTTTGTCCATTTCATGTTTCTTTTCAGCTTTCTTCTGCTTGTTGTTCTCATACATTGCAGCAATAGCTGCACTACCCAGTCCTGCAGCAGCAATGGGTATACCCTGCCTTATTCGGCTGTGAGAGCGAGACCTGGAACGATGGCCTCTGCGGGAGCGTGACTTGCTGCGAGCATGTTCAACAATTCCCGCTACTGTAGCACCGGCAAGACCGGCTTCCGCCATTCGCTGATTGCGATGCTCAGCAGACTTTTTGCGTCGCTGTTCCGAATCTTCTGTGTCAGATGAGTAAGATTGGGTAGACTGTGAATCCTGGCGGTGACGACGGTGTCGGGAGTGGCTCTTTCGGCCGCGCTGCTTCTCAGACTTAGGAGCGTTTTCTTTCTCAGCTTTGCTTTCTGCATGTTTATGCGCGATAGCTACGGCGCCAGCAATAGCAGCTGCGCCAATCCCAAGGCCAGCAAGCGTCTTCGTACGTGAATGAGATGAAGAGGAACGAGAACGATGGCGGCGAGACCGGCTGCGATGATGTCTGCTATGATATCGATGTCTGTGACTGTAATGCTCACGATCACGTCCACGATCTAGAGAGTCAGCGCGACGGCGAGATTTGCTTCGGTGTCTGGATATGGCGTCCACAGCATATGCGCCCACTGCTCCAGCGCCAAGGTCCTTCGTTAGGCGTGAAAGAGTGCCAGAATGCTCTTTTCCGTGGTCCTTTCTGCTATTGCGCCGCCATAACTCTGCGGCACCGACACCAGCAAGAGCGCCTTCTGCCATGTGCCTACGATGATGATCATGCTCGTCATCGCTTTCGTAATCGCGATCATGGCGATGATGTCGACGGCGATGTCCCAGGCTTGATCGGCTATCTGAATAACGATCTGAATAGCGGTCCGAGTAGCGGTCGTCATAGTCTCGGGGATCCTCATCATATTCTCGAATGCGGCGCTCATACCAGTAATCAGAGTCATGGGGTGATCGATGGAAGACAGTGCGATCTTCTATGCCATCAGAATGATGACGAACAACCTGGTATTCATCTTCATGGGGAGAATAGGTTGACCCCCGGTATGCTGTGTACTCCTCAGCTGGGGTCATAATAGGGACCTTAAGAGCTTTGGTCGACATATGGGTAGGTGAAAAGATGAATGAGTTGGAAGGGAGAAGTGAAGAAAAATTGAAAAAAAAAAAAAAAAATAAATAAATAAATAAATATAAGACTTACATTCGCGGTCGATGTCAACATATTCATACTCCTGGCGACGGTCCATCGTATTAAGGCGGCGGGGCAAGATCTCGCTTCCAGAATCGTCCCGGTGGGAACGGGAGTCGGGCGCAATGACGTAGCGTTTAATATAGTAACTTCCACCGTTTGAAGATCGGGGTTCAGACGCCCGTGAGATTGTATCAAGTTCTTCGTTTTCGTCGTCTTCGTAGAAGTACTGGTACTCTCTTCCTCGGAGACTCATTCTGGGAAAAATGGAGCCCGGATTGGGCGGATATTGGTTGATAATTGGGAATTTTGTACTCTGAAGTCAGGGAAGAGTACGCGGTATCCCTCGGCTGGAACCCTGATCAATAGTGCTTTGAAAGAGGGGAATAGCAGCAGTGAGAGAAGAGCTGACGAGGAAGAACCGAGCTCTCTGGAGAAAGGATGAAAGGGAGTTGACTTGGGGCGGGGCTGTTAATGCCCAAGTGCGACTTGGCTGATCGCAGGGTTGTATCCTTGACAACCGGGTACAACGGGATACAGCGGAATACAAGCTTTCGACTGGGCAATGCATATATAATATGCGTCCTGCACACGAAGCTAATACATACTCATACACCGTAATACGAGCATTCTTAGCATGACATCATTCCAAGTTTTCTGACGAGAAAATGCTGGTAGATCCAGGAAAAGAGCAAACACACTCAACGTGTTGCTTGCTCAGCTGGGGTATGAGGCGACACTAGGGCCGAATCAGCGCTGTTTGGAGTCCACAGAGATGACGGAATATGATTCTTTAATCCCTCGATAGCTCATTTTACTATGAATAGACCAGCAGCATTCATGGATAAGTCGGCGTTCTGTGCTCCTCGTCAGCCCTGCCGGGCGTTGGCCCGGGCGTGTCAGGGCTGATTGACGCCAGAGACCGATGCATGGCGCCTGGTCGACCTCCCTCAGCCCAGTGATGGCTGTTCTATTTGCAGTTACGTGGCGACGATCCGGAGAAGCAGAAGTTGGGGCTGGCGAGGCTGATGAGCCTGGAGATGTCGAGATTGCGGTTTGATGTTGAGGTTGGCGTTGAGGTTGACGAGGTGAAGTCTGGTTTGCCTAAAAGGGAGGCGGCGGGCCGCGGCAGAACCAGCAACCGCCCTTTTGCTCTTCTTGTCTATATCAACGTCAAACGTCAACATCAACATCAACGCTCGACAACTACAGCTCACAGTCACAGACACAGCTACGACTCGCTCGCCACTACGACACCGAGAGATTAATAATTCAAAATCCACTCCACTCTTCAACATGTCCATCTCCAGAAGACGGCTGTACGGAGCAACTTTATTTGAGCCGCGGAGTTCCCAGTCCGCGGATACACCTCGAAACATCGGGAGACGCCGATGGCAAAAGCAGGCGTCGCGCAGAGAAATCATCCGGGGCGAAGGACGGATGTTGTGGATAGTTAACGTTTGCTTATAATCCTCTTTGTGATGGATATGCCACTGGCCTTGCTCATTACTGGGGAAAAGAAGGAGAAAATAAGAGAATGGCGATATCTTTATGGTTGGTGTTCGCGTCAACAATCTGGTAGCATACCGTGCCTGTGGCCAGGTTCGCGGTCTATTATGATGTACATGGACATACGGCCTCCTTGCCGCCGGATCAAACGTTAGCCCTATGGGCTTGGGTTGGTGGTGCCTAACGAGATCAAGCCTTGTTAACGGCCATCATTGTTGACTCTTGGATAATACCTATTCCCCGAACAGACGGCTCAAGATTTACTTCAATTTTGAAAGAAAGTACCTGCTTTCTCAGCCTTCTGTATATGAACTGCAGCCCTGGCGCTTATCTTTGAGCCATCCAGGGGATATTCTAAAACAAATATCTCCCGATATGTGTATTAACTCCCAGTTCGTAGCAGGATTCGGCCCAGCGGAGTCTCATCTTTGATAAGTCATGCCTCCACCTAGTCAACATCGATTAGCAAGCTGAGTTGAAGTCAGGCACCAACACACAGTATGATGGAGTATGATGGAGCAAAAATATGGAGAACTGGTGACGAGTCTGGATAGCCTAAACTTATACTATGTTTCGTTAAACTTGGTTGCCTGCCATCAAGTAGTCGGTTCTGTTTGTCTAACCGTATCTCATTAGTTTCATCGTTCTGGGGAAACCATCTGGATTCAACCCTTTTCTGGATATAGATATCATACGACATCTATTGCTGCCTAACCAACTAACTTGTGATTTTAATCAAATGGCTCTGGATATCTCTGGCCGCAGATAGCCCCGAACTGATGCGCAGAGAGGGCAATTTTTTAAAATCCAATCGCTTCATGTGTACGGAGTACTATATTCAGGCTCACAAGACAGACATTGCTTGATTTAAATGAGGTAGGCTGCACAAAATTAATACCAGGGCCAGATGGGGAAGTCTATCACTCTAAGAGGCATCACTGCCATTCGCAAGGTTGTCGATGAGAGCTGTTTTGATCTGGGAAATAGGCTCCATGTGCCACGTTCATGATGCTCAGCAAGCAAAGAGACGAGCTACTCAGCTATACAGCAGGAGGGCAAGGGGATGCGGCCTCAAAGGAGCCCCTGACATTACTACCTAGTATCCCGTACCAAGATGGTTACTGGACAGTTGGTTGAGCGAGACCGGTTGTCTCGGGATGATTTCGGGCTTCTGGAAGAACTCTACCCGGAGTTGAAAAAGGCCAAAGTCCTTCAGGATGATGGCACTTTTGTTTCAAAGAGGGCATCACTCCTTGTGTGCTACTCTCCCATACCGGCGTGTTTCTTTGAAGATACTGATGCAATATTAGTTATTTATGTCGGTGCTAATGTGTCTCTACTGGCAGCTGCGTTTGGATATTCAAGTCTCAAAAAGAAGCTGGCCGATGTCAAGGGGAATATCTGTATAATAGAGCAATATATGCAGTCACTGGCTAGTTAGCCGGCCCGGTGAGAATTGGTGTATGGAGTGTGAGTGTCTGATATACTTGAGGGCCATGATATCACCTCGTTTACACTGTTTGATACCCATGTCAACATCGATTGGGCTGGTGTCATGGTTGAGAGAGCCACGAATAGGTGACGAGTCGAATACTTTCAGAAAAATATCTTCGATCCGCTGGGAATCAAGCATACATCCTTCATCCCGCCGATGAGCTGAAATCGAGGGTAATTACTGTGGACCGAGGAGGTCCGGACGGGAGCCTGAGCGCCGTACCGCATTGCAGGCAGCAAGTCCTGGCAGCCGAGACCGAAGAGCGAGACTCTTGTTCACAGCGGTGGCGGCGGCCTTTTTTTTTTTTTTTTTTTTGGCACCATCAGAGACTTTCCCGGTATGATCTGAATCCCATGATGTATCTTGAGTTGAGCTGGCCTAATATGCTTTGCTTCTACTTAGAAAATCTTGCGGCATTGCTGAACGACGGCACTTCGCCAACGACAAGATCCTGAAGCCGATGTTCCAGAACCATGTGCCAGAGATGCCTGACTTTGCTCAGCATGCGTTTCCCCATCCAGCCCGTCCTCGTCAGCGAGCCAGCGAAGGCCGGGGACTCCTAGCGGTAACAAGCACCTTCTGGGCGGGCATCGCCAACTGTTTCTGGTGGTGTAAGCCGTGAGAAGGGGATTGGGATTGGGGCCTTGATAGCAACGCAGATTGTGTCGATGGGAGATCCCAATATCTCTCGTCTCTTTGCTGGTCCTGCATCTATCGCCATCTCGTCTCTGCTGAGCCAGCCAGCATTACTAACTTAGCTAACTTCTCCAGCCTTCCTTGGCTTTGAAGGGCTAGACCCGACTTCATCAGCAAGGCAAGGCAAGGCAAGGCAGGCCAGGGTTCAAGGGTAGAAAATTCTCTTCGTTCTCCGTCTGCTTCGCTGTCATTCCTCGTCTTGTTCGTCCCGTCCTTGCGTGGTCAAGGGCGTCTTTTCCTGCTTTCTCGCCCGTTACATCATATCTCCCAAAGATGAAACATGACTCTACCGTTCCTCTCTGATCCCATTCGACTCCCCAGCCTCTGCTCTGCACCTCCGCGTCTCCATCGCCCTCACTGTCGTCATCTCACCGTTTTTCTCCTTTATTTTTTTTATATCCCCCTATGCTAATAACACAAAATATCAAAAAAATACAAGTGACGCAACTTTCTGCTCACCGCTTTGTACCCATCTCGTAATGCGATTACCGGAGCTATTCTCGGCCCGTAGACCCTGCGTGGAAAAAGATGGACCGGGACACTCGGGAGTGAAGCAGCCGCCTTAGTCAGCAGGTTTGTTATGTATCGTACGGTACCCGCAAAACGAGGCCTTCGAACTTCTTCAACTTCGACTTTCTCGGCTTCGCAACTTCAACTTCAACCTCGATTCTTCTTTATATGCAAAAGGACAACACGCTCAGACTCGCCTTTCTCGCCTTGCTCGCCTGTCTTGCCTCGCTGGCTGCGTTCAACTGGCTGCTCATCTTCCCCGCGGCTTGCTGCCCAAGCTACGACACCTGCATCCGCTTCATAACTCGCAGTAGCCCAATAAACAAGCTTCCGGCATCGACCTCTTCACAACTGCCAAAACAGACGACCTCCCCATTTCGACAGGCCAGCAGACTGACGGACTAGGCCTCTTCCATGTCCAGCTTCACTTTGCTGGCTCCCTAGACCTGTTGCGATCGCTGTCTTGCCGTCTGCCTCCTACTGGCCCTGGCCGGCCCCAGGTTTCCTCGCCTCGCGCGTTGACGTGGGCCATCCTTATTGGGCCCTACCTGTTGTTTCTCCCTCTTCCTCGCCGCAGTCGAAACAGATATATCTGGTTTATTTTTTTTTTTTTTTGTTTTGCTGTTCCTCTCTCTCGACCCCTTGCTGCTCAATTCGTGCAGCTTGATCGTTGGACGGCAGAGCGGGAGGGAGCCTGGATCGGTCCGCCCATCTTGTCAAGCCTGTCCTGCGGAACTGCCCAAGCAGCCTGGCATCAAACCACTTAACGCATTCGATATATTTCGGGGAGGGAAAGGCTGCCGCTTCCAGAGCTGGATCATGATCGTCACCCCTGTATAACCGATCCAGCACAGCTCGCCTATGCTCCATTTCTAATCGCTCTAGCACTGACAAATCCGTTTTCTGTTTGCGCCCATATTTGGTTTTTCAAGCTCCTTTTTTTTTTTTTTTCAATTCCATCCGAGTCCGTCCCTTGATAGCTGGCCAATCTCAACATAATGGGGATTTGTTGACCTATGAACGCCTCATTTTGATAATTCACCCTGTCCATCCATTTCTCGCTGGCCGATCATCTTCGTGGTAACGCCCTCGTGTCGGATTCGACAAGAACGATACCCTTTACTCTCCATATTCCCCTCTCCCTAAATCCCCGTCATGTCATCTACTAGCCGCCTCTCTTCCCCATCCAGGCCAACGCCAGCTGTGCCATCACATGATGACACTGTCAGACAAGATGCTCATACTTCCGCTGGCCCCGAAGGCCGCACCAGCACCAACGGGAATGGCGCCGGGAGTGCACGCGAGCAGCAGAGCCAATTTAGGGCGACTTCCCTATTACCTCCAACCATACTGCACCCCTCAATCGCTCCCGCACCCATAGACCCATCATTGCGTCCAAAGCCTCTCCACCTTCACCATGGCAGACCTCTGCATATGTCCTCCTCTCCCAACTCTGTTAATTCCTCGCGAGAGACATCTCCCATACCGCGCATACCGCGCTCAGCCATTGCTCAAGCAGCCGCCCACTCACCGACGTCCACATCTCGATCCATATCCAGATCACGGAAAGGCAGCAGAGATCTTAGTATACCTCGCTCTCCAAGCGGAGCCGCCGCTGTCTCTTCTTCACAAACACAACCACAGTCACAGAACGGCCATAAGCAGCTTGCCGACGTGAACAAACCCTTGCTACCTCCGCCAGTCGACACGTTAGGACGTCTCTCTCCGATCTCTCCGTCCTTTACAAACAAACCAATCGATTCACAATTCCAACGCTCTCCAGGGCTGAAGTCACCTCAGCCACAGTCTAACCTATCATCCTTCAGCCTACCGGACAGCGTTCCTGAGTCAGCTCGACTGCCAAACCAGGAGAAAGATAGTAGATGTCAGCAGCAGCAGTCATCTCAACAACAGCAACAACAGCAATTGGAAAAACAGACTGAAGACTCCGAAGATAGCCAAATGCGGAGCATTAGCCGTAACCTGTCCCGTACTGGGAGCGTGGCAGGTTCTATGCTTGAAACTGTCGAAGAGGCTGGAACTCCTACACCAACCGATTCTCATACCACTCTAGATTCTAAACTCGATGAGAAAGAACGCGGGAAAGATGATACCTCGTCTAAACCTGGTGGTGAAAGTGGCTCGGACTCAAGCGGGAAGAAAAGAATGGTTAGACGCCCCTCAGATTCTCATAGAAGGAATCCTTCTGTCACAGCACGGCCGAATGCGGGTGATGTACTCCCAAAGCGGTCATTCACCTCGCTCAGCTCTGCTCGTGGAAAGCCGGGAGAAATATCCATGACCAACATGACTGTAGAGACTGAGACAGTTAGCTCTGTTCCCCAGGTGCCCTTAGGCGGGCCAGCGACAGAACGTGGAGGAACTGGCACATTAAGAGAACGTAGAAGTGATGAGACTATCCGGCCCAAGAAAGAAAAGAAGAAGGCATCCAGGAAAACCACGGTGCCACCCGGAGGGAGTAAGTCGGCTCTTCCTATATATGCTGTTCATTGTTAGACAACGTACTAATAACCTTTGTTCAGTGTCCTCGAAGGCGGATATCTTCGAAGCCAAGGTCGCTAGTGCAGTGGATGATGCGGACTCTTCCGACTCTGCGGAGACGTTTGTCTATGAATCTAATCCCCGTGACCCTCATCCAGCCCGCCAGCATAGGTATCATTCTAGAACCCCTTCAACTGCTTCAGCCGTCAGTCAACTTGACCAGTACGGTGGCCGCACTCGATCAGTCCTTCGTGACACTCCCGGTTTTCATGGAATTTCTGGCAAGCGAAGTATGAAGTTTACTAACAATACCTACAACACTTTTGACGGTGACGATACTATGTCTTCCGGACGTGGCAGCTCACGAATTAACGGCCATAATATTCATACCACCAGACATCATACTGGCAGGCATGCCCGCAGTGGAGCAAATACATCGTTATTCGACCATGCACGTTTTTTCTCTTCGCAGCAGGTGCCGACGTCCAAGGGCTTTCGATATTCATCAGTAAATGGCAACAGCGCACCCCATCGGCTTTCCTCTAAACAAGATGGTGACTATGGCTACGACTTTGACGCAGAGGGTGCTGATGATGAACGTACACCTTTGGTGAATGGCCCTAACGGACGTAATATTCGCTCCCGCCACGGTCGGCGACCTGGCAGTTCAAGCCTCCGACAACTAGAGTACATGGAAGAACGACGCCGCGGATGGTTCGCCCGAGCTACACTCTGCACACTCCTACTTGTCCTTGTCCTTATCCTTGGGGCCGGAACCGCTGTATTTGTTGTCGGTGTGACCAAGACGTTGACCAATGTACAAATTCGAGGGATTCAGAACGTCCTTGCCTCGGAAGCCTTGCTCATGATGGACCTGGATGTTCAAGCGGTCAATCCAAACCTTTTCACTCTGACCGTCAACCACCTAGATGTGAACATTTTTGCGAAGAGCAAATTCCTGGAAGTGGAGGAAATGGATTTAGGTGAAACGAGGCTTCTGCCTCGTACAGGCGATAGCAAGTCGCGAGCTATCCTTTCTCTCGCTTCGAGAGGGTTCGATGTTGAGGCTGAGCAGCGACAAAGAGCTGAAGGAAATGTTGACAAAGGCACTGACCCCATCCATGATCCTTCTGCTCCCAGTCCACAAACTATGCTACTGGGTCGGGTTTTCCATCTTGATTCCCCGCTTACGTTTACTCCTTCGCCCTGGAAACACCTTGCTTCCAACTCAACCGCTCAAATCCGTGTCCCGAAACCGGGAAATAGGACTGAGGAAGGTGGTTCTTTGCGCTGGGAGAAAATCCAGCAACACCCCTTCGAGTTAATAGTTAGGGGCGTTGTAAGATATGAGCTTCCGCTAAGTTCGATAATCCAGAGCGCGCCCGTCAGTGCAAAAGTTGCCGTTCTACCTGACAAAGGCAACGCAAAGCCAACTTCGACATCGACCCTTACTCCGACCGCTCCCACAAAGACAGTCACAGCTAAGGCGTTCACAGAAACCTCGACCTCTTCAGTCACGCCGACCCTCTTACCTTGAACGGGTATTAAGATCTCCCAGCCGTAGATCGTCTGTACGACTACCTTTGAACTTTTGAATATATTTCAACGAATTTTCTATCTCTTCATTTTGCAAAAGAGAGCCATCTTGCGCGCATTATTATATGATGATTCTCCACGAGCCTTGAGTTTATCGCTCTGAGCCTGCTTTGCTTATCTTGTTTTTTAAAGCGATTTTTATAACAAAACACTTTATACCCCTCTTGCTTGCTGTTACTATGCATAGCTGTTTTAATGGCTTTTGATTTTCTTTCCTTTCCTTTCCTTCTTTTTTTCACTTTAATATTTTTTGTCGTTGCGTTTGTTCCTATGTATATGCTCCCGTGAAAAGGGAAAAATCCGTGTTTCTTTGACATTGCTGGGGGAAACATCATGACAACAACACCAATGACAACAAAATAGACCGGGGAATCTGGGAATTATGGGCGCAAGCCGGGGTTTTCTCTTCAATTTCTTTTGTACTAACTTTGGGCCTCTGCATTGGCCTTTGCCGCCAACTCAACAGCACACTCCTTTAAGAGCCGAAGCAAACGAGGCATAGCGAGAAGGTGCAGTTGAAGATCTCCACCTAACAGCGCCTCTTACCATGTCCTCACCTGCTTCATCTTCTCCTATGTTATCAACTGGAACAAGTTTGCCATGAATACAAATATAACTACAACAGATTCATACAGAATGTGAGAGGAACATACGATATAACTACAAGTGGAATGGAATGGCATTATGGAGATATATCCATAGAGTCCTGAAATTCACATAGTTTAATATATACTCAATTAATCCTCATCAATAGAAAAATATCCAACATTTGATTCTAGGGCTAATATATAGAGAGAAATAAAATGCTGCCGAGATTTTTCTAACTCAACTTTCCGTATAAACCAACAGTCGAACCGTAAATAAAATGGTTCTGAGGAACGAAGAACCACATAAAAATTCCCATATATTGTCAGAAATATTGATCAGTTGGATTCCAATCCAATAATTCATGCCGCCATGCTTCAAAAAATCCAAACCGTACTCGTGCTTTTATCATTTATACCATGCAAAAAGGGAAGGCGACAAAGATGGTATCCAAATAACGGAAGAGAAGGGTGGATCCCTTTCCCAGCGGTATATATAACTATGCCGCTTACACGATGCGGTAAACGCGCTTGGCGACATAGAAGCAGACAATTGCGAAAAGCACCAGCCCGGCAGTTACTATAACGAAGTGTTAGCAGCCAGCACTTATGAGTGATTGGTGGGCTGAAGTCAGATACTCTGGAAACATACTTGACCAAAACCAGTTGAGGCTTTCGACGTCTTGTCCAGGAACCTTGACGTTCATCCCCCACATGCCGCAGATTATGTTCATTGGAAGGACAATGGTGCCGAGTACGGTAAGTTTGCCTAGGACATCGGCTGTTTGTTCTTGTCGTTCATTCATTCGGATATTAATCTGAGCAAGATAGTTTGAATGCGCACGGGAGAGCAGCCTAGGATTGAATGTCAGTGCATGGGTCTTAGGCCACGAAGGGAATGGGGCCGATATACGTTTCGTAATGAGTCAAATTGCTTGTCATAGTCAGGATGTGATCCTGGATGTCACCCAGGTAGAGTCCAATTTCAGACTTCGGGGCAACTTCCCAGAACTCATTGCAGCGCTTTGCAAACCCTTTGATAACATCTGCCTTGTTGCCTAGAAGCCTGTAAAGCCCCATAACTTTCTTACGGCACGCACCGACCTGGCGAAGCATATTGGTTCCAGAGCCACTTTCCTCTAAAGCGGCAGACTTTTCGTTGTTTTGATCAGAACCCATTTCCTTGTCGTCGGAATGTAGGCGTAGGATTTTGTCATCAATCTCGTCGACTTCTTCTTCAATAGCATGGATGAGAGGGCCGAAAACGTCAGTGATATCGTCAATGATAGCATATGATATCCAATCTGCGCTCAGGATTAAATAATCCTTGAGTTGACGGATCCTTCGGCGGACGTTTGCTGGATGGGGAGTTCGAGAGAAGTGGAAGCTGAGGAGACCCTCTCGGAAAACTACTACGTACATATTCACGGGCTCAAGAAAATCAGGACTGTTGACATCTTGCTCGAAGGTACGGTAATTGATGAAGTAGTAATTCCGGAACAGTTCGACCTTTTCTCGTGCTTCTTGCATCATAATATCCTCTGCGGTCAAGGCGTGTATCCCAAATGCTTTAGCAATGATTCTCATTTCACTGTCAGTGGGACTGAGAACATCAAGCCAGAAGGTAGGTCGGGGTCCATATCGCGGCTCTTTCTTAGGACTAGGAGCTCGGCTATTGCCATTGGTAGGCTGTTGGGATGTGCTATCCGGGTTGTCTGATATTAGGTCTGGAAGATTGTTTGTGTTGTGATTGGCATTTGTTGATATAGACGGGTGTTTATCACGGCCTGTTATACCGCTATAAGCGGGGGAATCATCTTCTTCATCTGAAGAATCGTCTTCTAGTAGTGGAGGTTCTGGGATGAAAAGGTCTCGGAAAGTTTGGCCAGGTTGTTCAAGTTCTGATAGTGTTTGGCTGTGTAAGGTGCTCTGAAAATCTTCATTAAAATAGGTGAAACGGTACGGTGCTTCCTCTTCTTCGTCTTGTTTCCACGCCAGATTTCGAGTTCTTAGTCTCCCCCCGATGAGCACCGGTTCGTCAATTCTCTTGGAACGGGTTCCACCACTGCGAGCCTCCTTCTCATGCTGGCTCCATTCATCCAACACTGAAAGGTCAGGCCAAACTCTCCGTGACCGCCGTCTACGCTCACGGGTATCTCCGCCGGTTGGAATATGTGACTGAAGATCTTCTTCGCCGAGATCTGAAAGGCCACTAGCAGGGAAGCATACATCTTCTTCCACTGGAAGAGTAAGTGTTCGGCGGCGCTGTAGATCTGCCGGAGAGCGCGACATTGACCCATGTCTGGATTGTAATCCTGGCCTTCTCGAGTCCGCATCCACACTGACTACTGCATCCATGGGTAGGCTGTGGCAACTCAGCGCTTCTGGAGACTGTTGGCGAACGAATTCAGGTCCTGTTATTACTGTCTCATCATAGCCCATATTATTGGGAATAATTTTGGGGCTTCCGGGCATAGAAGGCGGATTGTTGACATCGTATCCCTGCCTTGAAGCTGAGAAGGCATCAGGCGTATAGCTGTTTTGTGGTGACCGCCTTGATGTTGGGCTGCCCATACCTGGTGGCATAGTATAGGGTGATCTTGAGTCAGATCCATAGCCCCGGAGAGCACCGCCATTCTGTGCTGATGAAGTTAACAACGGCGAACGGTCGTCTGTGATGGCGAAGTCGTCCTCTGGTAAGGTCTCGTGTCTGCGTATCTTTGTACGTGAGCTGGTAGGGGATTCAACGAGCAGTTGGTCGGGGCGAAAGCTCTGGGCTAGTCTGCTTTCTCGGCGCGGGCGCATCATGGGTTGATTTCTAGGAGTATTAGCATTACCAGCTAGAAAAACGACGGTCACTGAAAAGAGCATGTTGTTAGGTGGTTGGCTTACCGGTGATCCAGCAAGGCTTCACTCTCAAGGCTGGTCTCACTGAGATTTCCACCGCCGGATCTTCCAAGGTTGTAGAACGAGCGTGGACGAGTCTCTGTCAGAGAGGCATCCTTCGTATCTTCGTTCTCTTCATTTGGTTGCGTGTCGACTCGACGACTGAGCGGTGACTGGAAATGAGAGTTATCACCAGCTGGAGCAAAGGAAGGTCGTCTATTCCGCTTCTTTCTGGGAGCTCTGTGTCTTCTTTTTTTGGGCGCACTTCTTTCTGCCCCCATGACACTGTTGGTGGGATCCATCTTTAGGCTAGACCGTCTGAGGAAGAGATATTGACTACGGAGATGCTGAATATCATCTGCGGAGTCCCGGCCGAGATCCTCACGAGTTTAGGGTACTTTGAAGCCGTATGCAGGTTGATGGCAAGTGGGAAAGGGGGTGAAGTTCGGCATGGAACAGAGAGATGAGTTGGAGTTTGGTTGCTAGCAATCGATGACCCCAAGGATGACGTCGATGGTTGAAGGGTTTTTCGCTGGCTGGTAGTGCCGGTTCAAACCCTAATTTACAGCCCCCAAGCTGACTCGGGTATCAAGTTCCACCTGAAAGGCCCGGACTCCTCTTCCATGCAGCCGGCGGCGGAAGTGCGCCTATCATTGGCAAGTTATTATGCATCATTTCTATTTTGTGTCATCCTGCTCAACCTGTTGGACCTGGGGATCGGCTTGGAACGATCGAAACTGCATTGCCGATCCGGTATCAGAACAGGCTGTTGCTTGCCGGGAAAAAGTGTAAAGTGAGTTGAAGAAAGTAGCCATAGTTGAAGGTCATAAAATCTATTAATCTCCTGTTATCCAAGTTAAATACAAGAAATGTGTTGTGCAAGACGTCGTGGGCCTCGTCATCGTTATCCAAGCAACAAAAGAGAGCCATTAGTTAAACATATTGGAACATGAAGTGAAGGGAAAAAAAAAGAAAAAGAAAGAAAAACATAAAAGATTAACGAAACTCCGTGTAAAGTACCCAAATGCCAGATATCGATCCTGTTCATCCCGTCCAAACACTGTATCCAGAAAGAAGATATGAAAGATAAAATCCTCAGAAACGCCGTGATTTCCCATTTTTCAATGTATTCGTGAGAGTGTGCAAGGAGGGAATGTTATCAAGAGCATACCCGGAGTGAATCCGTTAATGAGAGTGTGACGCCTCATATTATGTTACTCGGGTTGCTCGGGGCCATACTAATAGACGGGAAGCTTTGGGTCGACCGAATGCTTTGTCTATCCGCACTCAGGCCCTTGGACGACTTTCTTTCTTTTGGAGGCCTTGCAACAAGGACCTGGGCAGGACAAACGACTATTTCCTCGTCACCATCGCCTTCATCGCTGCCTTTCTTGACAACCAAGGGAAAAAGGACCATGCGAACGACTGCACGCTGTGCCTCTAGTTCTTCATTCGATGTTGTTTCGCCACTGCGTTCGTTCATGAGAGCAGCATTGAAGTAGACTTTTCGGAGGAGTTCGCCGTTGGTGTCGTATTCTGGCTGGAGGGGGGGCAACATGATATATTCTGCGCGTTGGGTGCGCATTTTGATCGAAAGATCGACTGCGGACCGCATCACGTTGCGAAGAGAATCCAGGACAGTTTTCTCTAATTCATGAGGGGGTGGAAGTAGTTTTGAGAGAGTGCGATAGATTTCTTGGACCACAGCTTCGGTATCTTGTGAGCGAAGCTCTTTGAAAGAAGGTCGTTTGGAGAGAAGAGTCAAAGTGGTAGCTCGCCACTTGTGAACAGCGTTTGGTGGACCGACTTCGGATAAGTGTTTCTCGAGGGTCTTCAGCTTCTGTCGTTGTTCTCTGTCCATTCCGAAGAGGTATCGCGTAAAGATGTACTCCCACATCATGGTCATGGCAACGGACATGAACACGTCTCTTCGCCCAACACGATCGGAAAGGTACGTATCGACATCGGTTCCATCGAGGATTGCATTCTCAAAACGGTCAACAATCTTCTCGTCGCGGAGGACACTGGTGGTGCGGCAAACGCGCATATCCGAGAATTTAGAGAACCTTAAGACCCACTGCTGGACGTGTTGACATAGTTTCTGACAGGCATTGTCAAAGTAATCCTCATCGTGGAAGACGAGAATGTCATCCTTGGCTGAGGCCTGGATTTGCTCCTGAAGCTCCTTGATCTTGTCCTGGGCATCAGCCAAGTTGTCTCGCAGCAGCTGGATTTCGGCGTCCTTATCTGCAAGTGCAGTGCCGACTTCATGCTTGACCATTTGCTCTAGGCCTGAGGATAACTGTGCATATTGCGCACGAACCTTCTCCAGCTCTCGCTGCGACTTCTCCCACTCTTCCTTGTAGTTCGACTTGTCGCCACCATCGAGGCCACGGGAGGCCGCGTAGCTAGCATTGGCAGCAGCAAGCCCTTCATTGACCTCTGTCAGCCTGGTAATCTCCTTCTTGAGCCAGTCTGAGGACTTCTGCAGCTGTTGTATCTCCAATTCCTTGTTTTGGATTGTCTGGTCACGTGCCTCTAGTGCGCGCGCATGTTGACGTTGAGCGACGGCATGGCTCTCAATTGCCTTTTCGGCAGCGGCTTTGGAGGAGCCTAGCAGGCGGTTTTCCGATACAAGCTGGTCAAGACGAGTTTCGAGCTCCTGGAGGCGCTGTAGACTGCGGCGCCGGCGCACGCTGGGCGGGCGAGTAGGTGAGAGCGGCGGGGCGCCCTGGACATCGCCCCATCCTTCCTATGGAGATGCGTTAGCGACAGAACTAGTTACTCGCATCCATGGATGAGATCGTCAACTTACATAGACATCGGCAGCCATGCCTCGCAGCGGCGCTTTGCCCTTGTCTGTGACTGGGTCATACGTTGAGGACGATGGAAGTTGGCGCGCTTCTTCGTCTTCCAAATGCGAGAGGCTGGGGGACGGAGTGCGAGTTCTTCCGCGCCGGAGGTCACGTTCGCTCGCCGCTTTAAGGTCGGAGCTGCGGCGGCTTTTAACCCGACGTAGCTTGGGAGGTGTCGATTCAGGGGTGTGGACTGGGTTGACGGCCGGGGTCGCCCAGGTCTGTGGCTGGGCGTGCTGCTTCTTCTCAGGCCCGTGGCTAGCAGGGGCAGCGTCCGGGGTAAGCTGGGGGAAGGCTGGAGAGTGTTGGGCTTCGTACGGTGCAGATATAGCCGAGTGCTCCTCGATCGTGCCCAGCGGCGTCTTGGGAGGAGATACCGATCTAGAGACAGACCTTTCCCGTTCAGCCAGCCCGTATGGTCCTCCGAAGAGAGATGGAGGTTCGAGGGATGGTCGAGCTTGCTCGGTGGCCTTGGATGCGATATCTTTAGCCGTGGTTGATTCTAAAATCTCCTTCTCAGGGGTAGAGAGGAGTGCATGGGGAGTTGTGTCATCAGCGAGATCCAGTGGCTTGTCTGTTTCTATAGACTTGTGTAGATGCATTGGAGTAGGCGTAGATGGACGTTCTTCATGCTGGTTGTGTATTGCATGGGTTGCTAGGGTCATATAGCCGAAGTCTCGGGTGGATGGTGAAGAGTGGAATAACAGGGCAGAAGAACGCTCCTTGGAACTTGATTCAACTGAAAAAGGGTCGTCATTGTATTCACGTTTAGGAGTCGGTATCGTTGCCTCGGGTTCAGCCATTGACTTGTCTAACACTTGAACATCCTCGGGCGCCTGGTAGGCAGGCTCCAGATCCGCGCCAGAAGGTTCATTCCCAGGGGCACCGATATCAAAAGCCTGAGATATCGTCGAGTCTTCTGATGGACCGGTACCCTGACGTGCTGCCTTGTCACCTCCAAGGTGCGACTCATGTTTTCGCGACCAGTCAGGTGCCTCTAATGATTCTAAGGATGCAGGTTTAGTAGCAAGCTCAGGCTCAGGTGTTAGTAACTGTGTTTTTGCGGTATGAGCGGCGAGGTCCTCAGGGTGTTGCATTTTGATATTTTTCTTGTTTTTCTTCACCTTGCTTTTCACTGAGGGTGAGATATCTTCTTCTAATCCGCTCCCTGGCTCTATTTTGGACGGGAAATCAGGCCCATTGGATTTGACGAGCTCCTCTGGCTCCTTTGATAGCTCACGAGTCGCCTCTGAGTGCCTTTCTCCTGTCTCAATCGTAGATTCTATGTTTCCTGGACGTTTGCCCTTGATTTTGGTCTTCTTTCCTTTCCTCTTGGTGACATTAGGGAGAAAATCGGCTTCTGGTTCAGGAATCTCCTCCCTTAAGGCGTTTGGTGTTGCCGCACGTACTTCAGCTGGAATATCTGGTTCAACAACAGATTTGGGGAGCGGTAAGTCTTTGGGCTGTTCAGTTTCAACTACCGCTGGCCTTTCGTTTCTCTTGTTCTTGGGTGTATTTTCCTTTTCGTCCGTTGTCAGAAAGGCACCTTCATCCTCTGGAGGTGGCTCTGTTGAGGGCCCTGATACAAACTCAGGTACAAGTTCAGACAATGGATCAGGGATTTTTAGAGTGTCCTGCTGAGGTATGGCTAGCTCTTGACTTCCTATCTCTGTGGCCTCGGTCAATCCAAGATCTTCTGCCACAGAACCCTTCGCTTTAAGCTTCCCCCTCTTTTGACTTGGTACAGCGTCCTCTGGCTGCTCTGGGGTCAGGCCAGTGACAGGCTCAACCGATCTAGTCATTTCATGCATCGCACTTGATGGAGCTTGAAGCTCCTGCGTTTCAAACAATGGAGCCTCAGTCTCAGCCTGGTCTTTCCTGAGTGGCTTCCCCTTGCCTTTGGATTTCTTGCTCTTCTTCACCCTTTCCCCCTTCCCTTCTCCTAATTGCCAGGTTTCTTCGCCTTGCCATGGGCCGATAGAAATGTCGTGAAGTACTACCGTTTCTCCATTGTCTGCTAAATGTGGAGAATTCTCGGTTCCCACCGGCGAAGCTCCCGTGTCCAAGATGGGTTCTGTGCCTTGGGTTTCCTGTGATAATGTCATGGCTGGTTCTTGTGAATCATGGAAGCCACTTGCTGCTTGTTCAACTGAGGGCTCTGCGCCCAAGTCTTTCATTGGCACATCCTTATTAGTACTGTCGTCCACAGCTGTATTTTCCATGACTGCTAGCTGCGAGTCTTCCTTGAAGCAAATATCAATCTCCATAGCCGAATCTTTTACATGCTGCGATGTTTGATGGCTCATGGGCACAACCTTCGCGCTAATTTTCTCTCCAAAGGGGACTTCTTGGTCCGGTCCACGCTCTTCTACTGCTACACCCCCAAAGACCACTGTTTCGGCAGCTGACTGAGGAATCCCGGTGTCTAGAATCTCGCTCATGCTTCCTCCTTTGGGTTTTTGTCTAGTTTCCCTGGGAAAAGTTTCTATCGGTTTTTCTTCCGAAACGTCATCACCTTTAGGAGCCGTATCTTCACTGAAGTCTCCAATGCCCGGTGTCATTGTCTTGGGGAGCACTGTGTGCTGAATTTCCGGGGTATCATTGATGACTTCATGGTCACCAGAAAGTTGAAGATCCAACGACGCCGTGTCCATCTCTCGTTTGTTGTTAACCTGAGCGTACGGAACAGTATTAGATACATTTTCATGGATATCATCCCAGTCAATAGTTGGCCATACCTCATCCTCATTTGGGCTTGCAGCCTCGCCAGCAACAGGCATGTCAACATTGGGACAGACAGGCTCGCCGATGGTGTGTGTGTCAATCTCTTTTTCTTCCGCAACTGGGGCTTCAACATCACCACTCAAACCTTGAACATCCTTCTTTTTCATTTTCTTATTTCCCTTAGAAGATTGGCCCGATAAAGCTGTCTCCTGAGCTGGTTCTTCCCTCACCAGTTGTATTTCTGGTTCAGGACCTTTCAATTCGTCTGGGGCATCCGTCTCCGTCTGAGAAGTAACCGTACCTTTAGCGCGTTTCTTTTGTTTCTTTGGATTTTTTCTTGGTCCTGAGCCTTCATCCCACGTAGGTTCATGGCTGATCTTTGCCGCTGCTCCGACTGGCTCCGGTTCTGCCAGTTTATCCAGCAATGATGGAATAGGTGGAGTTACAATATCTTTTCTAGCAGAATCAACTGTCATGGCCGTAGAGATGGGTTGTGTTTCCAATCCATGAGTTTGCTCGATACCGGCTTCAGCAGGTTCTGCTGTCATTGGAGCATCATCAACCTTGTTGAAATCGGTGGTTTCAGTAATGTCAGCTGTGATGTTAGGGACATTTGGGGTAGAAGTAAATGCTTCTACATCCTCCTTGAAACCCGACTTGACAACATCGGCTACAGCCCCGCGAGCCTTCTTTTTTGCAGCTTTCTGATCCTTTTTTGAAAGTGTTCGCTGTGGCTCTTCCTCCATGTTGGCAATGAGAGGCTCTGGAGCGCTAGGGCCCTCAGGTAAAGTTTGCATTTTGATCTCTGGTAACTCAGGGGCAACAGCAGGTTCTCCCTCCAACATCACACCCTTTTTCTTTTTCTTCTTTTTCTCCTTCTTGGACACCTTGCTTGTATCTCGGGCTGGGGTTTCATCAGACACAGTTGCAAGTTGAGGGATAGTGCTGACCGGGACATCATCAGTGGTATGACGATCAAAAGGGGTAGCTGCGGAATCATTGTCATCAGCTGTTGATTGTTCCGTAGATGCAAGGGCAAGGCCGGGTTCTTCCGGTTTGGGTAGCTCGGTCGGTGTCTCTTGCATGGCATCAGAGATTTCGGCTTGGGACTGCTCTGGAGGCGGATGTTCATAAATCTTCTCCGAAATTGTGAAATCAATCGGTCCGGATTCTGGAATTTTGGGTTCATTCTTGCTAACCTGGATTTCCTGCTCCTTGATGGGTTCAGAATATGTTGTACCTATCAATCCTCCGGTGACACCCAAGTCCACTAGCCTACCCTCGGCATCTGGTCTTGACGATATCGACTGATCTTGTAGTTCAGGTATTGAAGGGTCGGTAAGGGCGTCTCCTAGACCAGTTGATGATAAGCCTCTAATCTTGTCAGGTAGCGATTCATCGGCAGGATTCTCAGTGGCACTCTCTTGGATGTTTTCCATGACCTGATCGTCGAGAGATGGCCCCGGTCCGGTGCTTTGAATCTCCATGGATACTTTGGTACCTTCTTGAGTCTTCTCAGGGGCCAGGTGTTGTTCTGCGGTTTCTCCCGCTGATTCCGGCAAAGGAATCATATCGGGTCTAGTGGCATTGTTAACTGGTGTTTCCATAGGTTTCTCCTTAACAATTAATACATCCTCGGGTTGGCCATCAACATTAGCCAGGGAATGTGATGGCTTGTATTCCGATACAGCCAGGTCCGCGTCGGTAGCAGCAAGATTGTCTAAGGCGTCATTTCGTAGAGCATCCGAGGCATTGGCGGCAGTGTCAGGTTGTTTGAGAGATTCTTCATCAAAGGGTAACGATCGTTGCTGGGATTCAAGCTCTGTAGGATGGATTGCAGGCCCATTGTCAACCTGCGTAGGCGGAATTTCATCAGTCCAACAAGAAACTTCAGCCTTTTTCTTACTTTTGTTCTTCTTTTGAGAATTAGAGAGTTGAAATTCTTTACCGTCCTCGTCTGGATTGCCAGTGTCAACTTCACCGCCGTCTCCTTGTGGCTCGGCTATTCTGGGATCAGTGCGTCCGATATGCATTTCTACCATGCCTGGTTGGGCGGAAGCTACATCGGTGGGCTGCTCCTTCGGACCTTGGGGTTTGTCTTTGATATTCTCTTGCGGTGGTTCAGCCGAAGGTATAACTGCTGTGGTGGCAGTAGAGTCGGTTGGAATCGAGGCCTCTGCCTGACATTCTCTCGGTATTTCAACCTCCTGGGGGGTTTGGGGCACCTCATCTGTCCAATCCACGGATTGCTGCTTCGTTTTCTTGCCCTTTTTCCCTTTCTTCTTTTCCTTCGCAGCCAAAGGCTGTTCGAAAGGGGCCTCTGCCGGAGTGTTGTCAACGTCCTGCGCCTCCTGGGCAAAGAATCCGACTGACATACTTTCCGAGGTCCCTGGGACCTCCTCAGGCTTAGGTAAGAATTCTTCTCCTGCAGCTTGATCCTCCTGGTTCTTCTTTTTCTTTTTCTTCTTTTCCTTCGCCGAGACGGGTTTCTCAGGAGTTTGCTCTTCTGGCATCGACTCAGTGCCGTATGCCTCATCCAGGGTACTTTCGCGGGAAACTGATTCCTCTTCGGCCACAGGCTCGTCTTCCGAAGAAGTTGTTGCCTTGTCTTGCCTCTTCTTCTTTTTCCTTTCTTTCGCAGATAAAGGTTTGTCGGTATGTTGCTCTGGCAAATCGTTACCTATCACCAGGGACTCTTCAGTTGAGGGCCCGACGGCAAGAACTTCAGAAGGTTGCCCTGTCTTCTCGGGTATAAGCTGCCCTTTCAAGTGCGGTGGTGTTTCCTGGTCTTTTTCAAACCCCTGGTCCAGCAAAGGGTACTCAACATGGGTCCCCCCGGAGTTAGGTAAACTTGTATCTACCTCCAAGTCTTGTTCTTTCTGGGTTTCCACGGAGAGCGTATCAACAACACCAGGCGTTGTTGCCGGTTGAGATTCCTGTTCCAGAGACAATTTCTTTTGATGCTTCTTCAGCTTTTTCTTCTCCTTCGCGGTAAGAGGCTTTTCGATTGGCGTTTCTGGTACAGGCGGGTCCACGGCGTCTGCATGGAGTTGATCTACAGGCGCTGGTGTTTCTATAACTTCAGTATCGTCGTCCAGAGCTTTGGATTGACCCTTCTTCTTTTTCTTTTTCTTCTTATCTTTAGATGTAGAAGTCAGCTCCATTGGCGGCTCCATAGAAGCTTTGCCCACAATGTCTGTTGATTGTTCTTCGTGAGATTCTACTGCATCGCTCTTTTGGTTCTTGGCTGATTGGTCACTCTGAGGTTTGAGACGACTGTCATCCTCAAGTTCAGCGGAATCAACCTTTGCTTCAGAGCTTTCAATTTGAGATTGTGCCTGTGTCTCGTGAGGGACAACAGGTGCACCTTCTTGCTCTTCTTGAATGCTAACATTATGGGCATCTAGTCGCTTGTCGTCTGTTAGTTCAGCGGGGAGGGGATCCTGGGGATCAGAAAGTTTGGGTTCTGGTTGGTTTTCGCCCATAATGTTTTTAGGTTCATGCTCTAAAACATCAGATGGGATGGATTTTGGCTGCTCGCCTTCCACAGACTTGGTGACTTCAGGTGGTTTGTCCTCTAGAATTATAATGGGTCCACCCTCAATGGAATGGGAATCCCCAGTTTGCTGAGTTTCTGGCTGCTTGTCCTGGGGAATATTATTAGGTTCACCTTGTCGTGCTTTAGAGGAGCCCGGGTTTACCGGCGTGTCTTCAACAAGAGCCATACTCTCGTACGGTTGGGACTCTAAAGGCATATCCTGGAGAGTTTCGGCGGAAGAATCTTCAATGGAAACAGGTGGCTTCGTGTATTGATAGCTGCCATCCTGAGGATTTGGAGGCTTCTCTTCTTGATTCTGAAAATGTTTATCCACACAGAAATCCTCCTGAGCTTCAACATCCCGCAAGCTTTCCTTTGGAGTATCTTTAAGAGGGTCTGCCGATAAATCATTAACAGGAGCTAGGGTCTCTGTGGCTTTTGGTTCCTCGTCGATAGATATTGATTGGCCCTTCTTCTTCCTCTTCCTCTTCTTTTCCTTAGGGGCGAGAGGGGTATCAACAGGAGCTTCTAAGGATGAAATGTCAATTGGCTGCAGCTTGTCTTCTGCTGGCTTGGTTTGCACGTCCTGCTGAACATGTACTTCTCTGTTTCCCAAAGTTTCAAGCGGTTCATCGTCCCGCTGTTCTGCTGGTGCATCCTTCTCGGGATTAGACACTGTAGTTATTAAAAATTGCTTCGTCAGTTGCATTAGAGATGATGATTCAGCGGCTTGAGGTTCCTCGTCCAAAGACTGCGATTGATTCCGCTTTTTCTTCTTTTTACCCTTCACTGGTAGAGACTTCTCACCAGACGCTTCCATTGAAAGCTTGTCGGAATTTGCCGGTTTCCCATCTAGTGGCTCTGATACCCCGGGCTTATCGGCAGGCGCAGAGGGCTCTTTGAAAGTTTCAGATGGCTCCTCGACTAAAGGTCGGGGTTCGGCTGGCGTAGATTCAAACGGCGAAGGCTGGTGCAGAGTTAAATCCTCCAGAGATCGGGGTTCAGCTTCCAGCAGATTGTCATTATTGTGGGCTTCCAAGGCCTGTGGCCCTTCAAGTGTATCGTTAATCTCTGAAGCAGTTCTGGTTGATGGCTCTGAAGGCCGGTGTTCTGTCCTCGAGCCGTCGACATCTAGTGGCTGCTCGGCTACTTGTTCTGAGGCCTGCGAATCCATTGGGATGTTGTCGCTGACTAGTTCTTGTTCTTGTAAGATTTCGATAGGCTCAGACTCAGTTGGTAGCTTATCAACGACTGATGGTGCTTCAGCCAAAGGCTCAGTGACTTCAGTATTCTGAGGATCATCTTGGACCTCCAGTGGAAGAGAGCCTTGAGCCTCAGTATCAGCTTCAGGAACATCCGTTGAAGAGGATTGCTGAACAGGCTGGGCTTCATCGATAGTTGATACACTGCGGTTCTTATTGCGTTTTTTCTTTTCCTTGCCTGTTAATGCCTTTTCAACCTGAGTTTCCACAGGGACGTCATTGATATCCATTGATAGACTACTGACAGGTTTCGTGGGCTTTTCTTCGGCAAGGGGGCTTCCTAGAGTAGATGGTTCAACCTCCAAAGTCAGCGGTGGCTGCCCATCGGCAGGTTTGGTTTTCTCCGAGCTCTGATCTTCATCTTCTAGAGATAGGACTTCCTGGTTCTTTTTGCCCTTCTTCCCCTTTTTATCCTTCTTGGCTTTAGTAGGTTTAACTGCAGTTTCCTCAGTCGATTTCGCTGCTTCATCAGGGAGATTGAATCGCATGGCTTCACTTCCTTCGGTGGCTTTGATGATATTAGAGGCTTCCTCGACAGCTCTTTCGTCCCTTACGTCTACCTGAGTAGGCACTTCGAGCTTAGCATCAGTCGGCAACGTATCCTCTTTGGGTGGCTCTACTTCATCGACCGGAATGTCAACCCGGGTACTCTTCGGCTCTTCGAAGAGAACAGGAGTAACAATGGGTATATCGCTCTCTCCCTTATTTACTGGCTGGTCTTGGCCGATTTCTTCGCTGGCTGTTGTTTTATCATGAACCGCCAATGTGCTCTTTTCAATGTCCTCTTCGACATTGCTTGCCTCAGGAACAGTCTCATCTAGCATGCTGGCCAGCGATGCTTGCTTTTTCTTGTCCTTTTTCTTTTGCTTCTTGGACTGCTTCGACATTGACCGCACATCTTGAGAGCCGTTGTCGCCAGAAATATGTGGTGGTGTATCATTGGCTATGACTCCAGGTTCGGCCGCATTAGCGTCGTCGTTTGTTGACAGGGTTAATGTCTCGACACTTTTTGCAGAGAGAGATCCCTCTTCAGTGGACGGCTGCTCAACAGTCTCTTCATTCCGAGCGACAGTTGGAGCCTCCTCCGTTTCGTTAGATCTCACCGGTACTTCAGGTGATTCCGCAAGTGACTTTTCCGTGGATGCTGATGCTTCAATGTTGTCAATCGATGCAGAATTCTCGCGGTCCTTTCTACCCTTTTTGCCTTTCTTTTTCTTCTGCTTTGGCTCGGGTTCTGCAAGCTCCTCGGACTTAATGGCAGGGGTATTAGGTTCCGGCACCTTGTCCGCCAGCTCATCCGGAAGTTCGTGCTTGGCTAGAGCATCCACATCCCGGGCAGCGTCAAAGAATATGTCGGTACCACTGTGTATGTCCTTTTCGTCTACTTGATTCGCAGAAAAGGGCGTTGGAAGGATCTCTTCTTCGAGCTTTGGGAGGAGCTGTCCGTGGCCATGGACATCCATAGTTGTCGGGAAATTTGACTCATGATTTGCATTGCCTATGGGAATCCGAGCCATCCATGCAGCAGGTTCTGGGTCTTCAGGTTGTCCTCTCCCCCCGCTCTCTATTTCGTGTATATCTGCATCTGCAAGAAGCGGAGCGACTTCAGTCACTGGAGGTTCATGGAGAAATGAAGGGTCCGTAACAGCCGAAATTCCATCTAGTTGAGCTGGTTCATTTGCGCTCATGTCGTTCGTTTTTTCAAGAAGATCGGCTTCCTCTGCACTAGGAAGGGGGAGTGGTATATCTTGCGGTTTCTGCTCAGGGCTGAGAGGAAGAGACGCAGGATTATCTCTCAGATGGTCTTCTTTTTGCGCCATTGGTGCTGCAGTGGGCTCTGGCTCATCAAGAACAAGGTTGAGAGCCTCAATTTCTTCAAGATCAGCGATTGGTAAAGGAACATCTGCTGCAAGAACTTCCCCTGAGCCGGGATATTCTTTGAGGTCCTGTTCTGTATCCGGAAGGTCTGCCATTGGAGGGATGGCATCCACAACACCAGGGCGGGCATATTGCAATTGAGAATTGATGTCAGATGCTGAATGGATCACAGTATCGTCTAACTGAGCGCCCACTATGTCTCTTTTAGGATTCTCCAAGTCTTCGTCCTGCGTGGTAGCGAAGTCATCCTTCCGGGTACTTGCCGAAGATTCATCGGGTTCCTGACTTGGCTTTTCAACAGAATCTATCTCAGACTTGTTTTTCCGTCCTTTCTTATTTTTGCCTTTCTTAGACTTATTGGCAACTGGTCCAGCAACTGGGTCTTCTTTTACGGATTCCAGGCAGCTTTCTTCGTCAATACCAGTAGAGAGGGCTGGCTCTTCGCTTGGGACATGATCGGTGGCCGTGGTAGAGATGGAGATGGTATCAGTCGAGATACCCAAAGGGGCCTTTTCTTCAGTCTGACTCCCAGAAACATGTTCAGGAGCCGGTTCCGCAGCAGAACGAACCTCAGGTTCTTCAGATTGGAAGGTAGAAGTAGTCTCTACATTAAGGTTCTTTCTCTTCTTTTTCTTGTTCTTTTTAGATTTCGATCGTGCTGGGGCTTCTGTCTCATTTTCAGGTTCCTTTGCTCTTTCGGATAGAAGCTCAAGTTCAGAATCATTGATACTTCCAGAACTAGGCTTTGGTTTCTCTCCAAGATTGTCATCTTTTGTTACTGTCATCACATATTCAGAATCTGTATCTTTGGAAATGCTACCTTCATCAGGAACGCCATGGGCGGAAAACGCGGTAGCAGAAGTGAGAGGGGTAACTGCTCCATGAGGCTCGGGATCATCTGGTAATTGAGTAGGCGTAATTGGTGAGTTGATATCTTTCTGATAAGATGGGCTCATAGGTGCCTGGCTACTGGCATCTACGAAATGATCCTCATCAAAAGATTCATATTCACTGGCCTCACTCGCACGATATGTTGGCGAAAGCTGAGTTGGCGTGGCATGGCCTGAGTCTGGAGCCGAGATCATGGTAGGGATATTGGCTGGGGCCTCATCGAGTTCACGATGTGTAGGCCGGGGAGTCAACGAACGATCCATATCCTCCGCCAGCACCTCCGTTTCCACTCCCTGAACAGCAGTGGGAGTAGACGGGCGGCTATCAGGAAGCGGAGGGAGGTGTTCAAGGGAGGTCGATTCTGACAGAGTTTCTGCTGGGATTTCTGCTGCTTGTACTCCAGGCTCATGAGAGGTTGACTGCACATTCTGACTGACTTCTGGGGTGATATCCAACTCACGAGATTTAGAGTCTTCACGGACTGGAGACTCAGGTAGAGGTGGAAGGTTCTGAAGATCCATAAACTCCGTTTCTTGAATCTTATCGTCAGGAATAACTGTGCCATCCGGAGATTGTGGAACATCGCCCAGTGCGGATCGAGACGACATCGGGCCCTCCAGGAGCTCAGACGGTGAATGGAACTCATACTTCGGCTTCTCCTTTGGCCTCCGGTCCTGAGGTCTGAAGGAATGCGCAGTCGGGGTGGCTTGCTGAGAACCTAGGATATCTACGTCAAGAGAAGAGTCGTTAGTAGCAACATGCAACGATGGTCGGCGTCTTGGGGTTGAGAATATATCCGCAGATTCTTCGTTTTCAAGCGCTTTGGCCCGTAAATCTTCGACCGACGACATTCGAGACGTCGATTTACTGGAGGGAAGTGATGGGTATGTCTCTTCTTCAGGCAGTTCCGTTTTGCTGGTATGCCGTTCGACAAGCCATAATGGTCTAAACTCACGATTCGTCTTGAACTCGGTGGACTTTGGCCGCTTGTGTCCAGATTTAGGCCTGCTCGGAGAAACCTGGCCATCATGAGCTCCTCTTTCAGGGGTTGATGGTGGTCGGCGGAGCTGAATGGGAATTGCAGTGGGAGAGCTGTTGGGGTCTCCAAAATTGAACCCTCCTCGCCATGATATTCGCTTTGCGGTATCCGGGGGCGACCGTGACCTGGATGAAGGTCTGCTATGAGACTGTGTAGGCAAATCAACTACTTTCTCCCCAGGCAAGGGAGTAACAGAACGGCTCCGGCCACGAGACGGCAGGTTTAGCGGCAAAGGAAAGGTAGATATTGGGGCCGAGACGCCAACAGATGCTTTCTCAGCAGCGGCTGCCGGAGCCTGCTCAAAAGTACCTGTAGGCACAGAAGTTATTCCTGGGCTATCATCTAAAAAAGGCCCGGAGGGCTGCTCTTTGTCTAAAGTGTCGTTCTTTGCTTGTCTACTGGTATCATGTCGATTTTTGTCCTGAGAGTTCCTGTCAGCAAGAGAGAAAAAATGGCATTATTAAGAGAAAAAAAGAACCTATTAGTAGTTACATACTTCATCATCAGTTGCTTTTCCAGATTCGACTATCTGCTCATATCGATTTTTACGGTCTTTCTTCCGATCTTTACTTTTCTGCCTTTGTTGATTGTCATTATCTGCGTCATCTGCGTTTACTGATTCAATATCTCGTGATGCCGGCAAGTCATTGTCGTCGGCTTTCATGGCATCTTCATCAACAAGGCGATCTTTCTTCGACTTCTTCTTCTTCTTTGAACTTGTTGAGACTTCTGATGGTGGAGGTGATCGGTCCCTTTCTTGCCTGGAACTCTTCTTGTCCGCAGATGAAGAAGATCCGAATAGTCCAAAGAAACCCCGAGACTTATCACTACCCTTTGCGGAATCCTTTGCTGCCTCTGACTTAGCCCGAGAGACCACGGATACATTGTCATCATCTAGCTTGGAGCTGTCGCCAACCTCTGGACGGGAATCAATGAGTTCAGCATATCGTTTTGAGCGCCGTTTTGATTTGGACTTTCCCCTTTCTAGTCCAACAATGTCAGGAGCAGACGCGGCAGTGCTAGACTCGACGTTCCGATCAACGGGTTCGTCTATCTCAAACTCACGCGTAGAAGTTCCCGCGGTCTCGTTTGCGATAGGGCCAGGTTCATCAGCAGCTCCCTGTTTGCTCTTCCCTTTTGATTTCTTCTCGGATTTCTCAGCGGTTGCGAGCTCAGGTTCGTCCGCTGGACCCTTGTCTGCAGGAACAAAAGGCTTATCCTTTCCACCAACAGGACCAATATCAGCCCATACGTCCTCGAAGTCCCCCGGCATTGAAGCATGAGGTTTATTATCCGGTAATTGACCGCCGAACTCGCGAACTGGAGAGCTTATGTCCACCAGCTTTGTCTTAGTCGAGTTGTCGCGAGGCCGTATATCTTCCTCTGCATCTTTCCATGTCTCTCTTTCATACCCAGGCGCTTTTTCATGCTCATTTACCATTCCCTCGGAAGAAAGATCACAATGAGCCTTACCCGGTTTGTCATCTGCATCAAACAAGTCTCGACTGGCGGCATTTGGCTCGTTAATGTTGCCAGATCTTACCTCGCGGCTCGCTTCAGTAGACTTTGATGGAGTAATGGCAGGCTGTTCTTCCCAATCTAGTTCAAGATCCTTCTCGCCAGCATTTCTGCTCTTCTTCTGCACAGCCTTCTGTTTCTTCTTGTCTTTCCTGCTAAGCTTTGCAGCTGTGACTTCAGGTACTGGAGGACTGTCGGCATCTTTAGATGGCAGACCTTGCATGTCTCGAGCAAAAGTACCTTGACCTGCTTCACTCGGGGATCCTTTTATTTGATGGGTGGGGACAATCTGCACTTCCTCCTTACTGGCTAGCGGAAGTGGCTCCCGCTCAGAAATGTGACGGGCATGAGATACTTGAGCGTCCTCATGCATATCCCTACGACCCCCCTCCGACCTGGGAGGTGAGGCGCGGCGATGATAAGTGGGATTATCGGTGACAATGGAGGGGTCGAAACCTGACATCGCTGTGCCGGCAGCAAGTGTAGCAGCAAAATCGATGTCATCCCCAAACTCACCAGGCATATGTTGAGGCGGCGAAGGAATTTCGGGGCTGGGGGGGAGTTCTCTAGCTCCAGCCTTGGAAGGGATAATCTTCATATCCCCATCGCTGCTCAGTTTCTTTGCCGCTCCAGGAACACCAGGGCGAGGGGTTTCTGGAGCTGCAGTATGTGCAGCTTTTTTATTCCGTACACTATCATGGGTATCATCCCGATCTTCCTGAGCAGCAGTGTGTTCAGGAACAGTCACAATGGGGTCGGCAACTGGGAGGTCCTTTGTCTCACCACTATGGCCCAGAACAGAACTAGTCCTACTTTGAGGTGGTGTAGGTTCAATGAGGTTCAGATCAGGAACTGGCCAGGGCAAGTTTGTACGCTTGGTTGATTCGGCCCTCGTCAGCTCGGTATCAAGTGGGCTAGATCGAGGCTCAATAACACGAAATTTGGCTGCCCCGGGTTTGGGTACTGGTGTTGATTCAGGGACTGACTCTGCGCTGGATTCACCACGAAGCTCTGGAGGTGCGAAATAGGTCGCATAGTTCTCATAAGTTGGCTTGGTCTTGGGGTTTGGAAGCGGCTTCTCAGCTAGTTCCCCGGGTTCCTCAACGAAGCGGCGGTCAGGCGAATCAAATCGCTGTCTCGAGACGGCCGATGATCCAGCCTCAGATTCAGAATAGCCGCGGCGCTCTTTGCGGCGCTCTTCCCTTTTACGCTTCTTTTCGTCGATTATGCGATCGGCCGCTACAGCGGCAGCACCGGAGAGGACGGGAAAGGCAACCCGAGCAGGCATAGACCATGATTCTGTGTCCTTGTCACTAAGAGGCTCCTCGAATTTTTCATCAGGGAGTGGCGGGGATATCTCTGGGCGATGAAGTCGTTTAGACTTGGATATCCGACTCTCTGGGTCTGACGCTGGTTCTTCATCTCGCTGGTAGCGGCTGGCCGCTTTTTCACCTTCCAACTCTAGCTGGCGCATCTCCTTGTCTTGCTGCTCCTTGGTCAAATCAAAGTGGACGCCTTTTCCTGCAGAGCTGCGCTTAGATAGATCTGACGGGGTGACATAAGTGTAGTGGTCTTCCAAGGCAGGGGAAGAGTTTCTTCTTCTTCGTTCTGCTTTCTCCGTAGATATATTGCTATCATCCCTTGCTTTTCTAGACCGGTCCACTTTCACATCATCCGCCGGTGGCCCTTGGTCGTATTTACCTGGAAACGAAGCAGGCGGAGGTGGCATAATTTGATTCTGCCGATGCTTTACTGGGCCTGCATCATTGTAGGAGTCGTGGTGCTCTCGATTACTCTGAGCCGACGATATGTCCTTGGGCTTGGATACACCAGCTGTAACAGGTCCTTTAGAATCCTTTAAGGGGTGATCATTGTAGTACTCGTGCGCTGTTCCTATCAACGCCGCGCCCGCTACAGCACCTGCCACAGCAGGGGCGATTTCCTTGAAGATAGGCTTTGGCTTTTCGCTTTCATGGTCCCCCCGGGTGTAGAACGAGTCAGATATGGGGGCTACCGGCTTTGGCTGGTCAAGTTCCGTATTTTCTGAGTGAGAAATGCGCATTGGCTTGGTTGTGTCGAAAGCCGACGGGGCACCAGTTGAATTGCGCCCATCACGGTACGGTGTCAATGATTGTTCAGAAGCTGGGATAGGGTCGACATTCTGCATGGACGGGAGGCTGTAGCTACTAGATGGCGGAGCGAAAGAGGTCTGGGAGTTGCGTCCATAACCATCCTTTTTATTGGGGTATTCCAGAGGTTGCGATACCTTCTTCCTCTTTGAAGAACCCCATCGCCATCGCCACTTTGAAGTTCCAGAGTCAGACGTAAAGGAATCTCGACTGTTGGATGATGGCCCTCCATATGCCAGGCCAGAATCAGCAGAAGATGATTCATTGGACACAGATTCCCAAACATCGTCAGCAGGTGCTTCGTGTTTGGATTTTCGCTCCTTGACTGCAATCAGGCCATGATGCCTTCTCCCATTTGCAATTGATGCGGAAGCTGCAAGCCCAGCAGCAGTGGCACCCAGGCCTATGAGCTTATGATCGATGTCCTCGTCCCGCTTCCGGCCTTTCCCTTTTTTTGAAGTCCGCGACTTAAGAAACCCAGAACCAAACGCAAGGTCAGCATCATCCGAAGATGAATAATATGTTGATCCAAGGCCAAAAAAGTTCCTCTGTTTCTTGCGCGGGCTGGTTCGGCCCGTTCGGCTTTTCTCTGATGGTGCGCTAAAGAAATTTGAAAAGCTTGCCAGGCCCTTTTTGGCTGAGGGGCGAGAGATATCAATCATCGAAGAGCTAGAAGAGGAAGAGTAACGTCTTCGAGCTTTTCTAGGTGACCTGCTCCGGCTGCCAGCACGTACCCGTCTCTCTTTACGCGCATGGCTGGCTGATGACATGGCTGCAGCAGTACCAAGTGCACCGGCTGCAATGGCGGCAGTCTTCAGGCCAGATCTGCCAGACTTGCTATCACTTGATGACGACCGCGATCGATCCCGTCGTCGGTGTCCTTCAGATTTAGATCTTGAATGGGTAGATATGGACGGCTTGGAAACATCACTCCGGGAATCATATCTATCTAGTTTCTGCCCACCACCAATTGTAGACGGCGGATGAGAATATTCCGAGACGGTAACCTGCCCATAAGATGGTGCTCCCCTCCCCCCCACGCTTGAGGAGGACGATGATTTTGGGCGTCGAATGGATGGAGAGCGATCACGGCTATCCTTTTTCCTCTTGTCAAAGAGAGACTTGCCTACATATGCAGCCAGGCCAGCAGCCAACCAAGATTTGCGGTTCGAGCTCTTTTGATGGCCTTCTTCCTCAGAGGAACCATATCGGCTTAACTTATCGACTCTGGATCTGCCGCCAAAGCTGTCATGGGATGGTCTACGGCGATACCGATTATGCTTGCGTGGTGCATCCCGTGAGGTCGTTCCTGGCTCGAAGCAGTACCTACAGGTTCCAGTGATTTCAGAGTACTCTTCGTACAGTGCCACGCCTTCAGGATCTCGCCAAAAGTCCACGAACTTTCTTAAGGGGCCTTGTTGGCGTCTTTGATAGGTAAGATTTCCCTGCTGAAAGCCTCCAGTATAATTTTGTTGTTGGTTATGAGGGTAAAGCGTTTGCTGGCCGTTGCCGTGTGAATTGTGGTGTGGATTGTGATAAGCATTTGCTGCCAGACCCGCTGCAGCTGCAATGCCTGCCGTCGCTCCAAGTGCGGCAAGGCCCCCGTGCGATGAAGATGAATGGTGTTGAGGCCGGTCTTCCGGGTATCCAGATGGTGCATAATTGGTTGGAGATTCGTGGTAGGTGCCTGGTAGCGTGTTAGACGGTGCATTAGGCAGCGAGTTGGAGGGCATATCAGCCGGCATGCTTCCTGGAACAGTTGGTGATGTGTTTAAAGGTCCGCTGTGCGGTGATCCTCCGGACATGGCTGAATTCATTCCGTAGCCAGCTGCTCCGGCGGCCATACCGCCCAGTGCCGCAGTGCCAGTGCCATGCTGAGGGGGTGGCCCGGATGGTCCAGCTTCATGCTGATCAAATTGGGGTATTGGCATTGAAGGAGGGCCGTATTCAGGCCCAGAAGGTGATATAGCACTGGGGGTGAATCCTGGTTGATTCAGGACCGACTGGCCCTGGTCTCCATAATATTCGGCCGCTGAACCTATCAAAGGCTGTTGCTGAGAACTATCTGCGGAGGGATAGGAGCCCGACGTAGGTGGAGCATAACGATGCGATGATTGAGGTATATCCCCAGGACCTGACGTCGTAGGCGGTGGATAGTTGGTATCAGTAGGGTACAAGGGAGACCGCGATCTCTCAGGGCCAGAAGCTGCGGTTCTACGGCGGCCAGCTGGTTCAATTGGCCGCTGGTCTTCGGGGATGCCTCGGTCATCTAGAGTCCGGCTGCGTCGTTCCGAGCGAGTAGCTGGTTCGTATCTATCATCAGCACTTGGTTCATCATATCGACGACTGCTTCTGTTTCGTCTGTCGTCGTCGTTATATCGGTCTCGCGAGCGTCGTCGCGGTTCACCCGAATATACATCTCTCTCACGACGTGAAGAATCCCGTAAGTCAGATCCTACCGCAGAAGGAGCAGCATCATCACGATATCTCAGCTCCTCCGGGTAGGTCTCCCTCTCGCGACGCCGTGGATCTCGCGAGTCTTGGTCCAGCATCGAATCGTCATCGCCATGACCTCTTCTGCGAGCCCTTCTTTCTTTATAATGGTCATTAGGGTCATCGCCAAAAGTGCCCCTCTCACCATCCAGCGTCCGCGACGGAGCTTCAGACGCTATCTCGCTAGGAGCTATGATAGAACGTGCGCCATCGTCATCGTCCTCATACCGTCGCGAAGACCGTCTTGAGCTCGAATGCCTGTCCGCGTCACGATCGTCACTTCGTGAAGACTTGTGCTTCGAGGAAGACGAATGATGGCGAGACGATTTACGATGGTGAGAGTGTGATGAGGTTTTCGAACGGCTGTCGTCGTCGTCGTCGCGATCTCGACGATGTCTATGGCGGCTCGAGTCAGACGATCGAGTGCTCGACTGGCTTCCCAGAAGACTCTTAAACATCTTGCTCGTGAATTGGGGCCGGCCACTGGACGAGACAGTCTGGAGAAAAGGAGTGTGGGTTGGTAGGTCGGTTGGCTGGAGTGTGGTGAGAGCGAGGGAGCCGTGAGAGAAGAGGCCGTCGTTTTGTGCTGGGTGTTTTGTTTACCCGGCTAGCAAAGCTGGTTGTATGGTGGCTGGTAAAACGGTAAACAAGACCTTCCTGACCCACGGCTGAGCCCCGGGAAGAAACCGTGGTTGGCTGCCCGCGATAGCCCGGCAGGGGATGAAGCTAGGTGGCGCTGCTGCGATCGATCCCAACCGGAAGGCGAAAAGCAGTACACAGATCAAGGGGATATCCCAGCAGTATCACCGGAAGACGCTGAGCAGAAGAGCGCTGGAAGCCGTAAGTGAAAAGATCTTCAGTTCAGGACACCGTTGGATGTAGTTGATATAATCTTCGTCGTTTTCGTAGTAAAAAAGTCATATACGGTCGTAAGGTTCGTTCCGGGTCGTCAGGTCGTTAAACGTCGCAGTCGTCGTGATATTAGTACAGCAATCAAATAAGACATCCTTCTCAAACCATCGGTCGCTAAAAGGGGTGACGCGCAGATGGCGTAGGAGAGGGCGATGATGGAAGATGGCCGTGAAGTCGTGGAGTCGTAAGTAGTTAGGCAGAAGAATCAAGCTTGCGTATTGCGCTGAACTCGCACTCTTTTTTTTTATGCTGCACGTTGCACATGACCTGGATAACATGGTGGTTGCCACTAGGATGTGAATGAGCATGCAAGTAATCGGGTACTTGTCTACCTGGATATGGGAGGAAAGCAGGCAGACAGGAAGTTGGCCAGAGAGAGTCGCAAGGTGCGCTGATATTATCCTACCAATTCAGAAGCGTCGTGAGGCATAACCAATTATCAAATACCGAAAGAACCAAAATATATACAAGAAGAGTAAGAAAACAGCCAAAAAGGAAACAAATTCATCCAAAATGTATAAAGCTAGCAGATCTCCTGGTCAAGCGCAGTGGCTCGTCCGTGTTGACATTTCACATCTATCCCTGATGAAATTCTGAAGCCAGAAGGGCAAGGAGTGAATGTTCTCAGCAAAGAACCCAGTAGACCCCGGCAGTATAACCCTTCCACTGGATCCTGTTAGTATCTGTTCAACTGTCCGCTCCGCCACCGTGTCAGGGTGAAGAAGTGGATGGAACCATGTGTCTTCAGATGACATGCCGTCTATAAGGCTGGTTTTGCAGAATCCCGGTTCAATCACCACAGTACGTATCTTTGGGGCCTTGTACCGTATCTTCAACTCAGAGGCAATGCCTTCATGGAAAGCTAGTGCTGCAGCCTTAGTCCCGGCATAGTCAACCATGCTAGAACACGCAACGTGCGAAGCTTGCGAGGCAACGGTCACCAGCATCCCGTGGTTGTGGCGGATCAAGCTTGGTAGGAACTCCCGCGCCATTACGTAGTGCGAGAGTGTATTCACCTCGAAGGCGAGCCTCGTCTCAGTCTCCGTACCTTTAAGTAAAGGTCGTGTTCTCAGTACGCCGGCATTGTTAACAATGATAGTCGGCTCGCCAATGTCTGCGCGGATTGCTGCTGCTGTTTCTGTAACGGCCGCAGAGGAGGTAATGTCACACTCATAGAAAGTGACGTTTGGTGGTGTACGATATTTAGGCTCCTGGACATCAAGAACCACGACTTTGAGGCCACGTCGAGCAAGCAGAAGGGCAATCCGCTGTCCGATTCCATCACTTCCTCCGGTTACCAAGGCAATCTCACGTCTCCAGACAAACTCATCAGCCGTCCAGTTGTTCAGGGCTTGACGATTAAGAAACTCATTGATGATTCTGAGCAGGCCAATTGAGGCCAGTGCTTTCAGGGCAGTAAAAATGCGAGGCCGGTCAGCAATCAGGCTTCTTCCCTGGGAGGTGTAGCCAGCGAATAACAGCAGCGATATCGTTGCTTGCGGTGCGAGAACAGTTGAGGACAGAATGCGCCCAATGACATCCGCCGTGAAGCCTGAGTTTCTGTTAGTTGACTGTGGCACTAAGTGACCATCTTGCTTGGAGCGAGAGCCTGCTTCGTACCTTCACGCGACAGCCATCCTTTATGGGGCGAGATGCTCATGGTGCCTATCTTCTTGACCGATCGCCAACAGCCTGGCAGGTTGAAGCAACTCAACTCTCCTTCGTCGAGCAGCAGACAAAAGCTCTATATACTTGACATGTGCTCCACAGGTTTCCCCCAAAGCACAAGCTCATCGCCTTCCCGCAAACACAGTTAGCTAACCAGCCAACCTCCAAAGTCAAGCTTCGACTTCAATCGGCCGACCAGGTCTGCGTGTCGAAACAGCTCTTCACACCACTCGAAGACGCGAGCTTTTATCCATATCTTACTCCGTACCGAGTTTGTTCTTAGCTGCACATGGAAATCCCTTCGGGTCCCATCAACTCCCAAGATAGACGCCTCCAGTCACTGTCCTCGGGCTGTTTGTGCAGGCCGTTCACAGTGTACTCTGGGGTTGACATATTCCCGTCGTCCAGCAATAGTTAATACGAGGTCGATCGATCCCAACTCTTGAACCTCGGTAACTAACTAGTCATAGTCCAAGATGGCAACCCCTGAGGCGTCCCCTAACTCTCTCTTTCTCGTCCGACTCGACGAGCCACAGTGTAGCAGCATTTCCAAGGTTGTCCTGACCGTCGGCGCAGCGAGTTGAACCATGGACGACGTCGAAGTTTCTCTTTCGAGCTTGAAGTTCGCCGACGACATGCATCACGTGATGCTTTCCCTGCCCTCCGTTCAATCTTGGTCAATCTTTGGCCGCAGTAAACAACAATTTGATACCCTTGGGCGCTACGTGTATTCTCTGGATGGCCTTTGATGGGCCTTTTACTACTATGTCGCTCGTCCGTTTCTCAGGATAGCTAGGTAATCACAAAATTATTTTACTGCGGAGTGCTCTAAACCCTCTTTCAATGCCATTGACCTCTAAAGATTCTAGGATACTATGAGCAAACACCTATGAAAATGGCTTTAAATGTCCCTTAGGAAGACTTTCATAATCGGGACATTATCAGCGATCTTCTTTGGAAAATATCTTTTGTGTTCTCGGGTGTAATTCTGCAGATGTTTTTCTGACTGGAAAACACGCGGCTCGTCACCACGGCGCTGGCTCTCGATCCAATCCAGCAAATTAATATGGACGCGTCTAAGTGCCTATATTGGCATCAGCTTATCTCGTGCATATAACCAGCGGTTATTCTTATGAGAAGCTTGAATATGTCGGTAGATGGGGGTTCTTACCTTCTTACATGCCGTGATAGACGCCGGCGTTTCGTTCAAATATCTCTTACACAACAGCCTCAAGTTGGAAAGTTTGTCACCATGTTCGTCTACAATCTGATAAACATGGTATGCAAACTCCTCCCTGAGGCACTTTTCCCACTGGCGCGGATATTTTTGGTTCTTTTTAGTCCAGCCCTGACGGTTGGCAAGACGTCCGAATTCGATTTGCAAAGCGTTATTATCCTTGTGCTGAAAATTGGGATCGCGCTTCTGGAAATATTGGGAGTGAGGCATGGTTGATCTACTCTGGTTAGTGCTCTGACTAGAATTAGTTAGACGTATGTATGCTTCAAGCACAAATACTACACGTACCGACGTTCAACTGGCAGATATTCTGTCTGCTAACTTTTTGCCTGAACCTTGACGCGTCCAAAATATTCAATTAAGATCGTTGGCAGCGGTTGGATGCAATAATGACAAAGAGGAATAGGATATGGAAAGTAATCCAGAAGTTTACGTTCATTTCACTGTTTATATCCATTATTTTATACTCTTCTGGAGACTTCCGTAAACTAAAATGCTGCAGAACTATATCCTCATTGCGACTGCCTTTAAAGTAACTAGGCTGAAACCAAGGGGTTCGAATACATTGGAGGTAAAGATAATTACCATGGATGGCCTCGATATCAGGCTATCATGCTTGTGTCTCGTAGTTATTTGCCCTAGGAATGTTTGAGCTTGCACAACAACCCACAAAGAGTGTATATAAACGTCTCCTTCGATTCAACCACAAAAGAATTGCAAAATTGCACTGATGTTATATTTTCGCCATCACTTTGTAGCCTATCAATTAATGAATTAGGAGACCACGCCAATCTTTCATAATCCTTACATTGCAACCAAGCATTCACTTCACCCATTAGGCGACTCGCGAGCTGTTTACAAGAATGTATGGCCAAAAGGGAGCATAGCAAATAACCAAACAAAAGTAAAAAGACGTGAAGGTAACGTAACGAGGGGGGAAAAAAAATGAGCATAAAAATATACAAACATATGGAAAAGGGGATATAGATATTTAAAATAGATATAGGCATGACATCAGCGTAAAAAAAGAGCCCCCAATGAGTTATTTCAAGCTTATGAGAAGCGAAATAATTGACAGTAGAAAGGAAAAGAGAGAAAATGAGGAATGACCAAGAAAATAAAATGGAAAATAATAATGCAAAAGACGACTTGCCACCCACGCCAAAATGGTATTGAGCATAGATTGAAACAATGCATCAAATGCAGTAGAGATGTAAATCAATGATAAAGTCGGGGGGAAAGTATGGAAACAAAGAAGTATAGGGTAAAAACACATAAAACGAATGATAAGTTGGTTCGGAGGTATTTGTATATATATTCGAGGATGATGATGAGTGAATCATCGGTCATTGGAGAAACTTCCGGTTTGTGTCGACTGCGGTTGAGGTTGTGGCTGCGGCTGGGGGTTTTGTTCAAAGAGTTTGCGCCTTATCAGGGTTAATATTTCTGCATCTTTCCGTAAGGTGGGAGAGATATGTCTGCTTCGTAGCAGAAATTTAATGGTTCGATCAAGTAGAGCACAAAGTTTGTCGCCGTCGACAAGGGCAGAAAGTTGAGATGTATATGTTGCTGAGAGGACAAGCATATTGCCGAATTGACTATTATTGAATCAAAGTTAGTGTGACAACTCAGAGTCAAATTGTAGTGACAAGTAACATACGCATGAGCAGTTCCAAAGATATTGGTGACTATGGGGCGGCCTTCTACTCCATCAAACGCAACAGTGCTGTTCATAGCAGCGTTTATGCAGACCATGCATGCATCGAAAACCTTAGGCTCCAAGTCGCTCAGTAACGGCGGCTGCGGATCGTTTGATGGTGTCCGGACTGGCGGGCCCATCTCACTTGTGTATCGCTCCATTTTCTCCGCCTGATGGACGTGAGAAAGCGATGGAGACACTTGAGACTGGGAGCTGGAGACGGTAGACTGAGAAGGGGATGAAGCAGGGACAGGGTTGCGAGGCTTAGGGGCCATTGGATGCAGGGCATGGTGAAGCAAAGGTCGGTGGATGAGGTATTTAGCGCCATAGTATTTCCCGCGCATGCGTGCAGTGTTGATATCTTTCGCCGGTGGGTCAGAATCTTCCCAACGCATGTACTCGGGGAGACCACTGCGCCATTGCTCAAGGTTGAAGCTTAGGGCCTCTTGGATCTTGGTCGACCAGCGGGCCTTTTCACCACCTTGCTCTATGATAAGACGACGATTAGTTACCAAACTTTGACAGGGCGTAGAATCGCTGTTAATGTCTTACTTTCGGCCTTATATAGGTCAGTATGAATCCTGTTAAGAACTTTTCGAAGGTGAATTTGCACAAGGTAATACATCATCATCATAGTATTGGGTGCGTGTATTTCATTTGGAATGGTATGAGCAAAGACTCCTCGGGGAAAGTTCATGCGCCCTTCTAGCCGGCTGATCCCGCTGGCTGGCAGGTCAAGCTCTGCTAGTATATCACTGTTTTGCAGATGTATTAGTTTTGTGTATTTTTCTTTAGTTATGGCTGTGCTATTAATTCGTCCCTACCTCTCAAGCTGTAGACAGGTCCAAAAGACTAGGCATATCAAATCTTTCCTCGGGCCTTCGGGCATACAGTCATATTTTCGCCTAACATTGAGGTGAGCTACGGCCGATTCTGACCAAGAGAAGATGATACAATAAATGGGGTGCTTACGGTCGAACCAAAACCTGACAGGCACGCGCTGCTTGATAAATCCATCCATGGCTTGAAAATGGGTGTGCAAGCTGTCCCGTATAAAGGGCTGCTAGGAGGCAGGCCTGCGCAAGGGCTAGATCATTACCGCCATGCAAATTGCCCAGAATATCGGAAGCAAGTGCATAATAAGCCATTCCAGGAATGACATCCATATTCCTAATATCGGGCGGGTCAGGGCCAAAATGGGTTGACTGCGTGGAAAATCGTCTATGGTGGTTGGCAAAAGGCATACTCTCAGGCGGAGAGGTTGATGAGGCTAAAGAGTGGTCCCCCATCACAGGTGTGAAGGGGCCAGCTGGTACATGGCGTACTGGACCTGGGATAGGCCCCTTATATCCGCATATCGAGCCTAGAGCTAGCACCAATAAAACAATTGCATTATCAAGGGAACGTTGAATTTCATGGCCAGCATGAGGAGAAAAGCTGTCTGAGACTGGAGAGTCGGGGTATCCGTCCGTCATGTCAATAGATCGCTTTCGTTTTTGAACTCTGTGAACC